TACATGCTTGTAAAGTTTTAAATATTATTAAAAAATACTTAATGATTTCTGCTCTCTACGATCATTTTAATTTGTTAAGAATATAAAAATAAAATTCTAAAAGATAATACTTTAAACACTAAAAGTAAAACATTTTATTTTATTTTTTCTAATCTTATATATCAATAATACATAAAAATTTTTCACTAACTTTCATAGAAAATAACTCACTTTTGATAATGATGTATAAAAATTAAATTAATTTTACTTTTTCTATTTTTTTGATTTATGCTCTGATATTTAAGTCAAACAAACAGCAAAAGATGAGATTTGCAAATTTAAGACTTAATGTTTAAGTGTAAATTATTATAGAAATAAAATTAATTCAATTAATTAGGATTTTTGCTTCTCCTGTAATTGCAATTTTCTATTAAAGTTTAAAGATAGTAGTATCCAATTTCAGAATTGATTTTCCTTTTATAAGTTTGATATCTTATATAAGAACTTAAGCTAATATTTATTCTTCAAAAAATATTGGAGCTTTAAAATATAAAGATTATTCTAAATAAATGGCCCCAGGAAAATTTGTACCTACTAATGTAGAGAATAAACCAGATGATAGTATTCCATGCACTACTCTTTGTTTAAATACTGATTTAGAAGCAATTTATTCATCAACATGAATCGGATTGAAATCTTTAATGAGATTTGCATAAATTTTGACATCTTCTTCTGTGAATTTTGTTTCCAGTTTGAATAATTGTCCAATTTGATATTACGAAAAAAAATATTGAATTTGCCTAAATTTCATGTTTTAATAATTGAATAAAAATTTTATAAGAATTTTTTAGAATGAAGAGAAAACCTTGGGTATAAAAGTAAAGTAATGATATAATAATCGTTGTCGGCCATACTAAGCCTAAAGCACCGGATCCCATTCGAACTCCGAAGTTAAGCGGCTTAAGGCGAGGTTAGTACTAAGGTGGGGGACCGCTTGGGAAGTCCTCGTGTTGACAACCCTTTTTTTTTATTTTATATTTTTATATTGTTGTTAAATTGACTGTTTATAATTAAAAATAAGCAATATTTTAGACAAATAATTATCAGATAAATTGAAATTATCAGATAATATCTCTTAAGAATTATGACAAGTTGATTTAAAATACGTATTTTCTCGAGTTATTTATCACATGAAAAATACATTTTAATGTATAAATATTATTATCCTAAAAATAATTATAACAGGTCTAGTATATGACTTCTTTTGTATAATCAACATTTGCAATATCGACAAAGCCAAATTTTGAATTTTTATAGCATTAAATTGATTCTGACTCAGAGAATGAAGAACAAAGATAAAAATTATTATTAATGCATGATAATCAGAAGGAATAAAAAAAGTTTAAGAAATTAATTGATATCGAGATGGTAAAGGAAGAATTGAAAAACAGACCTAATGTTGAATAGAGATTAAGTACTATATAAAAGAAAAAAATTTCAAAGATAAAAAGTGTTCGTACTCTAAGTGATCTTATAATACCGACATCTCCAGTTTTAATAGATCAATTAGGAACTTTGAAGAAGATAAAAGAGATACGTTAAGAGATGCCTCCTGAATTAATGGGGAGAATTTATTCAGAACTAAGGTAATTTAAGAAATGATTATATTTAAGATATGAATTTGTGCCAGCCTTAAATCCAGTTTATAGATAGGGAGATTAAAATAAAAAATTTTACATTTTATTAGAAGGTAAAGTGGTTGTTATGAAACCAAAATAGAAGATGGTGGGATCCAGTAAAATAGAATTTGATGATAATTTGTAATAAAAAGCTTTAGGAAAAAATGAAGATGATCCATTTGGATTGAAAATTCTTTTTCCAGATTATATAATACTAAAAATCTTATTTTAAGGAGAGTATGTATATTTTAATAATTTTTTTAGTTCATTTGGAGAAGCAGCCATAAAATTAGATAGAGCTAGATCCTCAACAGTTTTTACATTAGAGGATACTCATTTTTTATATTTAAATGAAAGTGCTTATCTGGAATATTTAAATCCATATTTAAGCATAGCATTAGATAAAAAGTTATAATTTTTTGAATAAACTCCAATCTTTAAAAATATTGATAGAGAAGATTATATGGGCATAGTTTTGGAATGTAAACTAATAACAATGAAAGCAGGAGAAGTAATATATGATGAAGGGGATAAAACTAAATATATATATTTTATTATTAATGGAGAAATTGAATTGCTGAAATAAGTAAAAAAGAAATCAGTAATTTTATCATCATATGGAGAATTTTAAAGCTTTGGTGAAGTTGAAATTATGATGAAAATAAATAGATATACAAAAGCAAAAGTAATTTCTCCAAGAGTTAATTGCTATAGAATTAGAAAAAGAATGTTTTTTGATAATTTAGGTAATTATGGAGCTTATGAAAATATGAAAAAACATTCATCTGTAATTTATAAGCATTGGTAATTGATATGTCTTACAGTATAAAAATCAATTAATCCAAGAGATGAGGTACAATAATACGCCTTAATATTTTATAGGTTTATGAAGCTGCCCAAGATGATAGTTAAAATAGACCAAATTTTTTGGCTAAATCTATTTTAAATAAGAAACTCATAGAATCTTAAGGGTAGATATTAAGTCAAATTAAAGTTTTTTAAAATTTAACTGATACCAATCTTAAAGAACTAAAGAATATTAGTAGTGAGAATTAAAATCTACTTTAAAGAGTTTATAGCAATACACTCTAAAAATATTAAGCAAAGTTGTTAAAGAAACCTTAATTAGCTGTTTGTGATTCTGATGCCTCATGTATAAGAAATTAAAATAAATAACCTACAAACACTAGTATTAATTTTGATAATAATTCTACAATAAGTCCTTTAAATGAAAATAGTCTTGATCTAAAATTAAGCTCGAATAGATCATCTGTCATTATCAGAAGAGAGAGTTAATAAAAGATTACTCTTCCATCTCTGCATCCTTCATTACACATAGTTGGACCTTAACCTTAATCATTAAATACAGTTTTAGAATCTATTAGTAAATTACCAAGAGTTCCAAAAGATAATTTAGTTTTATCGTTAATGTATTAATAAGCATACAAAGCTGAAAATCCTATTAAAAAAGCTAAAGAAATTTAATAAGTTATTTAAGCATCATATAGAAATGTATAAAATAGATTCTAACCCAAACAACATCATTTAACAGAAATCTAACCATCATCAAATGAACATAGAATTAAGAATTTATAAATTACTGGATTAATGAGTATGAGATAATAAAAAAAGCAATATCTGAATTTTGTACATCCAAAAAAAATTGTTGGAGGTAATCAAATTATTTGATGCTAGAATATAATCAAATTAGTTAATGAATATAAAATACATTTATAACGTTATTATTTTTGTAAATATACATCATCAATTTACTATTTCTTCTTTAATTATTTTTTGATACAAAACAAAATTTTTTGGATCTTCATCATTCCAACCTAATAATTTTATTCTTTGTTCTTTAGTATCATTATAAATCTTTTTTTTATCATTGAGATATTGAGTAAACTAAAATTCTCATTTTAATACTTACTTATTCTTTCATTTCTTTTCTCTTTTATTCTCTATCATATTTAGCTTTATTCAGAATTTTATCATCTTCAGCTTCATATTTCTTTACAAACTACTTTGAATTGTTTTATAATTCTTATTCCTCTTTTAATGATAATAAATGAATTGGTTTGTTTCTCCAATGAATATCTGTAATCTTAGTCACAGTATCTTTTATTAATTATTCTCCTATAGCACTCCAAATATTTACACTATGCCACAAATCACTCATTGTTATGAAATACTAGAGTAATTATTAAAAACTATTACTATTCCTGTTGGATCCCATTAGGCATGACTCATATAAAAATGATTTGTTGATTTTGTTATCTCTATTATTAATTATTCATTCTTTCTTGATATCTGGCCAAATTCAACCTTTCCTTAATCAGGTGAATTTTTTGTTTTATTAACCATAGCAAAATAATTCTAAAATTATATCATTCTTTACTCCATTTGATGCCCATAACAATTCATTTGTATCTCTTCCTTTTTATTCTCCAAGTTAATGTAATTTTATTCCTTTTTTAGAATCTTCTTAAACTGAATAAAGATGGAAAGTAAACTATTAAGTAGGTTTTTATTATTTATCTTTTTCTCTATAAGATAATCCAAATTTTCCAGTATTAAGTTCTGGAAATATACTCTCAACATCCTCATTAATTGTGTGTTCATCGATTTCAAATGGATCAATTCTATTTAAATTACCTACTTGAATTGTAGTTGCAAAAACTTTATTCTTTTGTTTTTTTTTTATCAGAGTAGCTACCCATTTTCCATATGTATGTACAAAAATTTGAATGCTATCAATTTCAAATGCAATGTTTCTCCATTTAACATCAATATTTCGTTTATAGTCATGTAAGAAAATTTGAGTTTTAATATCTTTCCCATAGCAAACAACTGCAAGATAATTAGTTTAAGGAACCCATTCAATTTGTTTAACTCCAACAGCCTTAAGATTTAATTAATTTTTCTGATAAAATTCAGGTGCTTCATAAATTTAAATTTCATCTTAAGTTTATAAGGCTAACCATTTATTATCTTTATTAAATTTGAATTGTTTTATAGATGATTATTATAATACAATTTATCTCAATTATCTTTCTTCTCTAATATTCCAAATAATAAATTGCTAAAATATGATTATATATTTATACTTGTAATCCATCAAAACTTATCATATATTGTTCATCTGGACTAAATAATAATTCTGAAACTCTTTTGTGTTCAAATATATGCAATTATTCAAGTTCCTAAGCTCCATAAAGTGAGAATTCATTTTCAGTGAATAAAACTAAATATTAACCTAAAGGTGACCATTGTAATCTGTCATATGATGGCAATTTCTTTTCATTAACATTATCTTCTAATTTCTTTTCTAATGAATTTAACCATTTGAGTGAGAGCTTAGTCTTTTCTTATACAATAGTAACAGCTGCTCTAGGATCTTTATGAAATGCTAGTAACTCTTATCTAGATTTGAGTGCAATTGGTGTATATTCTGCGGTTTGATTGATGTGATTTATTTATTTTTAAGTAAAGGCTAATAATTGATGTTTAGCATCAAAATTTTAATTAGTTATCTATTCTGCTGCTTATTATGCTTAATCTTCATTTTCATATGATAAGATAGCTTAACCAAGATTATTAAGTTCAATATCTACAAATTAAATATAGTTGTTCTTTTTGAGATATCCTTTGAGTGCTATTGTAAGTTTAGATTTCATTTCTTCTTTTACTTTTGGTAATCCAATAAGAAGAATATTATGATTGGAATTGAAATTCAATTTAGGAAAGCCAGACAAGAAGTCTTTATTTATTTTTTCGATTTCTTCACTTCCTCTCTTAATATATTCAATGGGTAAGTCTTCCCCAGAAAAATCAATTAACTCTTGTAATTGGCTCATAATCTCAAATTAAATTTTTATTATAGAAATAGGAAAATTATTTCAGATGAATCACCCCTGAAAATCGTTAGTATAATATTCCTTCAATAGATTTTACTACTTTAGAGCTTTATTTTGTAGAATATTTATAGTCTATTTGGCATTATCTAATTCGAGGGTTCTAGATAATAAAAAGAAAAGTTATACAATTTCTACAGTTGATCTTTTAAATATTAGATCTCTTAAATGAGTTCATTAGATTGTTCAGTATTCTAACTAGAATTAATCTTCTATAATTTTTCAACTAGTTATTTTAGTTCCTATTTTTCCGTGAATAGTTTTTAGTAATCATTAATTGATTAACAATGAGTATCATCTTAAGAATAAGATGATTTGCGTTTGGCTTCGATATCTAAAATTTCTTAATATATTTATTTTGTTTCTCTTAATTCTTGAATCATAATCTCTGAATCTAAACTGATTTCTGACTTTAGTCTAGAAATAGCACTTTCTTTGAGATATTCATAATGTTATCTTTTTATTTATCTTATAGGATACTTGACTTATTCTAATTATTACTAGTGATATTTATTCTAATCATCTAATTATTAATGAAGCATAGAAATTTCAGCATCTTTCTCACTAATTTGAATCTGTAATCTATCCACTAATCTAATTACTTTATTTAATTCAAACACTGTCTATTTAGACAATATAAATTATACCTAATCTTTTTCAATACTCAATTTACTCAATTAAGTCCGACACAACTGTAATTCTTCCTTCAGTTGCTATTGATTTGACATTAAATAAATTAATGACAGAATCCATTTAATTTCGAGGTCCTTTGGAGATGGAAGGCCCAGGTAATTCATTTTATATATTTAGATGATTTAGATGATGACGATAACTACATGAGACCAGGTTTAGAAACAACAGGCTTACAAAATCGTAAATAAAAAGATTAACCCACTAAAAAATCTCTATACTTTGCAGTCATCTGCTTTTTTGCAGGTTTATTTTATTTCTATTCTACATATGAACCACCTATTAATGATGATCATTTTGAATTCATTACTAAATCTACATTTGAATGCAGTAGATAATAATATTGGACAAAAAAAGGCTGTGAACTTAATCCTATTGGTTGTTCTTTAAGTGTAGAAAAGTCAGGTTTATGTGTTGTATGCAATCAAGGATACTTCCTATCCCTTACAGGAGGATGTATTAAAGATTGTTAAGAATCAAATGATTAATTCTGCACATCTAAGAACGATGTTATACTCTCAAATATGTATAAACCAACAAATAGTTCTTATACTAAATTTGAAATACCTTACATATTGATTCAACATCCTAATCCAACTCAATTACTTTATATTTCTGATGTCGAACTTTTTAAATTAGAACCTTATAATATAAAACAAAATTCTATAATCATCAAATTTGAAGACTATTTTCTATTGAATAATTAAGAATTTCATTATGCTTTTAGAGATTTCTAAATCTTTATAGAAACAAAATTACTTAATGTTTCCTCCATTAAAAAAACATATGTTGCTTTTGAGGATAAATCACAAGGACTTCTTTTCTATTTGAAATCTCAAAATAAAAATGATAGCACCTTCTTAATTAATCCAAAAGTTTTAGATGAAGCATAATTTTATGTTGAAACCTACGAAATCTAATCATTTGATGAATTATTAACTAATAGAACTTTTAATGTCACTGTACTTCATACAGACAATCTTACAGATCAAATAAAATGTAAAAAGACATTGAGATTAATGCCTGAATTAGATAATTTAGATCAGAAGTATTGTCATAATTTAATTAAATAGGGACGACACAAATTAAAGTCAATCAGAAGAACTTGATTGTTTTAAAATAGAAGAATCATAAATCATAGAAAAAATTGTACATCCTAATTGATTTTATTATAATGTTATTTACAAAAACAGATCATTTTCTTTATTAGAACTATTTTTATTTTCCTATTGTTTTATTTAAATTTTTTTAATTATGTTTTTATGATTCCTTTTTCGCCTTCTAAGCTACCTTATCTTTTTCATTCTCTTACGATTTCTTCTTCTTTTATGACTTTTTTGACTCTTCTTGAGTTAACTCCTTCTTTTCTCTTTCCATCTAACTTAATTGACCTCTTAAATAGAGTAATGTTAATAACAATCCAGCATCAAGGAAAGTCAGAATCCAAAAATGAATAGCACTTCACATAAATTATTTTAATACAATTATTTTTCTATCGTTAGTGCAATTAATGGAAAAGATATTAATCCAAATATAGAGGAATATGTCAACCATACCATCATCTTCTCTGCTGTAGGTAATAAACTGCTAAAAGTAAAATCGACTGCTTCTTCTTCTGACATAAATATTTTAAATATTTTTAAGATAATATTTATTTTTTTGCTTGAATTAATATCATTACAAGTGAATCTTTAATTGAAAATTTAAATAATAAATCAAGCTCCAGTGATTTAAGTAAACTCTCCAATCACATCATTTGTTAGTCCAGATTTTAAAGTATGTATAATAACAAAACTTATATTAGGTGCTGAATGAAAACGAAAAATAATATGCTTATCATTTCGCAAGAGCTTCTTGGGAAGGAGCAAGAATCTGTTATTTTTAGAGATCTTATGAATCACCAGGATTATTTTATATTTTTCATAAGATATTCTCTACTGAAAAGCCATAAGCTGTGTCATAGCGTTTATTAAAGAAAGGATGGAACCATGAAGAAATCTAATAATTATTTGTATATATTGCTGCTGTATTTTAAAATTCAGGTAACTATAAAAGCTTTGGAGATTCAAAATTCATACCTGAAGTATCTTAAGAAAGATTTGAATAATTTATTACTACATCCCCAGGATATAAAGTAGATTAAGTTTGGTAAAGTATTTAAAATATATTTATAATTATGATACACCTTATGGTTTGATTGATTTATAAGAAAAGGATGGTTCTAATTCTTATTATAGTACTAATTTAAGAGGAGAGTTATTAGAGGCTGTTGATAAATTCTTAATAGCTTAAGGAGTTTCTGAATTAAATACAAGAGTAATTAAAATTGGAGAGGATATTCATGTATTAGTAGCTTCAGTCAATGAAAGTTAGAAAGATTTAGGAGTAGTACATAATCATAATGTTAAATTGATTTTTGGTGATTTTGCTCCTTTTCTTAATAGTGTTGTAAATCATCTTACAGCTGCTCTTCAATATGCTGCTAATGATTATCAAAAGAATATGATTTAAGCTTATATTGAACATTTCAAAAGTGGAAATATTGAATTACACAAATAATCATAAAGACATTGGATCAAAGATAAAGGACCTGTTATAGAAACTAATATTGGATTTATTGAAACTTATTTAGATCCACTTAAAGTTAGAGCTGAATGGGAAGGTTTTGTTGCTGTTGTTAATAAAGAAGAAAGTGCTCTCTTAAATTAATTAGTTAATAAAGCTGAAGATATTATCAAATATTTACCTTGGCCCAAAGAATTTGAAGTTGATGTCTATAAAAGACCTGATTTTACTTCATTAGAAGTCTTAGCCTTTGCTAGTTCTGGTACACCCTTAGGTATCAACATACCGAATTATGATGATATCAGATAAAGTGAAGGATTTAAGAATGTTAATCTGGGTAATACTATAGGTAAATTATCAAAAGAATCAATAAATTTTTTAGATGAAGCAGATCAAGAGATATTTTATAAATATTAATCAGAAGCTATATTTTTGATTGTTGCACTTCATGAATTGATTGGCCATGGTGCTGGAAAAGTTTTTATGAAAGATAAAGATGGAAATTTAAATTTTAATATCGAAAATACAATAAATCCATTAACAAATGAAAAAGTTGATTCATTTTATAACCATGGAGAACAATGGCATTCTAAATTTGGTGAATTTTCAGGAGCAATGGAAGAATGTAAAGCTGATGCTACTGCATTATATTTATCTACTTATGATGATGTAGTAAAATTATTGTTACCAAATTAATCTGAAGAAGATAGAAGAAATACTGTTTTTGCAGGATGGCTATTTATTGTTCATAGAGCTGTATAAGGATTAGAATTTTATAATCCAGAATAAAAGAAATGGGGTTAAGCACATGTCTTAGCTAGAAATGTTATATTATAATCTCTTATTAGAGAGGATCCAGATATTATTAAAATCAAAGAGACTTAATTAAATAATAAACCTTATCTTTTTTTAAAATTTGATTAGTCTAAATTATACACTACAGGTAAGAAAGCTATTTCTAATTTAATTTTGCATTTATAAGTATTTAAATCTATTGGAGCTGGAAATGAAGGTGTATAATTCTTTAGTGATTTGGCTACTGTTAATGACTTATTCCTTAATTATAGAGATATTGTTATTTAAAATAAATTTCCAAGAAGATTAGAAATTCAACCAAATCTCATTTTAGAAGATGGATAGGTTAAACTCAAGGAATATGAATCTACATTTGCTGGAATTATAGAGTCTTAAGTTGAACATCACATAGAGAATATAGAAATTACAAAAGACTTATTTTTAAATGTATAAAAGTTATTTTAGAACTGAAATATTTATTAAATAAATTAAAATATTTTTTATCAACAAATAACTTTTAATACATAAATCACTAATATTAATTGTTGATCTAAATTCTAAATGAATAGTTTAAGATAAAAGATTTTAAATAAAATATATCAGTAAATATAACTCTATTTTAGAAAAGATTAATTCAAATATTCAAACAATCAAATCTATCATTATTATTTTATATATCTATATCTTAATAATCCATATTTTTATTGATTCATATACTTAGTTAATCTTGTCTATTGAATTTAATAAATGTATCAACTCTATTTATAATTTGATGACAGAGTTCGATAAGTTTTTCATAAAACGGATATACTATATTAAATTTAATGAAATTAGCCTTAGTGTTATTAGCACTAATTGGACTCTCTTATGGAATCTCATCAAAAATAAGTCATGTTAAAAAATTAGAAGAACTCTAAAGAACTAAACTAGGCAAAACCATTTTAAATCTCGTCAATCTACACTCATTAGTTTAGGGACCAATTTAGGAACTTATAGAAACTATTGAAGAATTAGTAAAAAAGAGTATAATAATAGATCGAAGATATAAAAAATAATATAGATGATAATTATTACAAATTTTAGATGCGAACAAATGAGCACAACTTATATATAAGTCAAGTTAACTAACAATTATAAGATGCTGATTAAGAAATTGCAAGAATGATTGATGTTATAGATAATTTACTTATTCCTAGAAGTGATTAAATTACCATTAGAATTTAATCCTTAATTGAAAATGATGAGTTTAATCGAAAAAACCTAGATGAAATAAATTTGCTTAGACAATTAGAAAATTAAGCTTTCTTACAATAAATTTAAGAAGATAATGATGCTATTGATGCAACTGATGATGCTATTAGTTTAGTAAGTTCTTTATCAACTCCATCTTTATTATAAATCAAGAATATTAAATTCACTCTCAAAAGATTATCATAAAAATAATGGAATCGAGTTAATTAAGGTCCTATGGTATTAGCATTACTTCAAATTGCAATTAATTAGAATTTTGCTGATTAAGATATTCTAAAATAAATAATTGATGCTTTAAATGAATTTAGAAATTCAATAGTAGAAGCTATGAATGATTTATCTAAACAAGAATAAATCAATTAGTAAGAATTTTTAGAAAGATTAGATTAATTGGAAGATGAACATCATGAATTCCAAAAATAAATTAGCTAAGCATAAGTTGATTTAGATGCAACAATTTGTAATTTATATCTTAATAAATATTTAGAAAAATTAAATGATAGTAATCAATTCCTAATACAAAAATAGGCTGATAGAATATAATATTAATAATAATTAGATCTAGAAAATGAAACTTATGCTGTTGATATTGATATTTATAATTAAATCTCCACCGAACTGGAAAGAGAGTTACCTATAGCAGAATAAGGATTATCACTCATAAATTCAGCTGATTTTTCTGATATTAAAATATGAATGATTTCTTAAGAAATTATAAACTATATAATTCTAAAATTATTAAATAGTTATAATTCTTAAAGATAATAAATAGATATACAATTCTTATTTTAAAATATATTACAAAAAAAATCATTAATCTTATTATTATTATTTTGACTTTAATTCTAAAAAGAATTATTCAATTAAGGTAAGCCAATCATTTTAAGGCTTTTTTTCTGAAATGTAACTTAAAACCTTCTCTATATTAATTTATGAGATTTTAAATTAATGTTATTATAAAAATTTAATCGCTTTTCCTGTGTTTGCAATATCAATTCTTTATTAAACAGTGTAATTTTAACAATAGATTACTTTCTAATTATTTGTGGTCCTATCTTAATTACTTAAAAATATTTATCCATTATGCCCTAAAATCATATTAACATTGTTATTTAGCTTGATAAAATGTCTTTTTTATTTAACAATCAAATAATGATTAACCTTACTAAGAAGTCCATTTTCAATTTTACCATACTTAAGTCCTCTAGTGTGAAGGTTAATTGATTTATCATTATTAATAGCTAAAATATATTGATTAAGTATAATTACAATGAATTTCTGCACAGATTAAATCATTTTCAGCAAATATTTAACGCATATTCATTTCATCATCCTCTGTTTTTTGTCTCTAATAATTAAAGATTATTTTACTTATTCAGGTAAATAAGTAGAATTCAAATGAAGAGTAGCTTCTGAACTAGAATCTATATTCACAATCCATTTTTTATCTCTAATTTAAACAATTTAACCTATTACAATTTCACCAATTTATGGTTAATAACTACATTTAATTGGCTTTATCATAATCAATCTAAAATTAATTGAGTATTGATAACTTGTTTGTTTAATTAATTGTTCCTGTTGTGCTGGAGAATATTTTTCCTTACTCTTCATAAGTATTAGTTCCACTAATAAATCCAGGTTCATCAGATAATAAATCTCCCGGTAAGTAAACTTCTTTATTATCATGATGCAAATTTTCCTCTATTTACATTTTAATTGATATTTAGATTAATAATTTCTTTATACAATAATTATAATATAATAATTATAAATTATATAATATGAAATTGTGACTCAATTAAATCTAAACAGATATGAAAGAATCCAATTTAGTTGAGAACATAATATCTAACATTAATAATTAATGATATATAGGAAATTATATAAAATTAGATAATACTAAAATGTGTGCATTAGTATTTAAAATTAATATGTAAAATATAAATCTTAAGTATGTATTTGATTTAATTATATTTTGAAATGAAAGTCTATAAATTTGTTTGATTTGACCGAGATTATTATAAAATGAGAGAAATAGAAATGCATTAATTTGATAAAGTTTAAAGAGATTGTTCCATTTATAAAAATGAGTTATAAATTGGAATTTTCCAGAAAATAATAATAAAATAAATAAAAATGACACGTATTACAAGTATACTGCTACTTTCACTAATGCTTGTTTCAACATAAGCTTACTTTTAAGATAAATAACACAGAGAAGAAGCTAAATAATTCTTTTTGAATTTTATAAAAGAATTTACAAATTAATATACCGCTATTTCAGGTGAAGGTTTGGATTATATGGGAGCTATGAAATTGGCTTTGGATTATTGGATTACATAAATAAGAGTTCACAATTTTGGTGAATTAAAAGTAAAAATAAGAAATAAAATAAGGTTGATTATGATGTGGATCATGATATTTTAGAAATATCAGCACCAAGTTTCAACATTGATGTGATAGTAGAGAATAAATATACAATTCCTTTAAAAATTGAAGAGTATTTTAAATAAATAAATTTTAGTTTGTTTGTTTCAATAATTTTCAATATTGGTCCAACTCATTTTAGATGTGCAGAAGTAGAAATAGATTATGGATCTGTTTCTTTGGATGTGAATGTCGTAATAGAATATATAACTAAACAATTGTTATCTTTAGACATCATTAAATCAGCAATAAAGAAATCAGAGGCTCCAATTAAAAATCTTTTAGTCAATACACTTAGGGTATATTTATTGATTGAATAATATAAAGAATAACCATTAAAGATTACATGGATTAGTAAATGAATTGAGAACAGGTTCATTAAACCCAGGAGCACTTTTAGCTTAATTACCAAATGTACCATTCACTAGAGTAGAAAATGGAGAATATATTATAAATATTAGATAAATTTTCAGTTTTGAATCTTAGAAGGAGAAAGAAAAGAAAGACGATCTTTGAATTTAAATATATATATATATGAAATTGTCAAATGTCTTATTAAGGGTTTATTTTGATAATAAATTTAACTAATGATTGATTATTCATACCTTGCTCCTCCAAAAGAAGCTCATGAGATTGTTCATACAAGTAAATAATTCAATTTTGATTTTTAGAGGATTATATCAAGTATTAATAGAAAGAGTAGGGAGTTAGGAGAATCTTTGAAACAGTTGTTTATGATTAGTTTGAAATGGAGAAGGTTAAAGAACTTAAGGAAGAGATAAAAAAATAGAAAATAATACTTTCTTCTGAGTAAAAATATCTAAATATTAGTTTAGTTGGAAGGAAAGTGATTATTTAAGAATTAGTTATGCTGGGAGATTCAATAAGAAAGAAGTAATAAAAGTATAAAATTGTTTATATAAAAGAAACTTCAATAACATATAGCTTGGAGGTGTAATAAGATTTATTAGGAAATTAATTCTCATTCAGAATAGTTGTTAAAAGAAGGAATCTGTTATCTTTTGGGTAGAGATAAACAATTCAGGCCAATTATTATAATGAATGCCCATTAAATAGATTAAAAAAAAGTACATCATAAGTCCACCATATGCTTAGCATGATAAAGAATAAATCTTATAAGTTTTATCATTTCTTCTGGGAATAGTAAAGAAGAATATGTTAATTCCAGGAAAGGTGGAAACTTGGGTATTTCTCTTAGACACTGGTAATTTAGGAGGTTAAGGTTTGTAATAGAAAGTTTTGGAAGTGTTAATTGATGGATTGAGTACTAATTTTTCAGGTTATCTTGAAAGAATGTTTGTATTAAATCCTTCAAGTGGAATTAACTTTTTGTGGCAATCAATTAAAACAATTTTGGATCCAGAGACTATTAATAAAATTAGTTTTCTTCAATAAAAAGAATTTAAATAATTAAAAGAATATATAGAACCAAATTAATTGGAATAAAAATTTGGAGGCAATCAAGTCAATTTAACAAAATTTTGGTATTTATATATTCTAATTAGGCCACCTTACAATTTGGATTTGCCAGATGGATATACAAAAAAAGATAATAAATCTACTCAAAAATAGGAAATAAAAATTTAAAATATGAAAATTGAAGAAGAGGAAGAAAATGATCCATATGATTAAGTAGAGTTTAATTTAAACGATTTTATGAAATAGTAATAACAAATATATTATGGAGTTTCTAATAATGATAATAATAATAAACAATTATAAATTTAAGATGAAGAATAAATTGATAAAAAATAAGATGAATTTCCAAACAGATTTATTTAAGAAAGAGAACATTAAACTAATCCTTAATAAATAAATAATTAATAGATAATTTTGGATGAACCTGAATAACCAGATCTATAATAATAAATAGTTCATTAAGAGGAAGAGAAAAAATAAAATGTTCACTAAAATTAAGAAATTAAAGAAAGTACTGAGTAAGTTTTTTTGACTGAAAGATAAAAAAACTGCTAATAGTTAGGCAATAATGATACAGAATAAAATAAAATATTAACACATGATGAATAAGGATTTAACTCATCTGCAAACAAATTAAATGAAGAAAGCAATGTAGAAAATATATAGATTTTGCATTTAGATCCTGTGAATAATGATAAAGGATGTTGTTAAAAATGTGAAATATTTTGATATTAAAATACATTTATAATACTTATATTCTCAAATTTAATTAACTTAATAAGTAATTGAGACATCAATATAAATTATTACTTCAGAAATTCATTTAATCTCAATATATTCTTTTGTCTAATGCTGGTCAAAAGAACATATTTTTGTATACAGTTAAAATTAGTAAATAAGATTCTAGGATTTCGCCTTAATTTTTGATTTATCCATAGATTCTATGAATTTTTATATAATTTATTTTCCTTTGTTGATTTCATAAATGTTGAAAACGTTTTAAATATAATTAGTATATTTTGTAGAATAACATGTAAATTTTATTTAAAATTTAAAATAGGGATATAATTGTTGAAATATTCTATTTTTTCCTAAATATTTTTTAATCTCAACTGTTAGTTTCTATTAATAAAGATATCATTTGTTTTATAATTTAGAGGCTTTAAATAAAAATTGATTAATATAGTAAGGGCTTGAAAATAAGATTATTTAGCAATGAAAAATCCATTAAGAACGCATTTTCTAAATAAAGATTACATTATAAAATGGAAGATTTTCATCTAATTAAATATGAACTAATTTCGGATAAGCCAATAATAACTTTTGTAATATAAACATCTTAATTTTGGGTAGTGTTAAATTCTTTAGACTTTTTTAAATTAAGTCATAGTATACTAGAATTAGTTATTTATTCTATTAAATTGTTCGTGTTCTTCTAAATTCTGAATAGCTGACAATGTTTGCTTTGAATTTAGCCTAAGATGTAGGCTAATCATCGATTAATTAGATTGTTGCTAAATATATATATTATCTTAATATTTGTTGTATTTGTTGAAAATAGATTATTAAATACCTGATGAGGATATAAAAGGATAATTTACTTAATAAGTTATAAAGATAGTTCTTTTGGTAGTAGATTTGATTAATACTGAATGGAATGTATTTCTTAATCAATTCTGCAATTCATGAAATAAAGGAATAATATTAAAAATGAGTGAGTATATGTCTAGAATAATAGTATATTATAGTTTGTGGATAAATAATTATTATAAAATGAGTATTTTTGAATCTCAAAATGCTATTGAAGATATGAGAAACAATATAGGGAGATAAGAAAATTTATCTAATATTTATAAAGAAGTAGGAAGTCCTTCAGAGCATTCTTATTAAAGGTTTATTATACTGAGATAATTGTAGTTATTTTTCTCCAAGCAACAGTTTTATGAAGGGTAGCAAAAATAATGTTTTGATAAATAAATCTCTTGAGCTTGTAACAACATAACCATTAGGGTATTAACAATTTAATTTAAGTCTAACTCGTGTATGGAAGAGTAATGGTTTGATAATTATTACTATGATTATGAGATTTTTATACACATTGAAATTGTAAACAGAATCGATGAAATACAAGTTATTAAACAAAAGGATATTTACAATAATTTAGGATGTTTCATCAGATTATTTAAATATTGTACGTTATCGGAAAAATAAATATCATATGAAGGGAAGGTCAGAATTTTAAGTGCAATATTCTTAGTTTAAGAAATAAATTAGATCAATTTTTGAATATTATGGGGGTTTCATTCCAATATTTTAACCAGATCAAAGATTTATAATGTACTATGAGTTCTGTTTAATAATATCTATTTTATTAAACTTATTTTATGTGCCTATAAATATAAGTTTCTTAAATCAAGATATATCAATATTTTTTGACGCCTTTCCAACAGTATTACAAATCATATGGATTTTAATTCAATTTAATCTTTCATTCTATGAAGATTAGATAATGAAGAAAAGTAGAATTGATATAGCAAGCAACTATGTGAGGAGCTATTTTTTATTAGATTTATTAATAGTTTTGATGACATACATGTAGATACTTTATGGTTATTTCATTCCATTAATATAAGTAATTTTGAGAATTCCTCTTCTGATTAGAATATTGGATTAATTTGAATATAATACAAATTTTAAAGAAAATTTAGCAGCTGTATTTGATTTGATAAAACTGATTGTAATGTTAATTTTTATAATTCATTGTTGTGCTTGTAGTTGGCATTATTTGGGTGTTTATGAAATGTAGAACTATGTTTCTGGAAAGAATTGGTTAGAGTATTACGATATAAGTCATTTAAATTGGATAGAGCAGTAATACTATCATAATAAACTAAAGATACATAGCATCCTTGTACTTCAGTGTAATAACTACATTAACAGTAGGATATGGTGATCTTACTCCACAATCAGCCTATGAACAAATATTCGTAATATTAGTTGCCATGAGTTTATGTGGTATGTTAGGTTATACTATTTCTAATATTGGTGAAATCTATAGATCTATGAATGAAAAGAAATAGTAATATAAGACATAAATGAAAGCAATCGAATAGATTATAAGACAACGAAAATTAAATGATAAATTGTCGATTAAAGTCAGAAAATATTATCAACATTTATTTCAATAAGAATAATAGGAGAATTCATTAGGAGAATAATTATTAACCAAATTAACAAAAAATCTAGAAGAGGAAGTGATGATTGATTCTTATAAAAATATTCTAATGAACTCTTATCTATTACGATAATTCAAATAATCAACAGTAGAATAATTATGTACTAAAGTAAAAGTCTTAAAATTGCAACCAGGAGATGAGGTTGTCAAAGCATAACAATTTGCTGATCATCTAATCTTCTTATTGAGTGGAGAACTTACTTTATTAGGACATAATTCAAGATAACCTATAGTTTTAAAATAATTGACTGGAGGAACTGTTATTGGAGAATAAGAATTTACTGAGTAAGGATTCTATGATTATATTATTATAAGTTAAGGATATAGTAAGATAGCAGCTATATCTAGAATTGCATTTTATGAAATATTATAATATGATAGATAAGAGTTCGAAAAGATGTGTAAAATTAGAGATTAATATAAATTTAGTATAAGGAAAAAAAATGTTATAGGAAGAACTTGTGAAATCTGTGGATGGACTCATGGGTACTTACAATGTCCTATGACATTTTATTAGGTCGACAAATTGAAATTGTTGACTTATCATCGATAAAATCATGATTAACAAAGGATGTTTTATAAAGATTTTAGAAGATCTAGAAAATTCAATACTTTAACTGAACTATTACATATTCAAAATACTTGTTTAGATTTTATGATCAGCTAAAAATTAGTTGATGGAATGTAATCAATTTATTTAGATATTTAGACCAAATCAGGATCAAAATGAAGAAGCTAATCAAGGATTAAAATTTAATATTTAAGATTTGGAATCCTCAAATTTCAGTTCCTGTAAATCAATCCAAGAGGATATCAAAGAAAATATTAATTCTATTATGAAATCTCCGACTAATAGTTCTAAATTTTAATTCATCTGTAAATAGATTGATTAATAACGGGAGTAATTGTAAAGGTAATCCTTTGCCAGAAAAAGCATCAAGAAACAATCTTTGATAATAGATCACAATTTAAGGAGGACAGAAAAAGAAGATGATATCAAGGAATATATTGATGAAATTTTAGAAAAAATGAATATACATTAAAAAGAAAAAGAGAAATCTTTAGTTTCTACTCATTCTAAAGATACCTATAATCCAGATTTAGAATTTGAAGTTATGTAGTCTTATAAATATTACTTTCCTTAATTTAATATAGACAATATACTTGAACGAGTAAATTAATCCTATGAAAAATTTATGCAAAAAAATAAGAAAAATTCCATTCGTATTTTTGTTAATCGCAGAAAATTGAAGAGGAAAATTATGGTTTAGGATTGAAAATAATTATTTATTATGTATGATATTAATATTTTTATTTATGATTCAAACTCAATAATCTAAAGAAGAGACTTTTCTTTAAATCACAAAAAATATAAGTTAAGTAAACATTGATAATGAGGGGACCTTTAAATATATTCTAATTTTATTAGAGGACAATTAAAATCAAGAATTTTATTTTGTAAGAGGTCTAAAATAGTATGATTATCATGCCTAAAATTTTAAACACTTTTGTAATGAAGCCAAAAATAATTTGAAATGGTCAGAATTCACATTTAATTTGGAAACTGGAACAATAATGGCTGAATTAAATGGTCATAAATTTAGCTTTAAATGTGTTGGAGGGGGGAGACTAAAACATTCAGTTAGTTAATAAGCATTAGAAATTTATGGATATTCTTAATCTTATGGACAATGTGATCATAAAATATCCTTGAATGTAATAAGAACAGTTTATCAATATTTGGACAAGAATGTTATTACAAGAAACGATGGTTATTGATAATAACAAAAAAATATTGTATTTCATTAAATAAATGGATTTATGTATCCACCATTAGCTTAATAAAGATGAGTTCCAATTCCAAATTATTTATGATTATTTAATGGTTCTATGTTTTTCTTTAAATTCCATAATTAACATGACAAAGCAATCTTTAAAACAATGACAAAATAGCTAACAATAATAGTTATTCTCTAAGATACGATAAGCTATGATTCTTATTGTGGATTATCTTTCTTATTTTAATTCCACCAAACCTATTAATTATAATTTAGATATTTTTACTCCAGAATAAGCAGCTAACCAGGAAACATCAAACAACAAAGTCAAAATAATGAGAATTGCAAATATATTTAAATGATTCTTTTCAAAATAATTAAGGCCTACAATTAAAGAAGTACTTAAAGCAATAGTGATATTTACAAAATCAGTTTTAACCCAACATAAATAGATGCTACTTAGCAAATAAAATAAAATAAATATGGCTGTTATTTTCATATCTTTAGTTACATGATCATACCCATAATTTGCTTTTTATTTTAGATCATGTCTTGCTGGATAATCAATCTCTGGATGTACTGTTGTAACACTTTCAGGAGGTTGATTCAATATTTGTAAAACTCTACTATCACTCAATTAAGGAGTCTTATAAATTGTTAAATCAATTTTCTTATCACCTTAATATACAATAGGTTTTGAGAATTCATGAACAAACATTAATTAAGGAGCATCAGAAACTATTAGTCTTTTTGGTTGTAATACTCCATTCTAAAAAGGTGCATAAAGATTCTTTAAATCATTCTCATATTGATCCTTCTCATCTTATTGATTTAGTATTTGTTACTACATTACTTATTAAGCTTATTCATAGAACATTTACTATATTATATTCTATAATATAATACTTCATCAAGTAACAATTACAACTCTAATTATAAACTACCACTACTCATTTAACCATGACGATCATAAATATTGAACCATTGATTATGTTTCATTTAATCTTCCAATTCTCTTAAACCAAAATGAACTTCCCCTATTAAACTGCTTTTATTATTTACACTATCCAAAGTTAGTATTGATATATAACTTTGTTCATTTCCAGATTTTATTGGACTTATAATTTATTAAGCTTTTTTACAATACAAAGGTTTCATCCCAAATAGGATTAAGTATATCATTATGTGCTAAACAAGAACTCTTTTTCTCTTAATTGAAATGGACTACTACATAAGGTTTATTTGTGGCATTTATCAATCCCTAATGTAAATTCTTAGCCCCTATCACTCGAATCTATAAAATTTATGATCGATTTTTATTTGTTAATTTTGCCAACTCTTCAGTTTGACTCATTAGAAATTCATTGGCTTTATTGATTTTTTCATTCAATATTATGTCTGCCTTAATTACGATTTCTATAAAATCTTCAATTTTAACCAATCCCTTGTAATTTTTTGGACAACGTTCAAGCAACTCGTCTGCTAATTCTCTATCAAATTATGTTTAAGCCATATTATCTAAAATACGCAAAAGAGATGTTTTAGTAACAATAAAGAAAGGTTCAAATCCTTTACATTAAAAACAAGCAGTCAGATAATCTTTGGCTTATTAATATTTGTTGCTCATTAACTGATATTTAATAATATTTCTTAAGATGAAAATACAATCAATAAGTCCAAACTTATTCAATACTTATTGCATATCCATAAAATTTGTCAGAATTTTATAGATAAACAATTATTAGATATGTTCTAAATAAATATATAAGAAAATATATGCACAATTATTTACATTTCTAAAAAGGGATAGAATTTATTTCCTTCTTAATTTAAACTATCATCACATATCCTTAAGTTTATGAAACATCAAACATTAATAAATGCTCAATAATATTTAAGAATTAAGATTCTTATTAGATTATAAAATTCTTTGATAAGTAATTTCATCATCATATTCACCAATCTAAATTAACTACTGAATGACTCCCATCACAGTTTGGATTTTTAGGATCAAATTATCTCTTACAACCACAGAGTAAAGCACTTGATAGATTTAATTATCTAAAATTACTTTCCACTTCTTTTAGGTATTATTTTGACTGGCTCAAACCCTGTTCCTTCACACTATCCATCACAGAATGGTTGAGTAGAACCAAGACCACATGTACAATAATAGTATTCTATTCCTTATTCTAAAAACACTCTTTTTTTGAGAAGAACTTCATTACGTAAATGGGAATCTTGCTGCTACTTTGCTTGTACCAGTTTCAATAACTTTTTATTTGTCCTAATTCTACATATAAATATAGATATATAAATTAATTAAATTTCATTTAGGCTCTTCTATATTTGTTTTGTTAAATTATTAATCTTATGCCTTCATATAATATTAAGGTTGATAATAAGACTGTGACATCCAATAATTTTACTATAGACCTTGCGATAAATTAATAGATTAGCCTATAGGTTAATAAATAATTTAGGGATAGAGAATTTGTACAGGAATTTGTTATTAGTATTATTGTTGATTTTCAAAATCATATTGACTATTGACAAGGTTGAATTGATCTCCTAAAAATAGTTAAGATGTTTAAAGAGGTTGAGCTTATTATGATTAAGGTATAGATTATCTAAGTGATGATGAAATTGTTAACCTTTACTATTATTGTTATTATTATAGCATTTAAGAATGCTATATTTATTATTATTAAACTTATTATTATTATTACTATTATTATTATTATTATTATTGTTATTATTACTATTATTATTACTATTATTATTGTTATTACTATTAATGTTGCAACAATTATTGTTATTATTAAACTTAAGCCTAGGTTGAAGAACCATGAACTTTATTTATGACTTCCTATAAATACTGTTAAGGTATCATAAAAATATTTGATTATTCAAAATCTACAATCCCAAATTAACAATCTTCAACATCTTAAGCTGTTAAATTAGTAATTGCTTCAACTTCAAATTCTACTTAATTTGCTTAGAAATTAAGAATCATTTAGTCATAATATTAATCAAATTACAATTGATTAGTTTCATTTTCTAAAGAATTAATTATAATTGATACCTTAAGGCTTTAAAATTTATTTAAGAAGATTGATAGTACAATTTTAATCTAATTCCTATTTATTAACAAGTTTTTTAATTTATGAATCCAAATCAATTTTGATTTTTTCCATTGTATCAAGAAATCTTTATTTATTATTTGCCTCTTCATTTTTTTATTGAATTTAATCAATTTAACTTTCTTACTTAATTTTTTATTATTTTTCATATAATTGTTCTTATTACATTTATTGATCAGTAATTAAAGTACTTACTCTAATTTATTTACCAGTACTTTCACTCAATCTATCGATAACTTAGAGAATAATTTTCAATTCTTTTGGATCTATATCTTCATATAAATGAACTAAATTATCAGCTTAATAGTTATGATTATGTTATTATAATAAGTCTACAATTTCTTATTGAATTTCTTCTTTAACTTCAGGTTATTTATTTCTTTCTTTTTTCATAATTGTATGATATCTGTTTTTTAAGGAATTTTCAGTACGTGTGTTTTTCATAATTTTAGAAATTTCAGACCATTTTTTTCCTTTTTTAAGAATCAATTATAATAAAGTTAATTCTTCTTCTTTAGTCCATGGTCCTCTATAAGATATTAGATTAAATAATATACTTAGAAATTTATGGATCTAATTTATTAATCCATCTTTCTCTGCATTATTTTCCTTATCTAACAATTTATGTTTTGCATCTAAGTGCAATTTCTTTAGCAATTTCACTCCATTTACTATGTTTTCCTTATTTCTGATATTCCATATAAATTGAAGCTAATGCCTCATCTTCTTCTTTACTCCAAGGTACTTAAACCAATTTAAATTTAGATCGTGCTAACCATTTATATTTACATTATGTAGCATTTCTTCCAACTATTAATTAAGCAATATATCTCCAATCTTAATCATTCTAAATTAAAATATAATATATTACTAGTTCTTTACAAACTTTATTTTTCCATAGACAATATTTAATAATGATCCATGTTAAAAATTATTTTTCATTATCTTTCCATTTCTTTTTATTTTGACGTCCTTAGATTCTGCATAAATTTAATAATAAATATTACTTGCTCATAGATTTTTGAAACATCTATTCTAAATCATCTTCAGTTGGCCATTCCATATCAGCTGGAAAGTCTATTCTTTCTTTTGCATTGTCTTATTCAATTTCTATAGAAGAAGTTGATCTCATAAACTCTTTAAAGTTTCTTTAAACCTACTCTAAAGGGCAAACTTAAATAATATAATCAAACATTTATACTAATAAGATCTTCTTAATCTAAATTAAGACTTGCTGCTAATGATTCACCTGCACCATCTTCAGCCATACTTCTAAGCTCTATTTTCAGAATTATTTTTTACATTAGAGTGTTATATGGTCTATTTTTTTCTCCTATTTATAATTCATTTTTAATAATAATATATAGATATATAAATCAGTTTTTATTACCTTTAAGATGTTTCTTCTCCAAATTTATGTAGTCAATCAAAATCATTGATTAATCATTATTTGATATTTTTGGAATATCATCTGGACAACCCATATTTCTAATAGGAGATATTGATTAATAACCAATATCTATATGTGTAATCGTTTCTTCATCCATTTAAAATTTCTCATATTAAGATGGTATAATTAACAAAGGATATGGAGTAGTAAATCCTTCCTTCTCAAAATGTAACCATACAAAAATATTGTTTTTCACTTACCTATTAAATAATTAGATTAATTTATTACGATTTAGACAAAAAGAAATATAATTAAAATTTCCCATCTTCCCTTGTATGAGTTGCAGCTTTCACTTTATCACCAGATTCCTATTTTTTTACAATCTTCACTGAAGCATGTTAAACTGCTCTAAACAATTTGTCTTTACAATTATATTCTGATTCTAAATAACCACTTATCATAAATTTTGAAAAGAAATTTTTTATTTCATTAACATAGGCTTAGCTTTCTTCAACTATAATGTCTTTTTTATAATGATATTTCGGTGGTTAAATATTCAAAGGAACCAACTTTCTCTCAAAATGTTAAGTTTCTTTTATCAAAATTTAATAATCATAATTCTTATTACATTAAGCTTCAAATTTAAATTTCATTTCATATTCACTAAATTGATCTATCTCACTTTCCTTTACTTCCTCATCCTCATATAGGAGTGCTATTTTATGAAATTTCAAAGAAACATGATATTTATTTGATGTAACTTCACCTTCAACTTTACCCTCAACTTCATCAGAATAATAAATCTTTTGATATTTTAAACTTAGATCATCACTTTTTATTTTATGTTTTTATTTCAAACTTTATTATTTACCATTCCAACTATTATAATTAATATTTAAACTATATTCTTAATGTAATTTAACAAGTAATTCACCTTCCCAATCCCCTTCTTTATTTGTTATCAATTTAAGTTTCTATGTCTCAGGAACTGTATCTAAATTTAATTTTAGTTCTTCCTTTCCTTCACAATATGGATCAATAACTTAACCATATACATTAATATATTATAAATTAGTCTTTATTGAATGATCTTAACTTATTCCATCACATTTTATTGTTTATTCTACTGTTTCCTTTAAATCTTAAACTTTTATTTCTAATTTAAAACTTTCTTCTACATCTTTAAAGCAACTAACTTCCAAAGTTGCTTTACCTGTTTTATCATCCACCTTTACTACTATTCTATCATTACCATTTGATTTTGGTTTAAATTCTGATGCCTCTACTTAAGAATTTTTAATTGGTTTCTTTTTAGAATCTTATAAATTAAACTCAATTTTTTGTTTATTCACTTTCCTTTCTAAAATTATATTTCTATCTCTTAAATCTTCATTCTTTGAAAAAATCACTTTTTCTGAAATATCTCCATCTTCAAATTAAGGATGCGAAGCTTTAATCTCAAGTTGATAAGTATCTGTACTTATTTCAAACTAACCCTAATATTAACCTCTCTCATTTGAAGTTATTTGTATTGACTTAACTAACTTATCATTCTTATTTAAATTTATTATCACATTTGCATCTTTAACATAATCAATCTAATTTAACTTTTCCTTATCCTTTATTATTCCACTTATCTAATTTTATTAATATTTTTTACTTTCAATATTGATTTATCATTTACAGATTTTATTTTTATAACAGTCAATTCAGGTGCTTTCTTACATATAAATGGTTCAGAAAAGTACTCTATTGATTATTGATGTTGATTTATTAAAATAAAATTTGCTCTGTACTCAACATTTTAATAACATTAAAAATTTAACTAAAATGGTCTAAATATAAAAAATAAAATAATACTTTCCCTATTAAAGTTTAACACTAGTACCATAGAATTTCATATCATTTTCTTCTTTCATTAATGGTTTAGTTGTTTTAAGTTAAATGCTTCCTGTTTCATCTAAACTAGAACTCAAAATAGCTGAAATTATTATTCTTTATAAATTGATGTTATAATTCAAATGTTCATCTTTAGTACCTGTTACTTATAAAATATTTAATTGCTTAAAATCATTAAAATCAGTTAATTTAGCAGTAATATCAATACTTAAAGCTTCTTGATTTAAAATAGAGAATTCAGTTTAATAAACCCCTTCATCCTTAGAATGGACAGATTCTAATTGTGTTTATTAAATATCTAAATGAAATCTTCCTCTTAATTTTTACTATAGTTTATTAGGTACTAATTAATGTACAGTAATAGTAATAATAACTCCATTCATATTTGTATTAATATTAGTTGGATCTAAAACTTAACCTTTCAAAACTATTAACCAAGTAATATATTGAACTGTTAAATCTTGCTTAATTTCCCATTTTGGCCCTTGCAATTTTATAACTTGATCAAATTTAACTTTGGATTCATTTTCAGATTTAAGATGACATTACATAGGTTAATCAAATCCTACTAATCCATCAACTTTTAAATCATATTATAAATCAAATCCAATCTTTCCAATTTATTTTATAGGTTTTTTATCTGTCGAAAGTGTTTAATCACATGTTAATACAACAGGAAAAGTTGAAGGTATAATATTTTTAGCCTTGCAATCATTTGCCTTACCATAAACATGACATTATTCAAAATCTTCATAGTAAATATTTGAAAATTCAAAATGATCTTAAGGTTTAAGAGTAAAAACAGATGACTAATATTATTATTTTAATGATTTTTCATCTCCTATTCCATTTTTATATTTGATAATGAATTCATATTTTGCATTAGCCTTAATTACTTTGTCTTTGATTTCATATAAACCTTTTTCATTAGTTTTAAGTTAAGTTGTTTTGATATCCTTTGGATCTTCTTAAAATATTATACTAAAATCAAGTTATTAATTAGGTTTAGGTTAATTTTTAGGATCAATAATTTTACCTTAAAGATTTAAATTTACATCTTTTAAACAAGCTGATATCTCTTTAAAGGAAGAGTAAGAACCTTTGGTAAATGTTGTATCAAATGATTAATCTTAAATATCACCTGAAATAGTAGTAGTACATTAAACAACATCATTAAAATTGCTAACTGCTTCTATATTGATAATAAATTCACCATCAAGTTTTGTTTACTCATTTTTTTCAGATTTATTTGAACATTTTACTTTAATTTAAAGAGGATTAATTAATTATCCTCTACATAATTTAACCTTACCACTTATTTTATATTATATTTATCCTCCAATATATTAATCTGGAAAGTGTTGTTCTTCTAGATTAACTATTTTTGTGTAAAAACTAATCTATAAACTAGATGATCCAAATTCTAGAAATCCTGTATATTGTTAATTTTTAAATAGTTTTGTATCAACAAATTAAATGATTCCTTGAGCATTAGAAGTTTAAGTTAAAACATCTGATAAAGGATTAGTATGAAAATTGGCTTAATATCCACTTAAAGGTTTATTATTTACATCTAAGAATTTAACAGAGAAAATTCCTTAAATAAAGAGAGGATCAGAAACAATTTCAATTTCTGGCTTCTCTTTTGTTGGTGGTATGCACTTGAATTAATGTGATTAGAATATTTATGCAGCAAAGTTCTTTATGCTTAATTCTAATGTTGCTTTATAATTCACATTTTGATAACATTTAAAATGAAGTTTAAAGGATCCACTAAAACATTAGAACAATATATTTACTCATTTGATTAATATATTGGACTATACAATTTATCATCTTCCATAAATGGAGTACATGAATTTAATTTTAATGTTGCTGGCTATTTTAATGTATCAACCTTATAATTTAGAATAATGTTATTATACTCAATACGCTCTAAAGTTATAGGATTTTTATTTTTTGGATTTTCATCTGTTTAAACATTAAAATTAAAACTTTAAGAACCATTACCTTCTAAATTTAAAAATTCATCTTTCTAATAATCTATAAAATCAGGATGAGATATTTTTAATTTTACAATTTATTTTTCACCTTTTCCAATTTTAAATTTTAGTGAAAACTAACCTTTCTCATCAGATTTTATATTAAATTCTCTTTAAAGTTAATGCTAAGTAACATCTTTCTAAAAAACATTAAATTTCATATTAGCATCACTAATAAAAGGAATTATTTATGTTTTATCTACTAAAATTCCTGTAATTATTATTTCAAAAAGATTGTACTTAATTTCAATTTACTTTAGATCAATTTTCCAAATTCCCTTTTATAAAGTAAATTGTTTTGTGAATGGTTAAATGAATTAAGCAATATCCTATTATTAAATAGAACAAGTTATATCTTTATCTCCTCTAGCTTCTAATTTCCAATTTTAATCTAGAACTTCATTTTCATCAGTTTATCCAAGAGTCTACTTAGGTAAATTTAATTTAGATTCAATAGTATCACAATTAATTTGATAAGGAATCTTAAATTTGATATTCTCAGGAGCTTCTGAAAATTTACCATTTAATTATGCGTTTACTATGTCTTAATAGTATAAATTTTCAATTTATAAATTTTAAATAGGTTCAAGTGTTGTTGAAAATATAAATTTATTTATTAGTATTTCTTTTTAAGTATTTGTATATGTAATTTGTAAATCATATTAAGCTGAAGGTTATAATAACAAATTTTTTTTTATCCACTATCCATTAGAATCTGTTTGAGTTTCAAAATTTTCAATTAAATTCTCAAATTTAGCAATAAATTATAATGCTAAATTTTTCATTGGTTTTAAATTAGGATCTAAAACAATCCCATGTAATGTAACTGATGGCTGAACTGGTATTTCAATAGTACCTAATTAGAAAATATCTGAATTTTTAGTTCTATCATCATGATCCATTGAAATAGTTTTTGATTATTCAAATAAAGCATAATACTATTTAGTAATAGATACTTTAATTATAAATTTGTACCAAAGTTTAGTAATGTATGAAATATCGATTTTACCATCTTCTTTTGTTTAAAAGGTTTGACGATTTAATTATCTATGTATAATAAAAAATAATAAATACCCTTTAGATTCAGAACTAAAAATAATTTCAACAGTGGCATCTTTTAAAGGTTTTTTAGAATTTTTATCGACTACAATTCCTTAAACCTTTTAAGTGAAGACTCCTTCTTCCATTATCACTTAATAGTTGACTTTATATTGATTAGTTCTATTGGTAGATATAAATTTATTTTTACACAATCAAGACATAGGTCTCATCATCTTCTTTAGTTTATCTATAATTCCAAAAGTTTTCACTTTATGCTAAGAATTTAACAACAGCAGCAGATTTTGGATAAATTGTAAATAATTTAGATAATCCTTCAGTATTAGATTCACTATTAAATCCATAAGAATGTTTGCCATTTAGTATATATTCAATAGTATAATCAATTTTAACACCCACTAAAGGAGCATAAGATTGTCCTCCATTTAATGGAGCATTTTTATTAAAGTATTATCCATTAATTTTAGCTAAAACAGCAAGTCCATTTACTGTAACATCATCAACTGTGAGAATGAAGTCCTAAACTACATTACCATTTGAATCTGGATTTACAGCATAACGTTAAGGAATTTACAAATCTCCATATAAAGAAGCTTCCACAACTAGATTACCAATTTAGTTTATTTGTGCTACAAGCTCATATTTTCCATCATCTTTTGTTTAACCACTAACGATAGTTTATTATTCCTGACTATTGGTAAAATTCAAATTTCATACAATAATTTAATATAAACTCCTGCTATATTGATACCCTAAGAATCCATGACAGTTCCTGTAAGTTTTAGTTTAGTCTGAGCCGAAACTAAGTATGTTAATACAAAGAATATAAGCATCTTGAAATTTAATTTAATTTTATTGTTTGTTTATTTCAAATAACACAATCAGAATTACTTTTCTATTATAAACAATATAAAAATAATAAGTAATTCATACTAAACCCATCGTAATCTCTGAAAACTAAAATTCAAATATTATTTTAATTATAACAGATAACTAATTGAAATGAAACAAATTTTATCAAATGTCCCTGATAATTTCTTAACAGAACCTCGCTTCTCATAATAGTCATGTCATATTATTAAATCAAAACCCTTAATTACTTATACACCTTTACAAGTTAATAAACCTTAAAATTTGATTTAATCATTAAATGGGTTATGCAAGTACTTTAATAAAAAGGATGAAATGAAATAGATAAGTTATTACGCTCCTAAAAGTGTTTAGAGATCTTCAGCATCATTATCTCCTAGATAGATAATGACAAGTAGCATTTCTGATAATAGTCCTGTATTAGTAAAACAGCTTCTATGTAGCTAAAAATATCTAAAAGAGAATCTCAATCCTTCTTCTAGCATTGAGTTCAAATCAGTAATTAAATTATCATTATCTTTTTGTAGGATTAAAAATTGATCAAAGTTAATGATAGTAGTCATAAGAGAAGTATGGGAAGATTTGCTAAAAATTAGAAATCTAGAAATGCATCTCTTTAATATCATGAAGATTGGAAATTAAAATATGATGATCTATAAGAAAGCTTATGCTAACGTATTTAATAATTAGAAAATGAACTTGAAGAAATGGAGAACAATAGAAAAATTGATAGAATGCATTCTGATGAATAAACAAATTAATACATTGAATAATTATAATCCATTATTGCAGAAAAAGATCAAGTGATTTATTAATTAGAGTAAAAATAAGAGGAATTAGAATAAATCATAGAAAAGTAGTCAGAAGAATTTTAAAGATGTAAATAAGATAAATCAAACTTTTTTGATAATCTTGAAATTAAAAGATTATAATTTGTAGATTAACAATTTTAAAAATTAAAAGGATAATTACCTGTCTTAGCTTTCATTATTAGAAATATAGAATAAATATTAGATACATCATAAACATAGCAATAATTAAATAATTTATCCTTGTCTTCAGTTTCTATGATTGATATGATAAATGAAATGAATCAAGAAATAGGATTAAAAATTAAAAGTTCAAATCGAAATGATGAATAATTGATTCGTAACATTATCGACAATAAACCAATTAATTTAACTGATATTTTATCTAGAAAAAAACATTGATGATTTGAAATTTTATTATATTTTATATAACTATATATATATGGATTAATCACCAACTCAAAAAATCTAATTACCAAAATCTAATTAATACAAACGTTAATCTACAATTGAATATCCTATTGTGTATCATTTATTAAGCACTTACATGTTTACTGTATAGTAGAATACCAAACTTAGTATAATCAATTATTGATATAGACAAAAATGAAAAATAGATTAGATTGATTGAAATGGGCAAGAAATTAGGATAAAATGTAATGGAATCATTAGCATCAACATAATTTGAAAAAATCCGTTTAAATCCAGACCAAGGAAAATATACAGAATATGTAAAATTCTTTGGTAAAGACTTTTGGTCATATATGTTTGGATAACCAGTATCTAAAGTATAAATAAATAAATCTGGATCTCATTATGATATTGAAGATAAATATGAAGAATAGAAGAAAGGAAATAATACAATTACAAAACTTGGATTTCAAATGACTAGAAGAATTAGATTAAATGATAAAATGTAAAATATTATTCAATTTAGTTAATAAGATGAATATTTAACACTTTGGGCAAGTTTAATATAAGGTTTAGTAATAGGAGGAATGAAAGCTCTTACAATTGATTGTGATTCTGAAGTTGAGTTCATAAATAATGAAGTAATTTCACAATATAATATTACTTAGCCAAGTGATTTAAGATTTACAATACAAATAAGAGATTTTCTTAGTAGTAGGAGTAATTTCTTGATTTGATTATTATTTAATAAATAATATTGTGGAAATCCATTATATTAAACATCAAGTTAACAAATAAGAAAATAAAAAATAAACAATCAGATATGAGTAACAAGTATAACAATTATTGTTCTCCCATTTGCATTCAGCTTTTTCAACAGCATAGCTAAAGCTTAAACATTAAGTAGCATAAGTTGCTTTATCACATATTTATTAATGACACGAATTCAAGTCATCACTCCAAAAACACCTTGGATGATTTTGACATTCTTAAATTTCTGTAAGTTCTTCACATAAAAATTCTGAACAACCAGAATCCAAATCACTATATGGATAACATTATTAGCCACTTATTTCATTAAAATTTGGGCAATTTGTAATTGTATAATCCTTACATTCTTTAGTTATACAAAATCCATCTTCAAATTTGCAATAATTAAGATCGCAAGATTATTAATACGTTATATCTTCACATTTTATAAATGCTATACAATCATCTCCTTATTCTCCATTCAAAACACATTTACTAGTTTTTAAATTAATTGTTTATGATGCTTCTAAACAATTTTCAGGATCATATTCTGAACACATCCTTTATTATGATAAAGACAAACATTTTTATTCTTAATAATCCCAAGAACAATTAATTTCTAAACATTATTCTTTATAGGAATCTTTTTATGCAACTTCTTAAAACTCTTCACAACTTAATAATTCTATGCAAAATCCTATAGTGAAATCCCAATAACATCTAATTGTTCCTGCAAAATAAAAGCAATCATCAATTGGTCTTTCAATACATTCAATTTCCTCACACATCCCAGATTTTTCAACATATTAACATCCAATAGCTTCTAAACACAAATCCTCAAATTAAATTTCATTACATGAACATTTTTGCGTATTTGATATTCTTAATATAAAAAAGAATATCAGAATCATATTATTAATATTATAATTTATGTTAAAAATCTTGAACTGTTTAGAAGTCTTTAGTATTAACTTATTTTATATTAATAATAAAAATTTATTACTGTAATAGATTTTTCAAAATAAATAGTTAAATATTGAATTTAGTTTTCCATTATTATCAAGCCATTAATTCTCATAATAACTATATAATTAGAATTTATTATTAAATCTTATAAATCTTTAGTTTATTAATGGTTTTATAATGTAATTATATATATAATCATATGTATTATCATAAAGTAAAATTTTTCTCATCATAGTCTTCTAGTGTTAGATGTCCTTTTCCTTAACAATCCAAACACTAATCTCTTTCTCTTTTTTAGGTTGGTGATAAATCTTGATCCAAATATTTTCTAGAAAATTTTGGTGTGACAAACCCAACACCTTTACAATTATAACATTCTTGTTAAGTTATGATTGCCTCTTCTTTCATTTCAATATTTCCCATATAAATTATCAATTTTTCAATTATTTTATTACTCTTCTCTGAATTTGAGTTGTCAATTTATAATATTGAAAAAATACGTAATATTTTTAAATATCCAATTTAATAATACTAATTATCTTGATATAATATAAGTAATACTTAAAATTTAAATTGTATAGTTTAGATAATAAAATTTTATAGTTCTAACTACGATATACTAAAATTTAAAGATTAATCATAATTAAATTATATTTGATGAATTATAGTATAAATTATAGTTATTTAGAGATTAAAGTATATTTTTATGTTGATTGAATTTTTTTGGTAAGTATTTTAAAAAATTAATGAAATAATCCTAAGTTAACAAATTTTTCACAAATTTAGCAGGACACCAATTAATTTCTAATGTGGCTTCTCCTACTACGACTGCTCCTAGTAAACATAACAAAAATGTAAGTTCAATAATTTCTAATGGGAATAAATATTTAGTTTACTCTAAACGTACATCTCGTCTTCTTTTAGACTCTAGTAATAAACTTCCACTTTTAACAACTGTTTTAAAAACAGAAACCTAGGATACTCCAAAAACTGCAAAAGTTAAAATAAGAAAAGCAAGTGGTAATTCAGGAGACTTTCGCATTATACATTAACATTAAAGAAATAAAACTGAGACTCTTATTATTAATAATAACATCAATTATCCTAAAGTAGATTCTCCTAAAGAACAATTTGAAGATGTACAACAAATAAATACATAACAAAACATATAAGATGCAGTCACTATTCCAACATTACAAGAGCATTTAATTGAAAGTCAGTAGATATCTCTAACTTCAAGTAGAAGTGAAAATATTACTTAATAAATATAACCAAAAGTTCATTGCGTTTAAGTTTTAGGTGAAGCTTATCAATTCTCTAAAATTACAAATATATAACCTAAAATCAAAAGAATTTAGATTCAATAACAAATTTCAGAAATGGAATCATTAAATGAAAAAAGCTGTCATCTTTTGAGAAAATTAAGATAAATGCTTCATACTCATAGGGATAAAGAAAAATTATTGGAGTTGGAAATTAAAAAGAAAAAGGAATCTTTAGTTGATCGATAATTTTCAAAAACATTAAGTAATATGCCAGATGAAAAAACACCAAAAGCTATTGAATCAAAATTTAATTTTAAATTAAGCACTATTAACAAAAAATAAACCAAAATTCATCCTAATTATAGTATTTAAGATACTGAATCTATTCTACCTATAAAGACTATTGTTGATGCACTTAAGGAAAAGAAAGATGACAAAAAAGATAAACCTAAAATTGAAAAATCTTAAATCATTTAGAAAGTTCCCAAAAAAAATATAAAAGTTACTGTTGCTTTTGAAGAAGATGAAAAACAAATAGAATTTTAAATGCCACATTATATGGATGAAGTTTAATAAATTTAAGAACCTTAGACAGAACTAAAAGAAAATAAATAATCTAATATTTATTCTTTAGTTAGTAAATCTATGTTGCAAAAGTAAACATATTAAATATATTTATAGTAAATTTGCATTGAGATTAGTCCAAAAGTTTGGAGATAAAGTTATTAAAACTTAAAAAGATAATGATGCAATTGAAAACTTTAATTCTTTTAAAGCCTCTTAATTTACAAGATATTATTTATAAAATCATACTTAAAAATGTTTGGAGATTAAATATGAACCTTAATAAGAAAAAGAAGAAATTTAATCTCTTTCAAAATTTAGCTTTTTAAATAGGAATTTTTATTCTGAAACATTTCAAGAAATTTAAAGCAAAAGCACCTAATAACTTGCATAGTTAAATGTAATTATTTTTTGAATTTAAGAAAGATTAATATAAAAAATAATGTGAAATAGAGACTAACTTTTATAATGTAGAATAGAATTATGAAGGTCATATTAGTGATAATAGTCTTTTAAGTCCAAATACATCTTAATTAGATTTTAGTGATATAGAAATGTAAACTTAATTTAAAATAAATTACATTTATTACATGTTAAATTTAATATCCACAAATGATTTAAAATAAATAAAATTAAGAATGATTGTCAATACTGTGGATGATGAAACTAAAAATTAATTTTTACATGAAGAACTCTTGAGATTTCCAGAAATTATTAATTTAGTGATTGAAGTTGAGAATGATTCTGAAAACCATTGTATATTATTTATAATTAAATAGAGAATTATAGATTCTTAATAATTTAGAATAAGAATTATTAAAAGTTGATTAAAAAAACATTTAAATAAAATTTTCAAATAAATTCAATTAAATCTTAACAGGTTTATTTGAAGATTATCGAAATCATTAAGTTTCCTCAATGGAAAGAATATATGTTGAATATTGTAAGACTTTAAATGATTTGGATTCAGCAAAAAATAATGATAGATAATTTACAAATTTAAATATTCCATAAAATTCAAGAAGTAGACTAGCTTCACCAATAGGATCAGTATCATATATTTTTTATTTCAGAATGAATCAAAATTTACTGGAAAAGAGATAAATCCATAATTTCCAAAAGTAATGATGCTAAAAAAGAATTAGAAATAAAAGAATTTACTAGCAACTCAGAAATGTTCTTCAATTTAAAATATAAAATGCTAAAGCTCTAGTAATTTATAAACTTTGTTGCATACAAATACAAATTCAAATCATACTATATAATCAAATCATAATATACATTCAAATCATAATATATATTCAAATCATAATATTCAATAATTATAAAACTCTTAAAGAATATATCAAAAAGAATCCGAAAATTAAACAAAATCAAAGAGTTCTTAGAGATAAATTTCAATTAAATCTAATTTGATTACATAATAATCAATGGATCCTTCTTCTCTATTATTTAGAAGTATGTTATTATAAGAAAGTTAATAAAATGATAAATCGAATATTGAAAGGGCATTTTCTTTAATAGAAGATCATAGATTGTAAGATTTGAAAGATTTATTGAATCATGATTAGAATATCAATATAAATATTAAAAATTAGAATGGGAATACATTTTTAATTTAAGCAGCAAGAACAGGAGCATATGATATAATTTAATTCCTTCTTCGTTAAGGAGCAGAGATTTCAATAAAGAATGTAATAGATATAAATATAAGATAGAATGATGGTTTAAATGCTATTTAGATGGCAATAATTCATTTATAATTTGAAGCAGCAGATGAAATTAATAGATTTAGTAGATCAAATTCTTTCATATCCCATTATTGATTATAACTTTAGATTTTCAATTAATTACTATATAAATCATGATTCACGATTAAATCTACCCTCATACCATTCTCCTTATTTAATATTATCTTTATCTTTAAATGTTCCTATACCATGCATTAATCCTTCTTTCCATTATCCAACATATTATCTACCATCTGCAAAAGTTAATGTTCCATAACCTTCTTTTTTTCCATTTACATATGATCCTACATTAATCTTTAAATTCACTTACCATCATAATTCTTACCATCAGGCCATTTAAGCTTTCCTTACCCTTCCATTTTACCTTAAATCCATTAACCTTCATATATTTTTTTATCTGGCCATGTATATTTACCCATTCCTTACATTTAATTATCACCAAAGTCTCCAACATATTATCCACCATCTGCAAATTTGTACATACCTTTTCCAACTTTCTTTCCATATATAAAATCTCCTTCATAAGTTGTTCCATCTGGCCATTCCTCTTTTCCTTTTCCATGAGGCAAATCTTCTAACCAATCACCAATATAACTTTCTCCATCGAAATAATAAAAGGATCCTTTTCCTTCTGCTTTATCATCTTTCCATTCTCCTTCATACATATCTCCATCCTCATATATTAATCTTCCTTAACCATTAGCCTTATCATTTTTCCATTCTCCTTCATAAAATGCACCCGATTTCCAATATTATAATCCATATCCATTTCTCTAATTATCTTTCAAACCACCTACATAAATGATATCATCCACTTTATAATGCTTCAATTCTTAATAATATTAATAATACAATAGGAGGATACATTACAACGTCAGTAAGATTTGGGACTCTTGGAATCTTATACTTTCCTTTTTTTGATAATGTAACCAAAACTAGTTCATTTTCTATTTAAGGAGACTACTAATAAAAACTCACATTAATTCCAAAAGCTATATCTAAAGTATGACTTTGATTCATAAAATTGAATAAGAATTTAGCATTTGAAATCATGTTTGGTTATGTTTGATCAGGTTTCAATATTGAACAATTAAACTAATTTATATTAATATTTACATCATCAAAACTTTGAGTATTAAGTTATTATGGTGCCTACTCAATATTTGGAAGATTTGTCCCTGTTTTACAGCATGCTTATCCCATAATAAAATTAATATTACCCTATAATAAAAAGTTACATTTTTTATTCACTTCTATTGTCTATTTAGCAAATAAATAAATTATCAATTTGATTTTCATTTAAAATTCATTATTACAATTACCATTTTCCTTTTGATATCATACAAATCAGAAAATGTAATATTTCAAAACTCAAAATTATTTACAAAATAAACTTATAAAATTATAATTTAGTTTATTTTTTTTGAGTTCTTCAACATTTATGTTGACTCTAAATGCTAAAATGCCAATATTTTTTTTAAAGTGAACAACTATATTGAATATAAATTTTTAATTTATATATTAATATTATTTTAATGTTACCTATATTATAAAAAGAGAGATCTAATTCATTAAATGTAAGAAAACCAACTGAAAGAAATTCAATTCATGCTGATGTATCACCTTTAGGAGAAGGCAGAGGAATATTGATCATATTGATTTTGCATAATGAAGAATTTGTTTCTGAGTTTATTCAAAATCCTCGCTATCTTCAATTTCTTAAATATAAAGAATTTTTAAATGAAGTGCAAATCAAATAATTTATTGTATATCTATAAGAATAATTGATCTCATCACCTTGCAGATCATATACTTATCATTACTGTACATTTTCATAATAATAAAAAAAAATTGATTTAATGAATACATCAAGCAGAGAAACTTATGAAGTTCTATTTGAATTTGCTGAAAGAATTAATAAAGATAAATAATTTAATTTTATTTTTGGAGTTGATTTTAATATGATACATAAAAGCAAATTCAAAAATATATTATTTTTGAGTGACTCTAGGGTAGATTAATAAATCATGGAATTCTTTTAACCATAAAAAATAACAAGGGTTAGAACATTTTCTCATCAAAGTGTCAACCCAACTTCAAAGGAATAATCAGAAATATTAGATATAGACAATAAATATTAATAATTAGCATCAAATAAAAGGAATAAAGAAATTAAATAATATCTAAAAGAATAAAATAAATTGAAATAAGAAACAAAAAATAAAGAGCAATTAATGATTAAAAAAATTATGCAAACAGAAAAAATTGAACCTTAAAAATAATAAAGTGAATTACCTCAAATATGTGAATAAGTATTTCTAAGATTTCAGTTAATTTTTGGAATTAAGGATATTAATTTAGATAAAGATTTATTTTCTTAATTTCTCTTATTGTGTGAAATGACTATTTTATATACTAAAAATAAATTGCTATAAGTATCAATTCATAAGATCGAAGAAAGCAAAAGATTAGAAGTTCTTTTAAAATAACTATTTTTTGATTATAAAATCCTCAAATCTATGAATTAAAAGTTATAGTAATTGAATCCAACATTAACTAGATGCCTATTAAGATTTTTAAAATAGGGATTAGAATATGATAGATAAAATAGATTATTCTGGAATGACTTCTTAAGATTTAAATAATATTACATAGATAAAATGTGGGGAGTATCTGATTTTAGATTATTCTTGATGCTTTTGAATGATGAAAATCAATCCCTTACTTCTAAAATTATGAAAGTTCAACCATTAAATATATAAAGAGCCATTTTGAATCTTGAACCTGAAACCTTATAGAGCATTGTTTACTCCTTAATTTTTTGAATAAGTTTATCAATTTATATAATTACTAAAATTTGATCTACTTATTTATGTTAAAAATGCAATATATAGACCTAACTAATATTTTGTTGAAATATAAAATATTCATATTAACTTTTTATTACATACATAATCAACGAAATCATCAAAGTCTGAAGGTTAAGCTAATTCTAACAAGATTTTTTTTTTCAAATCCTTCTGTTTTTTATTACTTGGATTAGGAATTTTCTCTTTGAGTTTAAATGATTCATTTCCTTTTTTGTCCATTATTTGTGTTTTTATTTACATCAATACTGGTTTTGTTTGCAATTTTACTAACTTAATTCTTGGAGTTATGCTAATTTATTTTGAGAATAACAATTAATTCGATTCGAAAAAAGAAGGACATTTACTATTGGGTGTTACAGATAAAGTCATCATCTATCTAGGAGTAAGATGTTCGTATTTATTTTATTAACTTATGAAGCTTGGTAACTATTTTATTTAATTGGTTGTTCCGATAGTGTTAAAATAGTGATATCTATCAGAAGGATCAACTAAATGCATTCCAATGATCATTTTCTTTCTTTTTTATAATTCACTGTGAGTTGTAAGTTTTAACATAAAATAATTACATTCTAAATTATTTTTAATAATTGTTAATCTCAATTCCATAATTTCAAAGTTTTTAAAGCAGATTCATTTTCTTATTCTAATTTCTTATAATTATAATAACAATGATAAATATATATGCTACTTTTTAATAAATATCTTAAATAAATCTATTGAACTGATTTTCAATGCAATGATTTTATTTTTCAAAACAAACATTTGAAAGCATAAAATTTAGTAATATTCCTAGTGAATTATTAATAAGTATTAATTATTGCATATTAATTTTATTACAATGGCAGAGATCTAAATCCCTATTTCACCAATTCCTAATTCAAAAATTTACATAAACTAAAATACTATGAAAAAGATTATTCTTGAAAATAAAGGAATGTTAATTAATCAAACAAAAGGATTTAGTTCTATGTTTACAAATGTGATTTGTGATCTCTCAAATTTAGAAACATCAACAGATTCTTCGAGCCTGAAGAATTTGGCAGGTCCAACATTTGCTCCTCATAGGAAAGATATATTTAGATATCATGTTTAAAAACCTTAAATTAATTTACAGTTTACAAATATTCAAAGAATACATAGAATGCCATAGGATAAGAAAATTATAAGGACAACAATAATGCCAAAAATAAAACCTGATGAAAAAGTAGTAGATTCAGGTTTATCTTTATTACCTGTTAATCCAATTAGAGAGCAAAGATCACATAGTTATAAAGAAAGACCTTATTATATAGGAATGTAGCATAATCAAAAGAAAAATAAAGTAAAACTTGATCCTCCTTAAGAAATATTAAGAAAATCCTTTGATATTAAAGTATCAGCTTCATTTAAAGAAGAATGGAATGATACATAATAATTTAATATATAAACAATAAGATAAGAAATTGAGAAAGCTCTTGAAAAATGTTCTCCTAAAAAATAAAATCAATAGTTTTTGGAACCTGAAATTATACAATGGAAACAAAATCCAAGTTATATGTTTATTGAAGATGATAGAGATAGATTTGGAAAATAAATTTATCCTATAATTATGGCCTAACCAAAACCTGGTCCTGGTTCATATAATACTGATAACACTTCTTTAAATTTTAAGGTTAATAAAATTCTAGAGAGAAATACTTAGAAAAGACTTTTCTAACTATCGTAATAATAATTTTGAATAATTTTATTGCTTTTATTATATTTGGATTGATTAGAATCATATTAACTTATAGAATTTTATGATTTTAAAAAATGATCTAAGTATTTCCATTAATTCTATAATTTGATTATAATTTTTTATTAAAATTATATGAGTTTGAATGTTCAAGGTTCCAAAAAACCAAGTTAAGTGAATAGTCCAAGTTCTATTAAAAAGCCAATAATATCATCATTACTTTTTAATTGTAGAGCTCCTATAAATGTTCCAAACAGTTCATAAGTATCACCTTAAAATTCTGAATAAAATCTCTAAAAACCATTACATTCTCATAAAGGATCATAAGTAGATGTAACTAATTTAACAAAATTAATCAAATAAAATAAATCTCCTACTATTGAAGCATTTGATACATAAAATACTTAATTTTCAAGTTCATAATAATTATAAGCATTATTTGCAAAAGCTAGAGAAATCACTTAAAATAAATAAAAGCCATAGATTATAAAATAATAGGTTTAATAAATTCAAACATAATCAATTAACCAATTAAAAGAAATATTTAATGATAATTTATATTGTAGAAACACATTTCATTTTCATTTTGTAGTCGGAATAGGAGGATTTGGGAAAGTTTGGAAAGTAGAACATAAAAAAACATCTTAAATCTATGCTATGAAAGAAATGTCAAAGGCATTGTATTTTTTTTATCTTAATATAGAATTATTACAAAAAAAAGTGTGAATTCAGTTATGAATGAGAGAATATTATTAAGTTAATTAAAGCATCCTTTTTTAGTTAATATGAATTATGCTTATTAAGATAGAGAAACTCTTTATTTAATTATGGATTATATGTCAGGAGGAGACCTTAGATTTCATATAGGAAGAATGAGAAAATTTAATGAAGAATAAACAAGTATAAATTATTAAATATACTTTTTGAGGGTTCTTTGTAGCTTGTATCTTTTTAAGTTTAGAATATGTACATGATAGTAAAATAATTCATAGAGATATCAAACCTGAAAATCTAGTATTGGATAATAAAGGTTATGTTCATTTAACTGATTTTGGAATTGCTAGAATTATGAAACTTGAAAATTCTAGTGATACTAGTGGTACTCCTGGATATATGGGTATATAAATATATAATTAAACATTCAGCTCCTGAAGTAATGTATAGATAAAATCATACTTATGCTGCAGATTATTATGCTTTGGGAGTTATTGCATATGAATTTATGTTAGGCAGAGTAATTATTTATTTAATTTTTAGAGACCTTATGTAGGAAGGTCTAGATAAGAAATTAGAGATTAAATTATGGCTAAATAAGTACAAATTAAAAAGTCTGAAATACCTGATAATTGGTCTTTAGAAGGTGCTGATTTTATCAATAGAGTATTTTATTAATTCAAATCCTTTCCAGCTATTATAAAGAAAGCCTTAATAACGATTAGGCTTTAATGGAAGTCAAGAAATCCGCTAACATCCTTGGTTTTTAAATTTTCCTTGGTAAAAATTATCAAATTTTGAACTTCTTCCACCATTTTAACCAAATGTATATTTAATTCATAAAATTAGAGGACTGAAGATAATTTTGATTAAAAGTAAATTCTCATTGAAGATGAAGAGAATAATGAACTTATTTAATAAAATCAACTTGTTTTAAAAGATCCAGCAACCCAAGGTATTTGTATTAAAATTATAAAGATTTATTTTAGGGATATGAATTCAATGCAACCTAAAGTTAAAATAAGATTTCTTCCACTACTGATTAATCTTCAAGTTCATCATCTAAACATAGTAGAAATTTTAGTCAATAAATTTCAAAATAACAATATTTTGATTATGGTAATAAGTGATTCTATTTAAACCATTCATATAGTATATATATGCTGTTTTTATTTTATTTTAAAATTAACTAGATTATATTTTAGGGTTTATAAATCTTCGATTATTAAAAAAATTTTTATTAGATTTTGTTTTAAACAATTACACAAACGCTGCATTTTTTATTATTTATATATTAATATTTTTATATAATAATTTGATTTTTAAAATAATAAATACTTGAATGAAAAAATTAATTTTTTCTGGATAATTTTTGAAAAGACAATAATTATTTTTTTTTCTAAAATCAAATAAATCAGAAAAAGAAATACATTATTATTGGAAATATCATTAAATGGAATTTCAAATAACATATATTTAAATAAATATATTTAAAACATATTCTCTAATTTTCTTAACAAAAACTCAAAATATATGTATTATTCAAACATTTATTAAATTAATAAAAATAATAACATCAATCAATACCATCTAAATTTTATGGCTACTGATTTTTATTTCTGGTAAGTTCCATATAAGTCCATATTACTTTAATGTCTTCAGGATTCAAGTAATTTAAGTTTGAATTTTATTCGGCCATCTTGATTTTAATTTCATCGCTAACAATCTAAAAGTTAAACTAATGATAGATAAGTAAATTTTTTAGAAGTTGTTAATTTTCAGTTGTCCATCCATCTTTTTAATTTTTCCATTCTCTTATAATTTAGAGTTTTGGATCTTCTGATATTTTATCGTAATTAACTTGCTAATCTAAACTTGGATTATTTAATTATTCCGAATTTTCCAAATCAGATTTTTAATCATTAACATTTTGTATGTCTTAAAAAACTGTCTCTTTCAAATTATGGACATCATCATAAAAACATTTTTGTCTTATTTATTTTAATTCCTTGTTCATAAAACATAATTTTTACTTCTTCTGATTTATTTAAGATTATTATATTTCCATTTTCATCTTTTGTTGTTAACATACATTAATAGGGATTCAATTCATCTATTTTAAATTTCTATAGTTCTATTTCAATATTTTTTAATTCTGTTTCTTTTTATTCAAGTTAATTTTACACATCATCTCCATCAACTAATAAAATTTTTAATAAATTAATTTCTCTTAAAATATTATCTTTTTGAGTAATAAAATTGCTCCTCATTTCTCCTTTTTGTTGTCTTTCTAATGTTTAAAGATAATTTTAATAATTGATTTCTCTCTTTAATTCAATTTGAGCAGCTCTTTCTTATTATTCTGCTGTTTTACCTCCGATTGACCAAGCTTCACTAATTCTTCTTTCTCCTTCAGTAACTGGTTTGTCATCTAAATACTTAAGGTTTTTCATTTTCACTATCATAGTCTTTCTATAATCTGGACATTCTCTTACTAATTATATATTAATTTAAAATTATACCAAATGAATTTGCTTTTAAATATAAACAAGCTATATTTGTGCTTCCAAAAATTTCTAAAATACATCTTTCAAATGCTATAAAATTATTAGAAATATCTAAATTAGTAATTGATAAACATTCCATTAAACCTTCTAATGATTCATAACCACATAATTGATTATTGGAAATATTTAAATTTTATAGCTTATTTAATCCTTTTAAGTTTTCTATTTTCTTGATTGAATTATGACTAATGTTTAATGTACATAGATTCGTTAGGTATTAGAGATTTTCAATTCTTTAAATTAAATTATGATTTAAATATAGACTAACAAGTTAAGTTAGTTCGTCTAAGTTTTCGATTTTTCCAATAGCATTGTTATTTAACCATAATGCAACTAAATTTTTATAAGGTTCTAGATTTTGAATTTTATCAAATCCTAAAAATAATAACCATAATATACCTTAGTAGTGTAAATATATAGTATCATTATTTTCAGGGGTCTAATAGAGGCCTTTTCTATCACAAATTATTTTTAAATTTCTTAAATTCATAATTACAGTTCCACTTTCATTTCTTTCTAGTGTTTTATTCATTTTAAATTAAATTAAAAAATAATTCTTAATTATGAAATAAAATTTTAAATAAAAACAAATACTAGATAAAAGCAAAAGAATTAAAATATATATTGATAAGTTTTTATTGATGATTTGATGATTAATGAGAACAGAAATAATTGTATATTAAAATGATAAGAACTCATGAATCACTAAATAATTATTTTTGGAAATATATAATGATATATAATGCATATTGATTATATAATAATTACATCATCAAGATTTTATGTAGTTTGCTTCTCCAATTCGTTTTTAAGAAATAGAAGAAGAAGCCCTAATTACTGGAGCAATAGTTATGGTTTTTGCAGTAGTTTTTGGTGCAATAGCAATACTATAAACATTTTGTGAACATCATCATGTAGAATTCATGAGAGAAGCATCAGTTCCAATTATTTTTGGATTAATATTTGGTTTAATAACTTTTATAGAATATTTTTCAACTGGACTGTATTTTGATTCAAAGATCTTCTCTTTTGCATTATTGCCTATAATTGTTTTTAAGGAAGGTTACTGTTTAAATAAATAACATTTTATGAAAAACTATTTTTATGTTGTTATTTATGGTTTATTTGGCACAATAGTTCAATTTATTATCTCTTTCAGCTTGACCTACTCATTAACAAATTCAAGTATCTTTATTAATAATTTAGGTATTTTTTGGGTTCCTCCTAATACTGACTAAGAGGATGAGTCATTTGCCTTTTAAATGTTCTTTTCAGCATGTGTAACATCAAAAGATAGTGCAGTCACTCTTACTGTTCTTGAATTTGAACACGCCCCCAAATTACATAGTATAATCTTTGGAGAATAAATTATAAATGATGTTATTGTATTTGCTCTTTCCTCTACAAGTCAAAGATATAATAATGATAATGATAATTTTGTTAGAGGGAATTGGTATAATTTCTTGATATTCATTGGATTAACTTTAGCTTAATTGCTTTTTGGATTAATTGTTGGTGTTCTAATTGGTAATTAAAACTACTATTTTATCTAGGTATCATATCAACATGGATTACAAAAAAGGCGAGAAGCATATCTGAGCATTCGTCAATTTTAACAATGTTTACAATCTATTGTGCTTATTTCTCATTCAGTTTTTGTGAGGCTTTTGGTTTCTGTGGCGTTATGGCTGTATTAATTTGCGGTATTATGATGGCTCATTATTAAACATATAATTTACCTAAACTATCGGCTAATTCATCTAAGTAAGAAATTAAAAATTATTTAGAATTACTGTCAAGGCCCTTGCTTATGCTAGTGAAACTTTTATATACTTTTATATTGGTTTCGCTGTCACTGGAAATGAAATCAATAATACTGAAGTTAAGAATTATAGCGAAGTATATCCTTTTGTACTACTTCAATTCTTTGTTATTTAACCAGTTTCTAAATTATTAGCTATGTTATTATCATAAGGATTAGCTTATCTGTAAATCAATAATTCTAATTATTAGCATAAAACCAGATTCTAAAGGTGCTTTAAGAATTAACAAATATGAATTTCTTATTTTGTTGTATTCCGGTTTAATAAAAGGAGTTATTGCATATGCTTTGATTTGTGAAGTTCATACTGAGGATGCTATTAGCTCAATTTATTATCCATATATTAATTATGCGGCATTATATTTAATTATTGGAACAACATTATTTTTTGGAGGTTCTTTGAAATATGTGACAGAATGGTCATATAAATAAATGGAAATAGAACATTTATAAGAATCATCAGAAAATTCAGAATATAAAAGCAATCTGAAATAAACTTTCATCCGCGAAGATAAAAAAGCTTATGAAAATGCTACCTAAAATAAATCAAAATGGTTTAAGAATTTTGATGAAAACTACATCAAACCATTTTTAATTTACAATTATGTTAATAGAAAACAAGATATTTTAAGTGCAAAAAAAATAAAAAAAAATAAACATACTATCGAAAAGTAAAATGAAGAAGAAATGCGTATGTATGAGGATAGTGTAAGATAAAAAAGAGAAAAATTAGAAATGAAAAATCAAAATAAAACCAGCAATCTTACAAATTTTGATGTGGATAGCGAACCAGAAGAAGATCATCCTAAACAGCATGGTCACAACGAGAAAGCTAATAAACATCATTGAGTTTAATTTCTTTTTATAAAATTTATTTTTATACACTCATATTTCTCAATTTATAATGAAAATTAAACTAAAGTTTAAGTGTGATAATTTCATATATATGTTAATTGTGAAAAATATAAAAATAATCTAAAGAAACTACTGAAAAATGTGGACATAAGGATTAAAACTATTTAATTGAAATATTCTTAACTTGCATATCATTAGAGATCTTTTAACAATCTATTAAATTTGAAATATTATTAAGAAAATTAATTTTAAAAAAATAATGAACTTAACTAATTACATAAGTTGAAAGAACTTAATGAAATCAATGAAGGAAACTCTAAATATTAATTGTAAGTAATAATAATTTCTAAAATAGACTTAAATATCATAAGAGATCTCATAGCTCTTAAAATAAAACTGAAGGATTCTTAAATCTTAAGGATCAATAGATTTTTCTATATCTACCTTATCATTCTTGTATTTAACATAAGAAATAAACTATAAAAAAATTATGGAAGAAATATATAAATGTCATAATCTCATTATTTAGATATAAACGAGCAAGAAATGATGTTTATAAGTTTTATATTCCCAGAAAAAAATTATATGCTTTACCCACTCCTGATACTTTGCCTAGGAATCCAACAAAAAGAAAATAGGATTAATTATCAAAATTAGGAACTTTTGGAGAATATATTGAAGCATAAGATGAATTAGAAGGAAAATATAAAAGGAAAGAAATTCCTAATTTCAAGAAATCTCCTATTTATGTAAAATACTAATCATATCAAATAAGAATCAATCGAATTTTAACAATAAGAAACAACGACAATATTTCCTAAGATAATTTAAGAATATAAACTTTAAAAGTGAAAAACAATAAAAAGTCTGATCTAACTCTTCCTTCTCTTATAAAATTAGAAAAAAGATTTTCAAGAGTATTTTCAAATCTTGGTAAATGATTACTTTATTATATAATATAATTATTTATGAATCCTAAATAATTACCAAAGGTTTATAGAAATGACTTAGAAAATAGTTTTATTCGAAAATTTGAAAGATCTTTCTTAAGTCAAAGTCTAAAATCAAGTCAAACTAGAAGAATTCAATTATATTTCTAAAAATAACCAAGATATAAAATAAATGAGAACTTGAAACAATTATCTGAATGGAATGAATAAAAATAATATCATAAAAAGTAGTTAATTATATAAGATTATATAGACTAAAATATTATTCTAGAGGTAAAAGTTCCGAAAGTTAAAATGAAGGACAAAATAATAAAAAAGTCTCTTAATTTTTTTTATTATTACCTTATCATTGTCCTTCTTAACAAAGAATGAAATAATGTAGATTAATGTGGAAACGATTGATAATAGGAGTAGAAGTTATACTGTTTTATAGTAAACTTTATAAGGAATAGTTAATATCGAAGACTGCGTCATGTCCTCATATTCCTCCTAGAAGAAGTAGTCATAAAAGTCTTAATTATCCTACAAGTCCTCCAAAAAGGAAATTTAGAAGTAGAACTTAAGGAGAAGGAAAGAATCAACTAAATGGTTTCGGAGATTATTTAAAAGCCATGTATGAGAGTGAAAAATAAAAAAAAGAATTATGTTCAAAATCAGTAATTACAAAAGAATTTCGTTTTAATGATTCAAGAATAAAGAGATTAGTAACATCAAGGATATGTGATCAAACTCTTGATCTCTCAAGAAATAGATGTGTTAGTATTAAAGATCCTAATTAACTTCCTCCTTTGATTTCAATTGCACCTTACAAAGTAGAAAATATAAGAATGAAGAGAGTATCTTCAACTATGATAAGAAGAATTAAAACACTAAGATTATAATGAAATAATAATCATATTACTGACATTTTTCCTTATGAAATTGTTTAATAAAAATACCTATTTTGAGTAAATATCTTATTCATTCTCTAATAAATTTATTTATATTTATAGTCATATTCAAATATTAATATGCAAAAGTACTAAAGGTCTAAAAACAGCTTTATCATAAAGACTCAAAATCTAAAATAATCTAAAATATCTCCATCTCCAAAATAACAAAGTCATAGACAACGTCTAAAATTACCAGAGATAGTAGAGTATCAACAAAATCCCTTTTAATTAAAGTCTCTTAAGAAAAGAAAATAACACAATTAAATGTAATAGTGAATTTTTCATCTATTAAGTAGGAAAAAATGTAGAAGTTCAGAATCCTTACTTGAAGGAACTTTTAATAAAAGATATTAATTTATATTTTATGAAATTCCATATTATGGCACTTAATATCAAAGACATTAATTTTATGTAAAAAAATGGAAAAAATTAATTGTTGCTATTTAATCTATCATATATATTTTAAAGATGGCTGTATTGGAATTTAAAATTAGAAATAGTTGTCCACCTAAAATGATGATTTGTCATTATTCTATTCATAATCATTCTTATCCATAAAGTCCAACTAATCGTAATAGAAACAAAAGTTGTAGTTTGGACTTAAAAAATAGAAAAATTAGTTTTGGAGAAAAAATTTAAACTCTTATTATTTAAGAAAAAACAAAAGTTGATAATGGTAAAAATAACAGTTATCTATAATAAATAAAATATTAAAACACAAAATTAAATCGATTATTAAGTTAGAAAGCAATAAGTTTATAATTTTTACATGCAACAACAGAAAATAATAAATAATAGCCATCCACATATAAGATTGATCTTTTTGAAAGATAATCAAATAACTTATAAAAATAAACCAAAAAACTTTCTTTGAAATTAAAAAGATTATAATGAAAATAAATTACTTAATTTTCTAATTGTACATTATCTTATTATATTTTATCAATAACCCAATTTTTCTAATTCTGCATTGATGGTTGTAAGTTCTTTAGCTCCAATTGCTTTTCTTCTAAGATTTTCTCTAGCAATTTTTCTCTTATAATATGTTGCACCTCTAACAAATTATAAATATCTTATACCTTTGCTTTCTTTTTTCTTCAAGTCTATTTACAATTGATTATTGATTCCATCCAACAGAAGCACATAAATCTCCTAAAGTGCAAAATGGTCTATGATTCTTAAGTCTGATCAATTTAAGTGCATCTGAAACTACTTATCTCTTTCTTGTATCATAAGGAGGAGGAACTCCTTCAAATACTTTTAATCTTTCTAAAGCTGCTGCTCCTCTTTTTGATTTATATTGAAGCATTCCTCTTACAACTTTCCAAAAACATCTAGATGGTGTTCTATAATGTTTATATCCTCTTCTTGGATTGAATGCCATTCTTTTATTCAAATATTCTTCAAAAATTACTCTATTTCTAAATAAAGAACCTATAATCATAAATTATTTTACCAGATTGTTAAATCAATTCTGTTCTTACTACTACTATTCTTTATCCTCTTTATAATTCTTTTGCAATGTAAGATGCTAATCTACCCAATAAATGACCCTTTCCATCAATCACTATTTCCTTCTCGAACATTTAATTTAAATAAATTTTCAAAATGATATTCTTATCACAAAATACTTACCAATAACAAAATAACTAGATCACATATACTAAATTCTATTTCTTATTATTAATTTTTTAATATTTTATCATTTGCATACATTTTTTATATCACTATAAAATTACAATCTGCTATTAAAATAAATTTAATTCTAATAAGAAAGTAATTTAATCAATATTCATTATTAAATAATTTATTTTTTTCTCTTTATAGAGATTTATTTATTTATATATATTATAAAATTATAAATGAGAGGCCCAAAATATGTCGAATAGGATATAATAAAAAAAGTATGCTATGCTGAATAGTTCTAATAGCATAAATTCAAATTACTTAATACAAAATCTGATCCTCATCTTTCTAAAAAAGTATAGCATTCTATTAATATAGCATATTTTATCAGACAATGATAAATATTAATAAATTAGGGCTAATAAATTTTATACAAAACTTTAAGTAGATTTATAGAAAGAATAACGTCTCTTTAAAGAGAATGCTAAGATTTTAAATCGTATTGTTGATATTGGAAATTAAAAAACTTATTCTTCAATGCCAAAAAGATCCATTACTCGTTAAAGTTCAGCCAATTCAATTAAATCTCTTAATTTGTCATATCGAAAACAAGAAGCAAAAAAAATTGTTGGAGAAAATGAAAAATTAATGTAGCGGTTATAAAGAACTCCATCTTCTTTTAGAAATAAAGATACTTTACTCAAAGACTATAAGAAGTAACGATTTCAATTTAATCAAGAACTTTGGAACTCAAAAATAGAATTTCTAAATATTCATAATAAAATTAATAAAAGATGGGTAAAATCGTTGAGAGATTGACTAAAACAACTACAAATCCAAAATACTCAAAAACTAATTAAAGTAGAACCAGTGCTCCAAGTTATAAGAATTCAGCTTTATCTAAATTAAGAATTGAACCTGATAATTAAAAATAAAAATTACAATTTCCAAGAATAAAATGATTATTCAATATTAATTAAATTTTTTTTAATATAATTATTAAAAATCTAAGATGAAAGTTGCTAAAAATTAGAAATATATTTTAAGTTTATCTTAAAAAGATTTTATTTATTAAAATATGAAGTTATACAGAGAATATAAAAGTATGCTTTTTTGATATTAGTTATTGATTAATTACTAAAGGATGTGAATTAAATAAAATGTGTGATTTTTTATCGAATTTATTCTTTAAAGTGTAGGTTTGATCTCAATATTTAAGCATTTTTAAACTCTATTCAATTATTTAAAAGTTTAGTTTCTAAAATAATTAATTAATTAGAAAAAAAAAGAATAAATTTAAGATATTTTACATAATGTTTCTAAAAATCTAATAATATTTTTATATTTCACTCTAATTTAAGTTTTTATTTATTCTGTTATATCTATTTATACAACTCTAAAAATTTGGAAATATATGATTTAGAATTATAAATTAAAAATTTAACGAATAACAATGAAACAAATATTGAGCTAGTAAAAATTAAAATGTTTTCATTAATTCTTAATAAATAATTCTACCATTATCTCTCCCTAATAGATACATCTAATATACAAGATTGAGATTCATCGTAATATTATGATTGTAGTTCTTCAATATAGACAGTCTTTTATAAAACAATACTTGAATCTTCACTAGAATGAGTTTCAAATTCTATTCTTACAGGTGAATTTTAATCATTAGTAATTATTTTTAAGATTCCAAAATTAGATTTATAATAATGATCTTAATAGTTATTAAAAGTGGTTGGAAATTAGAATTATAAAACAAGGTCAACAAAAGGTATATGATCATAATTGGCAAATGTCATTCCACTTGATGTAAATTCATAGAGATTTTAACCTATTCTATGAGGACAAGGATGTTTCATGATTTCAGAGTAATGAACATCTCCAGATAAAAAAATGATAGGTTTTTTGTATTTTTTGATTAAAGCATATAATTTTTATTTAGACCATGCAAACCATGTTTCAGGGATACTTCTATCATCATGCATAACTTAAACTCCAGATGTCATAATAATCAATTAACTTTCAGTCTAAAATTATTATTCTAACCATTTCCATTAATTATCTCCTAAGGAATCCCCAGTAAGTTTATCTGAATTATATCTTGTATCAGTCATAACAACAAGGATTTTGTTATGTTGATCAATATAAAATGATTAATAAATACCATCTTATTTTCTTAATGGTGAATCTTTGGGTTCTCCAATAAAATCAAGATATAATTGTTTAGCACTTTCTTTTAATGGATTGAATTTATCTCCATCATTTTTATTGCTATCATGATCATCATAAACTCCTTTAATAATAACATTCTTTTTAAATTGAACATAATATTTATCATCATTAGTGATATCAAATTTTTCTTTAACTCTAGTTTCATTAAGTTCTGATCTCCAAATACCAAGAATAGGCATGTAATCAATATAAGCAGCATCTCCTAACCAAAAAAAATATTTAGGATTAAAAGATTAAATTCTTTAAAAAACATCTGTATCATGAGTTCTGTAAAATTTAAAGCATGATCCGAAAGCAATAGTCAATTAATTTTCAGCTGCTTCAGTAAGGAATAATGAAGTCAACAATAAAATAAATAATTATTTGAGCATATATTTAATATTTTTATTATACTAATGATAAATTGATCTCATTTTAAGGCAGCTAAATATTCGCTGTGTTCTTAGAATGGTGTTGATTCTAATTTAGTATGTCCCCAAAGATCTGGTGTAAGGAAATTGTATGTTTCCTTAAGAGCATGGAATGTAGCCTTTAAGAAATTAGATCTAGTTCTTGTACTTCCCTTTGATTAAGTATAACAATCTTAAATTCCTGCCATTTATAAGACTTTCTTTGATGTAATGGCAGCAACGATACCAGTACCTCTAGGTGCTGGTACTAATCTAACTCTGACTGATCCTTCTTTTCCTGTTACTTTACATGGGACTGTATGTGGTTAAGCAATCTTATTTCCCCAATATCCTTTTCTTACTGGAATCAAATTTAATTTAGCATTAATGACTGCTCCTTTAATTGCTCCTTAAACTTCTTTGGCTGATTTCCATCCCAATCCAATATGTTAATGACCATCTCCTACTACAACATATGCCTTAAATCTTGTTCTTTAACCTGCACAAGTTTGTTTTTAAACTGGACCAAGTGCAAGTGGTTCTTCTTTCAAATTCTTAAGGAAATGATCAACTATTTAATATTCTAAAATATATAAATTATTCAAATTTACCTTTAATAGGAATTGAAAATTAGAAGATTGTTTCGAGACTCTTAATTTTACCTGCCTTTACTAATCTACCTAATTTAGTTAATGGAGTCCATTCTTATTCTCCTCCAAATCTTCTTGGACCTCTATTTTATCTTGGAGCTCCTCCTTCTCTTCTTTCTCTTTATCCTCTTCCTCCTCTTCCAAAACCTCTCTTTTCAACTGGNGAACATAATATTTATCATCATTAGTGATATCAAATTTTTCTTTAACTCTAGTTTCATTAAGTTCTGATCTCCAAATACCAAGAATAGGCATGTAATCAATATAAGCAGCATCTCCTAACCAAAAAAAATATTTAGGATTAAAAGATTAAATTCTTTAAAAAACATCTGTATCATGAGTTCTGTAAAATTTAAAGCATGATCCGAAAGCAATAGTCAATTAATTTTCAGCTGCTTCAGTAAGGAATAATGAAGTCAACAATAAAATAAATAATTATTTGAGCATATATTTAATATTTTTATTATACTAATGATAAATTGATCTCATTTTAAGGCAGCTAAATATTCGCTGTGTTCTTAGAATGGTGTTGATTCTAATTTAGTATGTCCCCAAAGATCTGGTGTAAGGAAATTGTATGTTTCTTTAAGAGCATGGAATGTAGCCTTTAAGAAATTAGATCTAGTTCTTGTACTTCCCTTTGATTAAGTATAACAATCTTAAATTCCTGCCATTTATAAGACTTTCTTTGATGTAATGGCAGCAACGATACCAGTACCTCTAGGTGCTGGTACTAATCTAACTCTGACTGATCCTTCTTTTCCTGTTACTTTACATGGGACTGTATGTGGTTAAGCAATCTTATTTCCCCAATATCCTTTTCTTACTGGAATCAAATTTAATTTAGCATTAATGACTGCTCCTTTAATTGCTCCTTAAACTTCTTTGGCTGATTTCCATCCCAATCCAATATGTTAATGACCATCTCCTACTACAACATATGCCTTAAATCTTGTTCTTTAACCTGCACAAGTTTGTTTTTAAACTGGACCAAGTGCAAGTGGTTCTTCTTTCAAATTCTTAAGGAAATGATCAACTATTTAATATTCTAAAATATATAAATTATTCAAATTTACCTTTAATAGGAATTGAAAATTAGAAGATTGTTTCAAGACTCTTAATTTTACCTGCCTTTACTAATCTACCTAATTTAGTTAATGGAGTCCATTCTTATTCTCCTCCAAATCTTCTTGGACCTCTATTTTATCTTGGAGCTCCTCCTTCTCTTCTTTCTCTTTATCCTCTTCCTCCTCTTCCAAAACCTCTCTTTTCAACTGGCGCTGCTTATTATTATTCTGCTGGTGCTGGTGCTTATTATTACTCTTATTCAGCCATTAAAATAAAAATCTTAATTTAAAAATTTGTTTTCAAAGTCTTATATATACATATACTCACTATCAAATTTTAAATTTATGATAATTCAGCTATTCCTCCTTTTTCCTATTCTCTATGCTTATTTCGAACAAAAACTCACAAGACATGCCCTTATGTATAATGCCTTCAAAATTGATGAAAAAATGACTGCTATCAGCCCCAAATAATGCCCTGAAGATCTCTTAAATTATACATACAGTGACACTTACGTCAGTCAAATTTGTTTTAACAAAAATGTTTTCTATAATGTTGAAATCGTCCTTGGTGATACTGTTACTTATAATAAGACATATTAATTAGCAGTATTTTTAAAATAAATAAATTTAGCTAGATCTAACATCTCCTTGGACTTGGTATAAATCAGAAAATTGTGTTACTTGCAAGAGTATTAAACCTCTAGACTTTGAAATTGGTGACGATTGCAAACCAAGTACCAAGACAAATGATTGTTTCAATGAAGACTTTAATAAATCATTTAATGCTACAAAATGGAATGATAAATAAGTTCATGGCTAAATTTACTCCTAAAATTCATTAATATAAGGAACTTTTCAGACAGACACAATTTAAATGTTAGCATATAATTCATCATCAAGAATGACAATCTCTTAATTCATTTCTTATGAATGGGGAACCTCAACTCCTCCTTCGCTTGTAGTTATCACAGGATTACAAATGCTTTAGGTTCAATACATTAAAAATACTTTACCTATTTTAGCAGATGGTGTGATAGGATTTGGATTTGAATATACAGAAACAAATGAAGAAAAAGCATAAAGTAATTCAAATTTTGTTGAAAAACTTGTTTAAGAAAAGACTAAACTTAACTTAACTAGATAATTGTTTGCCTTATATACTTATGAAAGTGCTGAAAACTTCTCTGAAATGGTTGTATAGGTTGGTGGAATAGATGAAAAATATATTCATAAATAAAAATCTTCTAATGCAATTTGGATCAATACTTTAGAAAAATCAGGTTATTATTGGATGGTTGAAGTAAATAAAATTGAGTTAAAAGTATTTTTTAATTATTTAACAAATAGAATAAAGAAGGAAGAGATTTAATTGATACTTAATTACCAATCAAAAAAGCATTCTTTACATTGAATTCCTAATTTATAGAATTACCTTATGATTTATTGAAATCTCTAACTTTAAAATTATAATAATTAAACTCAAATACAGTTTGTGACTTAGTCGACGAAAAAGTATTTCTTCAATTTAAACTTAGATGTACATTTTATATTGTAAGAATCTACTTAAAACAATTTAAACAGATTATATTTTAACATTTACTTTTGGTAGTGATTAAGTTCCAATTTTGAATACTCATTTAATATATAGATAATGCAGTAATTCTAATAGTGAAGATAACTAATTTTAAGATTGCTTTTTCAATATTAAATATTCTTAATCAGATTATGTTATCTTAGGAGAACCATTTATGAAAAACCATTATATTGTCTTTGAAAATAATCCTGGCAATAATACAAGAAGAATTGGAGTGTTCTAGGCAGCTACACATATGTATTATCCAGAAAATCCAAGTTAATATGAATGGCCTTTATTTAATGCAATTTTATTCATCTTCATTTTTGGACTTGTTAGTGTATGTTCAATCACATTCTTAAAAAGTTTATGTAAAGATTTATTTAGATCATTTAAATATAGAAAAGTAATTAAATTCTAAATTATAGGCTTAAAATCCAGAGGATCAACAATCTTTAAGAGTTTCTAAAGATATTGATTATGTTGATTATTCTACATAAGAAGAAGTTTAGAGTTAAATCAAAAACATTGAAATGAGTGATTAAAAAAAAGTTGAAGAATGGAATAAATAATAAGATCAATTTAAGTTTGGAGAAAAATTTACAAGCTCTTTAGAATAAAATTCATTATGACAAAATATTCAATTAATTTATGAATAAACAAATGATATATATTAAAACTTGAATAAATCGATCTTTTTTTTAAATCAAAGATGTAAAACGAAGTTTTAAGTAAATTCTAATAAATTTAATATATAAAAATTCAAGATATTATATAAATTTATTTTATGGGAAGAAAAAAATTGATTAAATATTTATTTTTGCAATACTTTTTCAATAATTCTTAACAGAACCGGCTTTTTCAATATCATTTCCAGAGAAACTTATACCAATAATTTGTGGTAAAGGATTATTACTAGGAGTATCTATAAGTTATGTTGACATAGGTTTTAAGTTTTATAATCTATTCGAATTATCTTCAGCAAAAGTTTTAAGTGGAGATTTAACTTTTAATTCATAAAGATCTTACCAATTAATTTTACTAAAAAATGAATGATTTTTTATAGTATCATATCCCTATTTAAATAATAACATAATATATACATTAGCTCCTATTCTTAATTAAGGATTGGTTTATAAAAGACTGTTGATTAAATCTTTAGCATCTTTAGACATGGTTGGTGGATAAGTAGGATTATTCTTTAAAATGAGATATTAGATTTTCATTTGATTTCTTTCAGGATGTGCAAAAGGAGTTTTACCAGTTATCATTTCATAAATTAAAATGCCTAAAGTCCATAAATCTACTTCAAAAGAATGTCCTTCCTTTCTTAAAATCTCAGGAGCTAAATACTCAGTTGTACCAACTAACGTATATGATTTTTGATTTTTATCTTTTTTTTTTGTAGCAAGACCGAAATCAGTTAATTTCACATGTCCTGATTTAGTCAATAATAGATTTTCAGGTTTTAAATCTCTATAAATAATGTTAAGTTTCATATTAAGATATTCTAATGCTAAGATGACTTCAGCTGCAACAAATTAAACTACAGGTTCAGGAAAACCCTAAGTTCTTTAAAGAATTTAATAAAATTCACCACCATCAATATATTCCAGTACAAAATAGAGCTTAGTCTAACTTTAAAATGAATATTTAAGATTAACAATAAATGGATGTTTGCTGTTGTTCAATACTTCTTTTTCAATGATAGCATTTTATTCTAAATTATTATCAAATATTTATTTCTTATTCATAGCTTTAAGAGCATAGATTTTATCATTATCTTTCTTTTTCACCTTAAACACTTTGCCAAATGCACCCTAATAATCTATCGTATTCTATAATCCCTTACTTTTCCTATTTAATTTAGCATTAAAAAATCATCAATACTTAATTTCTTTTATACTGACTCCAACATCTTATATGAGTTTTGGTTCTTTTCTGAGTTACATCCATTTGTCTCCTCTTATTATTTTGAAAGCATCTAAACAGAAGTTATTTGTGTTGTTTCCTTTGTTTCACATAGATTTCCCATAATTTTAATTAATAATAGAATTGACAATATTTGAATGTGATTATCTAATAAGGAAACTTATATAATATAGTATAAATATTAGAATAAATAGATAGAGAAAGGTATGATTTTAGAAATGATAGATTTTTTACAAACGCTTGTCTCTCATATGAATCAAAAATAATGTTTGTAACTGGCGTTGGATAAATTATAGATTAATTCATCAGATCTTTATTCTGATATAGCATCTTTAGTAGAAATGATGAACAATAACTATCAGATAATGAGGTGATGTAAGAATTACTTAAAATGTTAAGAAAATATATATAATTCTTATAAAATTGATTTATTTTGAAATTTAGAATAATCATAAATTATTCCTAAATGGTTATATATAATTCAAATTCATTGCTTAGCTCCTTTTTGTTATCCCTAGAATCAAAGCAATTAAAATATACTTTAGTGCATATATAGATATAATGAACATTTGGGGCATCTTTATCTTCATTAGTAATTGCAATAGAAGTTGAAATAGTTGGTTTATGTACCTATTTAACTATTACATTCCTATTTAATTAAATAATCATTCAGATGTTACCAATCATATTCTGGTTTCTCTAAATATTAAAGTCTATGTTCAGGTAAACCATAAGAAATTGCAAAATATACTCCTTTTGGTCCTAACACTCTATGAACTTCTTGAATCACTTTTTAAGCATTAGATGATGATGATTCTCCACACTTAAATCGATTATAATATTTACTAATATAGCATCAAGAGTTCCTTTATCAATTGCTCCATCGAATGATCCATCTTCGAATTCCATTGCTCTGGCATCCATATGAAGATCTTTATTTAAAACTATCTATACATTTAAAATTTGGTCCTTTATCTTTATACTTCTCTTACATTGCCTTTGTAACAACATGAGATATATCAATATTTGTAATATTCTAATATCCCTCATCAAACATTTCCTCACTCAATCCTAAAATTTATCTTTTATATAGTTCTTACTGGAATTTCCTGCTCCAACATTTAGTAATTTACTTTCAGGAGTAAAGCAACCTTAAACTAGATCTTTTATTCCTGTAAATCTTTAATACCAATCGAAAGGCTCAGGATCTCTAAATTAGTTTAATCATTATTATACCTTGTATATCTCTCTTCCCAATATTCTGCTTTACCGTATTAAGACATTTGAATATGATTAAATAAATTATGTTTAATATGTTTTAAAATTTTATATATAAATTAAAATGCAAGTCAAACACTATAGGTTAATATCAGAACTTTATACTTCTCCTCAAAACAAAACTTCCTATTCTGAAAACATCTTTAGAGTCAACAAAAATAGCAGCTCATAACCAAAATTATCATCTCTTATTCCTTCTAGACATACACTTAGTACAGGTCAATCTTTCACTACAAATGAATCTGCTATTAAAATATCTGCCATCATACCTAGAAATCATGATGAAAGACCTTATAGTAGGCTTACTACTGGATTCCAGAAATATAGATCTTACTTAGATTGCAAAAGATTGACATCATAAACTAAATATATGTAAACTCTTGATGATTGGGAAATGAACACTATTGAAGAAATTTAAATGAGAAGAACTTCCAATAAATAAACTATTAATTGCAAATAATTATGTAATAACAATATTGAAAATAAAATGCATTTTACTACATTAAAAAAACCCAAAAAAAATACTATGTAAAAAGTTATTATTATCAATCATTAAGGCAAACCTAAAATCTATTATTATATGCAATGATTTATATAAGAAAATATGCTTTATAATTCCCTTTATTCCAATAAATAATAATTAAACTTATGATATAATTATTTTAAAATTGTTAATCTCATAGTCAATAAACATTTTCAGGGGTGCAATAATATCACTATTATTCTTTTCTAAATTTTTGTCATAGTATTTATAAAATCGCGATATTATTTTAAAATTCATTATATATACTATATACTATTAATAAAACCCATGTAATTATGCTATCCGTATTAGATATTTTAGAATAACCTTCCATCATAATCTTTTATGAATATCTAACTCTAACTCTATGTAAATTGATCAATAACAAAGAATTTCAAATTATAAGATAATAAAGGATGAACATTGATTAAATTAAGTGTTACCAGTTTTGCCTATTAGAGTGTAATCTCATAAAAATCTTGACATCTAAGACTTTAATGTCAACTCGATATCACAATCAATTTATTGTTTTGTTTGATATTTTTAAATTTTTACTTTAACATTAAAAATTTTTATAATAGGTTCTTTACTTAAGAGAACGTAATATGAAATAAAAATCAAGAAGCTAAATAAAAACTAATCTTAGGATTAGTAATAATCTAATAGAAATGTTTTAATAAAACCTAATAAAGATATCGATTTTTTATAAATTAATATTTATATAAAGTATTAAAAAAGTGATTGTTATTATGTCAAACAATTAATAATGAATAGAAAATATCTTAAAAATTTATAATAAATCTAATTTAAATATGATTAATAATATGACATATTAATCAATATTATTTATTTTAATGAAATAAGGGGATCATTTAAGTTCAACAACAATTATTATTTCATCAGGATTGGCTAGTGTGATAAGCACAATAATTAGTAATCCATTTGAAGTTTTGAAAATACGATTGTAAGTAGATAAGATGGACTGCCATGAACATTAACATCATCGAAATGCTCATCGAAGCAAACCAAAATTTAAATATATTCACGAAATAGCTTTAACAGGACAATCAACAAGACATTAATTAAATCATTATGGAATGCTGTCAAAATCATTGAATTTGTGGAAACCTCATAGAATGATTAATATGATAGGAAAATCCTAGGCCACAAACCCCTTAATTAAAATTTATTAGAATTGTTCTTGCATTGCTACTAATTCTTTGGTTTAAGCCTTTTAACACATTTATACACATGAAGGAGCATCAACATTTTTTAATGGATGGAGATATGCTGTATTATAGGCGGGAGCATCAAATATTAGTTACTTCATGTTTTATGAGAGAACAAGAAAATTCTTATAATAATTGGAATTGCCATCAAGTAGATTGGTTGTTCCTTTATTAGCTAGTTCATTTAGTAGAGCATTGACAACAACAAGTAAGATTTGATATATATTTATAGTAACATTTCCATTGGAATATTGGAAGGTATTGTAATCATCCACTGTTGGATATTCTAAATTGAAGAATGTTTAATTAGGTACATAGTTTCATTCAGCCTATTTAATAACAATTTAAAGAGATATATTATTTTCATGCATATATTGGAGTCTTCTAGAAAATTTAAAAATAGAGATAGGAAAGATATTAATAGATTTGCCTAATGCAGTGAATCTATTATCAGCAATGTTAGCAAGTAGTGTTACAGCTACAATGACCCTTCCATTAGATGTTGTAAAGACAAGAAAACAAGTTAGTACTAGAAGTGATTTAGGATCAAGTCGATAGATGGCTACTATGGAAATTTTGTAGAACATTTATAGTCAAGAAGGATTGAAAGGACTATTTAAGGGATACTAACCTAGAATTGCTAAAGTTACAATGCATTCTGGTTTAGTCTATATGATGTATGAGTACCTAAAATAATTGTTCTGATTTTCAATTACTATTTATAAATTGAGATGTTTTTATGTGTATATTATTATATAATTATAAATATTACATGAACAAAGAAATATAATATATGTAGCTCTTACTTTCTGATGTAGAAAAATTAAGGATTGCTTAAACATTTTAAGAATATGAACTGATAGTTAAAGCTTTATAAAGCATATAACAATATATCAATGAAGCTTAAACAGTAGAGAGTTTTAAATATATTCCAGATTTATTGATTGAAACTCTAAATCATATTATGAATCATCAATAATACCCAGATTAAATTCTTATTCATATTGAAAAGTATATTAAGTCTATTCTTTTCTACATCACTAAAAATATTTTTGATGATAAAATAAGTTAAATATTTTGTAAAATTATGGACCCATCTTGTAGGATCTATAAATATAATGCTCTTTCAAATAACTATCATGAAGATGTAATAATCTATTTTTATAATTATAGTTCATAGCTTATTCTTATAACAAAAATCCTGAATATAAACAATTCATTGATAATATTAAAGTAGGTTCTTTATTGGATTGCATTCGTAATTGTTTAACTACAAATAGATTAAATTGGAATAGAGGGGTTGTTGAAGAAAGAAATGAAGAATATATTAAAGTAAGATATTTAAATGAGTCTAAAATTTCATAAATCTATAACATTAAAAGTGGGTATTTAATGCCTATTTCGACTCGTTCATAGCATTTAAATACAATGTTTAACTTATAGAAAAATTAAGTAATTTTAGCAACTCTAAATAATAAATGGATATTAAGTACCATTATTGATAGAATTGTAAGTTAAAGTGTTGAAAATATAATTACTTATACCATTGGATTTCGTACAATATAAGAAAATGCATCAGTATTTACAGGTTTGGATAGATATCATGATGAACATATAAGTGCTTGCAGTCCTCGATTAGCATTATGTGGTAATCATATTCCAAGATAATATAATTCAAATGAAATATTTATTGATGATTCATATGATCTTCTTTATGAATGTGATTATTAGAAAAACAAATTTTATGCTATTCTAAGACCTTAATATTCATAGAGCTTGCTTTTGATTAAATTTATAAATTATTTTGGATCTTTAGGTGGTTTTGAATAAATTCTAAAATTATAATCAGTTGATATTTTGGCAAATTATATTCAAGGTTTAGGAAATATTCATGCCTAATTGTATAGATCATTTTGTCAAGAATATATTACCAAATTATAAGGATTAAGATAAACTCTTCTTTAATCAGATGATTACACCTTAAGAAATATGGGGAGAGAGAAAATTAATATAATTTTATAAGCATTCAAACTATTATTAGATAGAATAATGAGTGAAGAATAAAGAAAAGAATGGATACTAAATATTGGATTAGAATTTGTATTAATATGTTTTAATTGTAAATTTTTAGATAAAAAAATTATTGGATTAAAACTATTAACAGATTTATTAAAATAAGCTCATAATGATTAATCTCCAGATTAAATCCTATTGTGGATAGAAAAATAAAGTATTTTTCAAAATCTTTTTCATCATAGTACTCATTTGCAATTATTGGAAAGAACTAAAGATTTGATCAAAATCTATTTATCAATTGAAAATGCTTTTAATTATAATTATTTATCCATTATCTGGAATCTTATGTAATCTAATGATAATGAGTTAAGATCAATAATATTCAAAGTATTTAATGATCTTGCTGCATTAATGTCAGATCAATAGGCAATTTATTTTGTAAAATAAATCCAAAAATTACGATTAGATTTAATTCTAATTGAACATGTTCAATTACTTTTTGAAATGCATAAATAACGATTCCATTAAAAAGTATTATTCAGCTAAACTATCGAGATTCTATGGAAAGTTATTGAATATGCAGGATTATATTAGAAAACAAAATTAGAAGATTAATCTAGAACTTACTTAATCGAATTAATAAAATTTCTTAATGTTGAAGATATAAAATTATAAATGATTGAAAATCTGATTACAAACATAAAACAGTAATAAGTTGAAAGTTCATCACTTAAAATTCTTTAATAAATGATTTGCAAATTCTTACCATAAAAAGTTATGCAATCAGATAATAATATATATTAAATATAAGAAGAAGTCAATAAAAATGAATTTATAAAATAACTTATTTATTAGTAAAAGATTCATAGTACTTTAAGAGACAGTATTGAAAATTTATACAATTAAAATCATGGTATTAAAGCTAATGATACCAATAAAATAAATGAATACATGAATAAATTATTTGAAAGAATTCTAACAATTAATACACTAATTATGATTAAAGGAAGTGCTGCTGATATGATTGATTAATAATTCTTAAATATGATATGGAATAAACATATTTTAAGACCAAATTTTAGTTAAGAGAGTGAAATGGTTAGTTAATGGTTTCGAGATTTGATAGAAAAGGATGAGAATTTTTGTGCAATGCAATTAAATGATTTCTTTTAACAGTTACTTTAATCGGATTCTAAATTGAATGAAAATGCCTTTAAATGTTTTAAATCTATATTATATTATGTAAATCAGAAAGATAATAAAATTCAGAGATAAACCTTAATATTCAAATAATTGTGTGATTAATACGGAAATTTATAGAGTATAGAAAATACAAATATTTAAGAGAAGGAAGAGTAGATGGATTATAAAATAATGGTAGACGTAAATGAGATAATAGGAATAAAATATTTATGGAATCTTGTTTTTAATTCATAAATAGATTAAGCTATATAATTGTTAATTAAGTTAAATTTATCACAATAAGAATAATTTATGAGATAGGTGATTGCTAAAATAAAAAGTAATGATGAGTAAACTATTTTAAAATGTTTGGATATACTAAGAGAATTATTAAATGAGACAGAAAGATTGGGTATAGGTACTTAATTACCTTTAGATGGTTTGGTGAAGGGAAATTAATATAGTATTAATATTATTAAAGATGGAGATTAGAATAATAACAAAGTAAAAGTAAAGGTTTATTAAAATATGACAATACTAGAATTAAGAAAGTTAATTAGTAAAGAAATATAAATAAATTGGGAATAAATAAAATTGGTCAGAAATGGAATTGTAATATTTGATACTGAAAATGGAAAAACACTTAGATAGTTAAATATAAAAAAGATGGATATTATATATATATCCAATAGATATATAAATCCTATTCCAAAAGTACCTTTAGTTGAAAATAATAAGTTAACGCCAGCATTTTTGAAAGTCTTAAAAGATATATTTGATTAATATTCTACAAATGAAAAGATGGCAATAGAATAGCTAAGTTAATTTGTAATGAAAGCTTCAAATAGTTAGAATATTTAATAAAATTAAAGGATTCAACAAATATTTGGATAGTATAGTACAAATGGGTTATATCTAACACTAAATAATTTTATTGCATTTTTTGAGGATTCTTGTAGATAGTAATAAAATATCGGAAATGTTTGGTGGAATTTGAATACATTAGGATATAAGAACGATCTGTCTTTAATAAATGATGATAATTATAAATTAGATGAATAGAAATTGCCTCGTTATTAATTAGTGCAGAATTTAGAATTTTATAATGTAATGTTTAAATATCTTAAAAACACTGATAAAGTGGCTTAGGAATGCTGGAAATTATTGTGTTAATTGCCGGTATTTAAATAAGCTAGAGAGAGAGTCAATAATTTTGAATCTATTGTTTATGATAGATCCTACTAATTAATTTATTCTTTAAAGATTATAGAGTATCTACTTTAAGATATGAATTATTGCAAATAATTTATAATTAATTTGGGGTTTAAGTCATTGTAGATTATATTGAATAATTTAGAAAAATAAGATAGTACAATCAGAAAACAAGGTTAGTTAATTATATTAAAGATATTTATTAAACACATTGCAGCATAATATCATGCTCAATTTAATATTATTTTTTAGATTTAATAAAGTGTTAAATAGCCAATATCAGTGACTTTAAATATGATTGGTGAATTTATTGATGGTATTCTTTAATTATAAAATAATGAATATTTGTAAAAATTATAGGAAAAAGAGGAATTCTTGAAACTAATTAAATTTACATCAGATTTAGATATTTAATTAGATTACAAGATTTTATTTGAATATTTGATTAATACACATATTGATTTAGAATAGGATCATAAACTTATAAAGTTGATTCTTATATTATTGACTACAATGGTTGGTTTTAATTTAGGTAATTGCAGAAATTTCTTTATTGAAAAGATTAATCAAATTAAATAAAGATACATGTAATTTTTATTTGCAAAAGGGTAATTATTAATTTAAAAATATTCAATAAATTCTTTGTATTTGATATACAGATACTAAAAGATAAAATTAGGAAAGCATTTAATGTCGATATTATAGGAACTGTTTCCATCAAATGAAAATAAGGATTCTTAATGTTATTTTGATTTATTAGCTAAAATGATAGTAGAAGAAAAGTATAGTGATTAAGGATTAACTCAGCATATTATTTAATAATTAATAAATTATGAGCCAAATGAATCAAGATTAAGTTTATCACCAGATAAAACTCTTATAGGTTTATTATCGATTTTAGAAAGTTTGTGTATAATAGATTCAAGTATTTTGTCAACTTAATTAATAAAATATTTATATAGAGTGCATTTATTCTGTTTTGATATGAGTAAGTTTAATTTAAGTCCTAAAAAATTATTAACAATGGATTATGTAAAGAGTAAATCTTCGGAAAGTAGAAAAGTAGTTTATCGTATAATAATACTTTACTTAAAAAAGAATTTTAATTTATAAGAGATTGATTTATAGACAGTGATATATTCTACCTATTTACACGAAGGTTTTGATGTCAAAATGAACCCAAAGAGTCATCATGGATATATTGGAATTAGAAATTTGGGATGTATATGTTATATGAATTCAATGATGTAACAATTCTTTATGACTCCAGAATTCAGATATTGCATGTTAAGAGCAGATGATGGAATTAATTAGAGGAAAGTCTAATTTAAAGATAATTAAGGATTTTAATTATATTTTGATGATAATCATATTCATTAGTTCTAAAGGATGTTGGCTTATTTAGATTTAAGTGATAGATTTGATTTCAACCCTTTTTATTTTTGTTTTACATACAAAGATCATAATAATTAACCAATTGATGTTTAATTTTAGTAAGATCCTTAAGAATTCCTGAATCACTTTTTTGATAGTTTAGATAAAGAATTAAAGATGAAAGGTTGGTAATAAGTTATTGAAGCTATATATGGTGGATAAATCTGTAGTTAAATGATTTGTAATGGATGTTAAAGTATGAGAGATAAATTTGATTTATTTTACACTTTGTCTTTAAAAGTCAAAGATGTTAAATCTATTAAAGAATCTTTTGAGAGTATGATAAATGGAGAAATTATTAAAGACTATTACTGTGAAGATTGTCGATAATATAATGATTTGATAAAAAGATAATGTCTATCAACTTTACCAAATGTCTTAATTATTCATTTATAGAGAATAGTTTACAATTTAGATTTATTTATTAATGAAAAATTAAACTCTTATTTAGAATTTCCACATCTCTTAGATCTTTCTAAATACACTAAGGAGGCTTTGTCTAATTAGTAATTTAAAAATGATTCTTATTATATATACAAGTTAAAGGGTGTTGTTGTTCATCAAGGTACTGCATTATAAGGACATTATTACAGTCTAATTAATATTTAAGGAGAAAAATGGTTAAAATTTAATGATTCTCTCATTGAAGAATTTGATATCAAACATTTACCTTATGAATGTTTTGGAGGTAAATAAAATAATGATCTTTTAGAATTTTAACAAATTGATTGTAGTACTAATGCATATATTTTGGTTTATGAAAGAATTCAAAAAGAAAATGTTCAACTCAAATTTACTAATTAATTATAAAAAGTAGAAATTATGTCTAAATTTGAGAATCCATTACAAAAATAAGAAAACTAAGATCTAATTATTAATATGGATTATCAAACTATGGCTCAATAGTATATATCTAATGAATTATATGCTGAAATTTGGTTAGATAATCATAAATTCATGGTTGAGAGACAGATTTATACTGATGAATTCTTTAGATTTGTTAAAGAAATTGCAGAAGTATATCCATATCCTTCTAGTTATAAATTAATCACAAATCCTAATAAATTACCTTTAAATTTTGGTATTTACAATCAATCTCAATAAATTTAAAATCCTGAATAAGTTGCTCTTCTCTTATTTAATATAACTTATATTGCTATTGAATTATTGTTTCGATCATCAAATTAAGAATCCATAAAAAATTATGTTTTAGTCATTATTAATCTCATCAATATTATTCCAAATAGAACAAGCCTTATTTTTTAACAATTATTTATTAATAGATAAAATAGAGTTTTTAACGTTTTCTTATGTGCTCCAAATTCTTAAGTTCGTGAAGCTATTTAATAAATTATGCTTCATTATTTAAATGTAATTATTTATAACAATAATTTAATGTTGAATACTTAAAACTATAATAAATAAAATTTAGATAATGATATAGATCAATATGATTAAAAAATAGTCAATTTTCTAATCAATTTTTTATAATTGCTCCTAAATGAGGCTCCAAAAAATTTTACAAAATTAAATTAATATTTTAATTTTTGGAAATTATTTGTTTAATCATCCCAAATTCAATTATTTTTTGCCAATTAGATAGAATTGATATCAATATTAGCTGATTTTTATATGGGGTATTAATCTCCTAGAAATTTGGAAAATAACTAATTTTATGCATTTCAAAACAAAGAAAAAATGTAAATTCCTACAAACAATTTTGTTCCATAATATTGTTCATTATTTTAATGTATAGACTATCTTTTATAAAATGAATATTATCAATTAAGCAATAATGATAAAACATGTCTACATTCAAATATTTTTTATTAAAAAATAATTAAAGAATGCTAAGATTTAGATACTATATAATCAATCATTTCAAAAACAGTTTTTAATAATCAAGTATTGTCCAGATCTATTATTGAAATAGTTTTAGAGGAAATTAATAACTCTAATTAGGAGACTATTGGATAATTTTTAAGATTGGCTTAAACATTATTAAATATTTATGATAATAATTAATTAGAACGAATTTAATGGTTATTGGGATATCCATAACCTAATTATTTAAAAAATTATATCACAGGATGTTCAACGAATATATCCTAATAATGTATCATTTATTTATCTCATATTGGATCTGAAAATGAAACTATATCTATTTTAAACTAATTATTTGCCAATCATAAAGTTTATTAAAATTCAGCCATTTAGATTATGAAAATGCTTTTAACAGTAATGAATTAAAATTAGAATGTTTTCTCTTATGTTATTTAATTACCTCCCCCAAGTTATCTCTATTCTAAATATACAGATTGGTTTGAATTATTTTTATAAGAATTCTAAGAGGATTGTATCAAATTTCCTGTAATGACAGATTAAATTTTCTTCAACAAAAAATTAGAATTTGAATAAACTATCTGGTTATGGGAAGAATTTAAAAAAAAATTCTATTAAACAACTTAATGTAATGTATTTGATCCTTATCAACCCATTTATATTTTAGGAAACACTTATTAGACTGAATTAGTTTCAAGTGATTCATATATGGATAATGTATTTTTAGAGACTTATGAATCAATTGGTTTTTATGTTGAATCAAAACCTACTTTTATAAGTAACTAAGTTTTTCCAACTTCAGTACTTACCAACGATTTTTATATTTAAACTTCAAAAATAAAAAATAACTCTAATATATTTAATATTTTATAGAATGAAGAAGAGATTAAATTAGATTTTTCAAAATCTAAACCTTTTTATGAAAAAGAAAAAAATATAAATTTTAATGAAATAGGTTATAATGAATAGTAAAAAATCAATGATGATTTTATTAATGAATTATAGATTAATTCATCTAATAAGTAACAAATTAACAGAGAAAGAAAAATGTCATAAGAAAATATTGTTTATAAAAATAATGAAAATTTTTAAGAACAATAAAAAATTTAATGTAACTTACCAATATAAGTTGCTCCATTATTGAAAAGATTTATGATAAACAATTAAACAAATTAAACTATCTATATAGTTTGTCAAATTAATTCAGAATCTGATATTAATTTCATGTAAGCATATAAATTTATATATCTTTAGATTACCAAAAATATTATGCAAAATAGTTCCTCCATTTACTGTTAAATATTTAACAACTATTATGAAAACGGTTCCTTTGATAGATTGGGGAATCTATAATTTTTCTATGAATATAAATTTTTAAAACTTACAGAAAAAGAAATTAGAAAACAATATTTAATAATAGTATTTTTTTGATCATTTATTTTAGAGTTAAAACTGATGTTGAAAGACAAACTTAAATAAATTTAGAAGAATTGAATTCAACCAATGAAATTTAATGTCAATAATGTACATATTTGTAATCTTCATCAAATACTTCCTGTAAAATATGTGATTACAAATTATAATGAATATTTTAATTTATTTTATTATTAATCATGGATAATAAATATGATGATCAAGTAAAGACATTAGGATTTTCTCTTTGCTATAAGAGTTGTTTAAAGAATAGAGATGCAATAAAAACATCTCATATTCATCATACTCTCTATCCATGTATGGAAAATTGTGCAATCAAATATAAACGAGTTGTAGAAATTGTGATGAATTGATATTTTTATATTTTGCATTCAATGTTATTTATTTATGATTGAGTATTTTTTAAAGCTACTAGTTGATATTAATTACTTATTTAAAAACTTAAGTTTTCTAAAGCATTATGCTATAAATATCATACTTTATGATAATTAATCAAAAAGTTTGAATATACATTAAATTTAATATTTATGTCAACAGCTGTAAAATGTAATTATATTTATAATAACATACACATAAATTCTATGAATAATTTGAATTTCAAAATTAAAATCAATATCAAATAACTCACAAATATAAATTGTGATTCATTATATATATAATTTTATTATAATTTAGTTGAAGTAATATGATAAGAAGTCTTGATAAAAAAGATAATTAGTTTATTTTTATTTAATTTTAATTATAAGGTGAATAATTTTTGATAATTATTTTGGAATATTTTTTGATTAATAAAATAATTAGATGAATTGGAGGAAAACAAAAGTGTTCAAAAGTTTTACAATTTAAGGAGCTCTCATAGAATCATTGTACGATGGCTCATCTAAGTAACTAGTATTATACGATACTCAAAATATCAAAATATATGGTGTAGGAGATTCTGAAATTAAATTTTATGACAAAATTTAACTTTTCACCCAAATAAAGAAAATTGTGTGTTTATCTTCATTCAACCACAAATATCTTGTTGTTTAAAATGCTTAAGGCTAAATTTCAGCAATTTCTGTCTAATATCCATATGATCATAAATTAGTTGTTCTACCTGAACACTTCACTTCTGATTCATCATTATTAACATCATAAAATAGATCATGCATTATTGTGCAATTTCAAAATGAAATATTAATTTTTGAGTTAAATTAAAAATAAGAATTTGTGTCTCATTCACTTAGTATTAAAAATTAAGAAGTAAAATAAATTGACGCAAGTTTAGATGACACTCTCCACATTATGTGTTAATAATATGAATAGCTTAAAGAAAATTAGATGATTGCTAATATAGAGAGTACAATCTTTTATTGCAAAATGCATTATAAGGAAAAAGGATTGTAAAATTATAAATTTAAATTTATTATACTACAAATAATTGCTTTAGAAATGGAGGATATACTAGCTTTGACATAAAATGAGATACTTTGTTTAAAAAATGGTAAAACTCATTTAGCTATACCTGCTTAAGTAAATAGTTTCACTACTTTTATGAAATTAAATTAAGTAAATAACCAATTGTTTTTGTGCAATCCAGCCATCATTGAGATAATTGAAATCAGATTTGATGATTTTAATTAAATAATGAATATGGTAAGACTCTAAACTGTTTACATATCATTAATTGATATTGTGATTGCAGATAATTTGGTATGGATTCAAACAGAAACATCTGGAACTCTTAATCAAATGAATACTATTAGAATACCTTCAATTTCAGATCTTGATCCTTCGGCTATTAAAAAGGTAAAACTAGAAGATAATGATTAATTATTCAAAGCATTGGGAGTATTTTAGACATTTAATAAAATTTTCAATTTTACTGTTGTAGGTAATTCACTTTACATTTTATCTGGAAATGCAGCATCTTCATAAATTTATAAATTATAGCATGAACTCACTCCAGCAATTACTACGGTTTCATTAAAAATTAAAACTGGAATAAATGAATAAAAATTTCCTTTATTTTTTGAAAATCACATAGGATTTATAAGTGAATAGAAATAATTAACATTTTCAAAGATTTTAAAAGATGGAAATTTTTAATTAGTTGACAATATTTAGATACCCGAATTTTAGGATGTATTTTCTAATGGTACAATTAATGCTAATTGCTTTTATGTTTAATTTGATACTTATTTATGGTTTATCTAAACAAATCCACTCTGTTAATTCTCTAGACAATATGATATTCGTTAAGTGAAATAATTAATGAATTATTTTGTAGGATTTGATGAATAAAAAAGTCTTATTGTAACTTATCTAAATGATAAATCTTTAATTAGTCAAAAAATAAATTCAAATTAAATTGTATCATTTGATTTGGCATAATAAGAAAATGATATACTTATTCTCTTGATTGAAATAGGAAAATTATAAATATTTTCAGTAAAATTTATTTAACAATAAATATAAATTCAACTCTAATTTATAACAAATGAATTTATGGGTAATTTATGTGCTATTTCAAATACTCCAGAATTATATTTTGGATAAAATGCTTGTTTTACTTGTCCTTCTGTTGCTATAAAATGTTAATCAATAGAAAATGAAGATATTATAAATTCATATTTAGTGAATTTTAATAAAAATAAAGGTATGGGAATAGTATTTATAACATCATCTGGAAAGGTTTCAATTTATTCTCAAATAAGAAATAATTCAAATTAGATTAAAATATTTAAGTTAATATTTTCTTATCAATCGAATAATGTATCATTAAAATCTTAAAAATTTCATTATGTTGGTTCATCAAATTTTTAGTAGTACATATTTCCAGGATTAAACTTAACATTATCAGAAAGTTTAGGTGAGATCTTAATCCATTTTATCAAATAAGAAGATCAATATGATTAAGTTCTATTGGTCTAGTAAAGTAATAAAAATATTTATAATATAGATGCTATAATAATGGGAAAATCAGGTAGTTGTTACAATTTTCCTTAGTTATAGAGAAGTAATCTTCCTTGTAACAATATAATAATAAATCCTGTATTAAAAGATAGAAGTACAGCAGTTATGATGCATAGTTTTAGTGTAATTAAATTGAATAATTTTTGATAGTTTCATTCAAATGAATATTTGTTAGTGATTAATAAGGCTTAAAATAGAAGAACAAATTAGAATTAACTCAAGAACGAAGTGTTTGTTTATAGATCAGATAATTTGAACGATCCATTTGCTTAATATGATTAATTAGATAATGAAGAAATCATAAAGGCATAATTTCTTTAGGGAATGGATCTAATTTTAATAATGACATTGGTGAATTCACAATTAACAAGAGATTATCCAAATACTAAATTACATATATTAAAATTGGATTAATATTAAAAGATTACAGAATAACAATAATCCAGATTATTTAAAGAAGCTGTTCCATGTGATTTTGTAGTGATGCCACCTAAATTAGCACTTGTTTTTATGTAAGATTAATTAAAATATATTGATTTACATGTTGGTTAAAGTGCAATAGGATTTTAATTAACTCCAGATTCTTTAAGAGGAGAAATTGTACAAATTTAAATTGAGGCTGTATCTGTTGTTGATAGATGGATTGCAGTATTAAATGGAGGTTTTAAAGTTGTAATTTGTAAATTTGAAGAAGACAATTCTTAACCAAAAGTAGATTGGTCAACTGAATTTGGTGTTTAAAGAGTAGTAGATATCTAATTGTTAAAAAATGAATATTAAAAACCTTTACTTGTGCTTTTAGATTAAGAAAATACTATATAAATATATTCAATAACATATAAAGTATAAATATAATTAAAATAGACTAAAATTAAAAAAATAGCTGATTGTTAGATCATGAATCCATGTAGAATGTTGAGTATAACAAATAGTAATATCAATAAATATTGATAGAATTAATAATCTCCTCTTTAGATGGGAGTATGACAATGTTTGATTAAATAGACGATGAATCCTAGGCTAATAAATTCAAAACTCTTGTTTCAGATTTACCCTATATAGGTGGATTTTAACCTAGTAATTTCTTATGTATCAATATGAATTATATATTTAGATGCCAAATCAACAAATGGAAAAGGGAGTGTTTGGGATTTTGAATTAAATGATTTATTCAATTAATTATCATTTGGAATCTAGAGAGTAGTAAAGAGTAGATATATGTATAACCCTTTTGAATGAGTTTTTTAATAAGTATATATTTCATTTATATCTATTAATATCTAATAATACTGTAAGGTTTATTGATTATATACTTAATTATCATTTTCATACATTTTTATTAAGTGCAAGTCCAACTCTGTTGTTTTCTCTATCAAATTTAGCTGAATATTTAGTAATAAAAACATCTCCTAAAATCCATAATGGACCTCTTAGATATTATTAATAATTTATTACTATTTTGCTGGTAAATCTAATGGGAAAATAGTGCCTGCACATCCAACAATCTAGTCCATAGAAGAATGTTAATATGGAGATTCAACTCCAGACTCTAATTAATTAAATCATTAAGATACATGTAATTGTTAATATATATTCTTTAGGTTATAAAACATAGTTTCTTCCATCAATAACAAAAGTAATATCTGGCATAGATGGAAAGTTCTAACACTTAGGTTCTACTCTAATCATTGATAATAATGTTCTAACATCTTTTGTTGGTCCAGTCAATAGAGTAGTTCCTGTATCTACTACCATTTTGCATTTATGCTAATGAGAACAAATTCCAGTATTTTTATTACCTACTCTTATTTCTTCTGCCATAATTGACCAATAAAATTATTGATGAACTTTATGATATACCCATTATCCTTTAATCTAAGAATCATCACTTCCTCCAAAAATCAATTTTGATCCAGAATTACCTGTTTATCTATTTAAATGAAAAGTGAAAAGATTCTAATGTAACTTATGTTATTTCATCATATAATCAAATAAAGTTGGGACTCCTGTCATATGAGGATATCCCAATCCAACTATTCCATCAAATTCTCCTTCATGAAATGCATCTCCAATCTATTATGTAACCTCTATAAACAATGCATCTTTCAAATTTAATCCATCTACACTTATCTCTTCTCTATTAATTAAACCTTTCAATGTTCCACTTCCAAATACTATCTCTACTTATTTTCCTATCTCATTAAATGATTTGCTTTCTGCTCTATTATATCTTTTACTTTTCTAACATCCAATATCTTTACATTATTCTGATGCTATACAAGTAAGAGCAGATCCAGTATCAAAAATTACATCAAACGTATTCTTACCTTTTGCACTCCCTATCTTTAATTCTCCTATAAACATTGTATTTGCAATATTTGTTAACGGTACATCAGCAATATAAGTACCACTTTAAATTCTTTCTGCGGATACTAATTTTTAACCTTAATGCTCCATTTACTATTCAATTTCAAAATCTATAGGTAATAATGATCCTGAATTTTCAAATACACCTTTCTCTTCATGAGTTAACGGAATAACATCCATTAATGCTTCATTTATTATCATTTATTTATGATGTCTTTTTTTGTGTTTCTCTTCTTTCTTATTATGATGTTTTTAATGCTTTAAATTTTTTTTTTTTATTTCCTTTTCTAAAAATACTGTTTCAAATTATAATAATCCCTACAAATCTTTTCCTATTCTTTCATAATGCTATAATTCTAATAATTATGCATGTGAATGTTATAATAAATTTACAAGCTCTATCAAATGTTCTTAAGTATGTTAATTCTTAAGCTCTATTGAATATTGTCTTGCTCTTCCTAAGAATACTAAAACAACCAAAAGTAGCATAATGATATTTAATTATAAAAAAAAAACGATTAATATAATCTATTTTGTAGATAATTTTTTGCTGAGAAAATATTAAATTCTATATTTCTTATTTTATTAATTTTTTTTCTAGAAAATCATTCTTTTTATTTTTAATATTAAATATTGTTCTTTTTCTTCTTCTTTATTTGAAAAAAAGAATAACAATTTCAAAAACAACTAACTAATAATTTTATAATCTAATGGTTTTTATTTTAAAAAAAATTGATTTTTTGATCTTATATTTTTTGAAGTTGATGAATTATAAAATTTAAAGCAATAAATATAAAATTTTTTTAGAATAAAGTAAAAAGTGTTTTTAATATTGCCTATTATATAAATGACATTTTACATGTGTTTTTATATTAATTATTTTTCAAATTTCAAAATTTAATGAATAAAAAACAATAAGCCCCAGTAGCATAAAAACCAGTTGGGAAATAATAATAAGTGAATAGAAAGCCATAAGATAGGTAAAATGTATTATTAAATGATAGACCAGGATTGACAGAAGATGAAATTGAAGAAATAAAAGAAGCCTTCAATTTATTTGATACAGAAGGTACAGGAAGAGTAGATCCAAGAGAATTAAAAGCTGCTATGTAGAGTTTGGGATTTGATCAAAAGAATCCAACAATTTTCAATATGATTGCTGAATTAGAAAATGAAGGAACTGATATAGATTTTGATTAATTTTTAGATGCCATAACTTCAAAATTAGGAAATAGAGAATCTAGAGATGGTATTAATAAAATATTTGATTTATTTGATGATGATGGTAGTAATGCAATCAATTTGAATAACTTGAAAAGAGTATCATATTTAAATTATGCAAATATAGGTAGCTAGAGAATTAGGAGAAACAATGACAGCTGAAGAATTAGCAGAAATGTTAGAAAGAGCAGCTTCAAATGGTAGAGAGATTTCAAGAGAAGACTTTTACAATATTATGGTCAAAAGAACATTCTGATATATATAATTCATTTTAACAGTTAATTATTTTATTAAATTATGTAATTCCTTGCAAAATACAATTCTCTCTTATAACAATATCCTCTACTAACAAAATCGGTAACTGGAGGTATTAAAATTATAAAAATATAGGATTTATGTTCTTTGCTGGAGATGCAGTAGTCTAAACAATGGAAGCATAAATTGCTAAAAAGAATTAATAACGTCATGAATATGATTTTAGAAGATTAGGTATAGCATGGCTTATGGGTAATGTATTTATGATGCCTTTATTTCATTATAATTTCACTTATGTATTACCTTGGTTAGTCAAAAGGTAACACATCTCAATTTAATTAATTTTAGATTGCCATTTGATACTTCAACTCCTTTTAGAGCTGCATTAGGATCTGTACTTATTGATTAATCTGTATGGGCTTGTTATATATTGTGCCATTATTTAATGATTATCAATTTATTAGAAAGTGGTTCTGTATAAAAAGGAGTTGATGCAATCAAAAATAATTTTGTTAAAGCCATGATCACTAATTGGTAAATATGGCCTGCTGCTTAAATTATTAATTTTTGGTTGATTCCTAGACCTTATCAAGTCTTATGGGTTAATTTTATTGGATTTTTTTGGAATATTTATTTAAGTTACATATCACATAATTGAAATTGATTATACAATATAAATGTTCATAGATTAATCATTATAAGTTTTCATCATTAAAGTTTTATTATTATTTTTGATTCTATTCATTTTATTATTCTTTTTATTACTCATCTCCTTTTTCTTATTAGACATTTACTTTTTCTTACTACAATTCTCCTTTTTCTTATTCACATTTATCATTCTCATCAAATTCTTGATGTATTTTATCTTGATCAACTTTTATCTAAGACTTTTATTATTATTATCGTTATTATTTAGTTTGAGATACTTCCATTTAGGATTTATTATTTGATTGTGATTTATTAGGTAAAACAAGAGAACTTTAATTATTTTAATTTGTTGTGTCTCCTGTAACTGTAGGATTGGCTTTTGCTTTTTTTGTTTTATTTTATTTTTTTTAATTATTATTACTAAAATTCATTTTAGCCTTTGGGATTTAAATTTATTTAGTTATATTTCCTTATTGTTTTCCAATAATCTATAATATATTTGCACTCTATTCTTTAATTTATTATTAATTAAAAAATTGTGCAATATATTAAGCTTTGTAATTTTCAAAAAAAGCAGGTTCAATTGAGGAATGTTTAATATAAACGATTCCATTTTGAACTTATGTATTATTTGCAATACATTTGTTATTTAAAAACTCTTCAGGATCTTCAACTTCGTCTTATGATAGATGGTTATCATCTACCAAAAAACTATCTCTTTATTCACTTTCCTCACTTATATCATCATCAGATTCATTATTATCTGATAGATTCTCTGCTAATATTTCTTCAACTTCATCCAAAGAATCCTTATCATAATCAATTTAATCATCTAAAATATATTATTTTTATATTTACCTTATTAAAAAGGAGCTCTTGGTCTAATTACTTAACTTAATTGTATAAATTAATGTCCACTAAATTCTTTATCAGAATCTGCTATATATATATGTATCTTTCTTTTTCTAACCTACTGTAAAGGCTTTATTTCTTATATTTCAATCTCATCACTATTTTGATCATTTAAAGAAACTTATATTTTTTCCTCTTACAATTACATATTAGACATTTTTTCAATTAAAGTTTCAAATTATTCCATTTTATAAGGTGTTAATTGCTTTGGTTAATATTCATCCTATTTTTGAACTACTTATTATCTCTTTTCAAAAAAAAAATGCTTCAAATTTCTACTTGTAACTTAAGGTTATTATTATTATTATTATTACTATTATTATTACTATTATTATTATTATTATTATTACTATTATTATTACTATTATTATTATTATTATTATTGATTAATTTAATGAACTTATTATGGTTCATTTTAATCTTAAACTTATGTTTCTCTTTCTGCTCCTTATAAATTATTCTCTTTTGGAGATGTAACATTTTCAAATTAAGTTTATTCTTCAGCTTTAGATGATTGATTTGGTAATTCTTATATTTCTAGTTTCTTAAATTTAAATTAATCTAAAGTTACTTTGATAACTTTCTCTTATTTTTATTATTCCTTCTCTTTCTTTTTATTTTATTTATGATCACTTACTTTTTTTTCTGTTGTTTCAATTGATTCAGTTTAAGCATTTATTTAAGAATTAATTTATTCATTTTCATTACAGTTAGTTTTTAAATAATATTAATTTTAAATTGAATTTTAAAACTTTGATAAAATTAAATTATTTTCTATTTTTTCAAGATTTTATGGTTTGGATTTTGATTTTGTTTAAGTTACTTATGGTTTAGTTTTAATTTCAGTCTTCTACAAAAATCGAATAGGAGTATTCTTGAATTCTAGAAGATTAGAATCATAAGAATTATATTATTCTATAATTTCAAACTCTTCTTCTTTTTTTTTAATCATATTAATTTTCTCTTTAAGTTTTTTTATTTATTCTATTTTATTATTCAATGTAGTCAAATATTCTCTTAATAATCTTATATTTTTCATTTCATTTAAATCACATACTTTTTTTAAATCATCAATCTATTTAGTCTTCAATATAACTAAAGTAACATTAAGTTTAGATTCTTCTATATAATTTGGTAAATTATTTCCAATAAGTATTTACAAAGCCTAAAAATCAAATTGAGATGCTGGTTGAATTACTTCGCTTAATTCTGTCTTAATTTCCAAGAAAGACTTAATCTATTCATCCCATTTATCTATCGTCCAATTTATTTTAATGTTCTTTTAATGAATTAATTATTCAATTTAATTTTTTATTAGTTAATTTATCTCAATTTTATTCTTACAACATAATGCTTCCCCAACCACTCTTAATAGCATTTTTAAATAGTATTCCTTGCCAGCTTCATCCTTTTAATCATAATCTTTTAAAATATCATTAATCTTTTCTTCGTCTAAAACTATACTAGGAAACCCTAATTAATTTAACCTTATTTAAAACTGTTCCCATTTTGCTATATTTGTACAAATTTCTTCCATCTCTTGGCTTATTTTGTATTTTTGTGGTTTTTTTTTTTCCACAATTTTTTAAGGAGATGGATCACGATAAATTTATGGGAGTTAAGGTGGTTTTCTCTATCTCTTTTCATTAATAATTAGTTCCTGTTAGGATTAATTGTTATTTTGTTTTCTTTTTTCTATGAAATGATATTTGCAATTCTTACTTGTATTTTATTTATTGGAATGATTATCCTCAATATCCATTGCTTCATTTTAGTTCTATTTAGCTTCCTCATCTGCTTATTTATCCATCTTCAATTAAGAGTCATTGTAATTTTAATCTACATTTAATTTAACATTTTACCTTCTGTACAAGGGGTAACCTCAGTTTGCATTTTTTTTATTTTATTTCTGAAATTAGCGGGAAAAAAAGTTGTTTAACATTGTAGTAATATAGCAATCTTTTATTTTTATAACTTATTTTCAATTTTTTTAGAATAATTTTAGTGTCTTACTTGATTGAATGCAACATTCACATCTTTCTAATTTACTTTGAGAACTTAAAACTATTAAATAAACTCTTTTAAGATCATATAGATATGTAGAATTTTTGAGATGATTTTTTTAAAGATCGTGATAAAAATTTTAAAATCCTTCAAACAATCTGACTATTAATTTTTATTCACACTTCTTTCCTTATTCTAAATAAAGTTGTTAATATATGTTTATAGGTTTATTTCTAAATCGAATTAAATTCTTTCTAAATTATTATTTGATTAGAAAAATTATATCCTAAAAAAATAATTTTGATTCTTAAGATAAGAATTTAAAAAAATAATAAGTACTTTGCTTTCAAACAGATTAATTTTAATAAAGATATAATATTAAGATTTAATATTTGAAATATTTTATTCATGAAATATTAATCCTTTGTTTCTATTTAATTCATTTTATTTAACTAATCAAAAGTCATCAAAGATATGCTATTTCTCATCATCTATAGGTGGAATGTCTTCTCTTTCTTCTGGATATTTATCAAACCATTAAGAATCTGTTTCATTTCTCAAATATGGAATCCATGGTGGTTAAATCTTTTTATCATAAACCTTTTACCATGGAACTCCCCTAAAGAATTTATGATTCATTAATGCTGCCCCTTCCTATTTTAAATAATAAAATTACATCTTCTACTCCTAATCTTTTATTAACATCAGAATTTAACAATTTTCTAATTACATCCTTTGCTCTTACATGTAAAAATTTAGGAAACTCTATTACTCCATTTAATATTTTTTTATATATGTTTGTAGGTTCAATATCATAAAATGGAGGATGTCTAAAATAAAATGATTAATTAATACCCTGCTAACATTTCAAATATTAAAACTCCCAAAGCCCACCAATCAATTGATTTTCCATATCCAGTTTTAGCTCCTTAAATTAATTCAGGTGCTAAATATTCTGGTGTACCACATAATGTTTATGTATTATTATTTTTAATTTTTTTAGCAAATCCAAAATCAGCAATTTTAATATGTCCATCTCTATCTATTAATAAATTTTCTGGCTTTAAATCTCTGTAGACTATATCTTTTTTATGTAAATGTTGAATTGCCAATAAAATTTCAGAAACATAAAACAATGTAATATCTTAACTAAATCTGCCATCTTTTCTTAATCGAGAAAATAATTCACCACCAGATACAAATTCAAATAACATGTATATGCATTTTTAATCTTAAAATGATCCCTTTAATTACACTAAAAAAGGATGTTAAATTTCATTTAAAATATTCTTCTCTGATTTTATGTGATCCACTTATTTTAATTTAATTATATCATGTTTCTTCATAATCTTAAGAGCATAAACTTAACGACTTGCATCTCGTTTTATTCTAACTTATTTTACACGTCCAAAGGTGCCAGTACCTAATGTTGTGTAAACTTCAAAACTATCAATCGAGAGATTTTAGAATAACTATTTATCATTAAGTTTTCCAGAAACAGTTTAAAATGTTGGCTCTTCATCTGATGAATCCTCATTCATTCTTTCAAGTTATAATTACTATAACTTTCTTTAAAGCTCTTCTATTTGAAGTTAGTTCATGACAGTTAATAAAATTAATATATATTATCCAAAATATGTATATAATCCTACTCAATAGTTATATTTCAATAACAGTTATTCATATGTTAACAAAATAATTTTTAAAACAATCTATTTGTCTTAATTATTAATTTGAAATCTAAATAAATCTTATCAAAAATTGGATCAAAGTTAAACATATAAATTATTTATATCTTTCTTATTTAAATTATCCAACTGATCATTTTTTTTTAATTCATAAATAATAATTTAATATAAATTGAATTAATATCATAGAAAAATAGATTCCATTAAAAATTCCTCTATACATTATTCAAAAATAAAATCTCCAACTTCCATCAATAATTCAGCTTTATCATCTTAATCTTATATCCATCTATATTCCAAATCTTTTAACTTTAAAAACTTATATTATATTAATACATCTTATATTAGAGTTTTATATAATCTTTATTCTCTGATTTATAAAATAGGATCCTAAATATTAAAATAATCTTAATCAAATAATTCTGGATTCTCTTAATATTACATCTATTAAAGCATAATTTATTAATTTTTTTCATCTAAGAGGACTTATTTTTCTTTAGATATAGATATTTCATCATCAACAGGTAAAAATCCACAAAGAGAATTAGCCCATTAAACAACCTTTAATTCCATATTCTTAAATGTTTCACTTAAATCATTGTCATCTATCATTCTTTATTTAATTATACCTTCCCATGGATATGGAAATCCACTATCTAAAAATTAGATATTAACTTACTTTAATAATAAGGTCTTGAATAATTTAAGGCTTCATTACATGCATCGAATATTACTCTATTATGAATATGTTCCAACTCTCTTAAAACTGAGGTAACACTATCTTCGTTTTCAAAGTCATTTTACTATAATCTATATTATTCATATTCTAAAAAATATTCTTCCTTTAAAACGTATGTCAAAAATTAATTATATTAAGATTCATCTTATTCCATATATCCATGTATAAATTATAAGCGCTTTTATGGTGAAAATCCATAAGGCATATTTATATTTTGAATTATCTCATAATAGTGTTATGGTAAAATAAAATCAAAAAAATTATGGATATAATAACGAATATCTGATATAGAAGTTGGTATTTGAGGAATTGCTGATTATCTAATAATAGTTTGAAAAACAATCTCAAATTTATTTTCATTACTCAATAGTTCTATATTTAAAGATACAATAATTACCTTCAGTCATATCTTATATTAAATCTACTAATAAATCACTAACAATTAAATTCAATTTAGCTGATTTTTCAATTGCTTCATATGATTCAACAAAATTATCTTTCAAAAATTATTTTTATTAAAATTAATCTTCACAATTAAAGTCTTCTGATTAAGTTTCTGCTAATTTTTCAAGTTCATTATCATTCTATAAACAAAAATTATTAATTAACTTGATATCAGACATACTTTGCTTAGATTATTTTAGATTGCTTAATTATTCATCAACTCTTTTTCTTAAACTCTAAAGTTTTGAATTGTTCTCATCAAAAGATTAAGCTATTATTAAATCTCTTTGTATTTTCTTCATAGCAATTGCTTCCTTTTTTGTACTTATTTCTATTGCCCATCTTGTTTATTATAAATCATCTAATTCTTTTTTTAACCATAAATTTAACTCTTATTTTTTACTTTCATCATTCTCATTTTTTTTAATTTCTGCTTAAAATCTTAATTAAATTGCTTCCTCCCTCATACTTAATAATTCAATCTCTCTTCTCATTAACTAAGATTATAATGCTAAAAGGGATGATCTATTAATATCAGTAGATTAATCCTTTGATGATTAAAGCAATCTTTCTTCAAACTATTCTTAAACTGTTTTAAATTTTTTTCTAACTTCATTAAAATTCTTTTCGGTATTTGTTTCTTATGATAATCTAATTTTAAATTCGATTGATTATTCAGTATCAGTTTTATATTAATTTTATTATTCTTTAAATTTTTATATCTAAGATTAAACAATAGTAATGATTGCTTATGTCATTTATTCTTTTAGTGTTTTTATTGCATATGATTTTCGACCTTCATTTATTAAATTTTCTAAATTAAAATTCCAATCATTTAATTAATGTTAAATTTCTTATACAATAGATTCTTATTTTAAATCTTCATGATCATGATTTTCTTTTGAATTTTCGAGATTTTAATTTTCATTAATCTGAAAATCAAAATTCATATTTTCAGGTACTTAATTAATAACAACTAGATCATCACTTTATTATTAGTATTTTTCATCTAAAGATTCATTTTATGGAGAATTGTCTTATTTCTCTAATATTTTTATAATAGCTTATTGAATATTCAGTTATTTTTATTGTTATTCATCATTATCATCTCCTTCATCAAAAAACTCTGAGTTATTTTAACTTTAGGGAGGATTTGGTATTTTTAATGGACTAGACTGTGATTCATTTAAGAATGATAAATCTTGTTATTATTCTTTCTTTTATTAAGATTAATTTTCTTATTCGAGATATTTAAGATAACTTTCAAGGATTAATTTTCTTTAAAAATATCCTCTCCAAACACTTTATATTTTTGTTGCAGCTGCTTACATATAATAAAATTCTAATAATTAAAAATCATGTTAAGCTAAATTTGTAGTAGCTAAAACTTCATTATTTTTTATCAGATTTTATACCAATTCCTTTAAAAAATTTGATGGAGGAAGTTAATGTAAAATTTCATCTACATCATTAGGTAAAACTTAATCAGAATTTTAAATGTATGAATCCGAATGTTCTTCATCATATTATGGAATACCTACTTATTTTTATTGTTTTATTATCTTTTTTTATTATAATTCCTATTTTATTTCTTATTAATTTTACTCCATCTTAGAAATTTGTTCTTATCTTTTTATTATTTTATCTATCAATTTTAAAGGCTTTTCTTAATTAGAGCCTTGTGATTATACAATTTATTCCTTTTACTTTATTTTTTTCTATTTCTTTTTACCTTTTTTAGGTGATTTAACTTTTGCATCAATTGTTTTTTATTTTGAAAAAATCTTCTTTCTTAATTAATCCAATTTACATAAATTTTCAATTCTAATTAATTAAGACTTAATACTTTTTCTTCTATTCAATGAGCATTGATAATTATTAATTTTTCTAATTGATTGTATCCTATGCTCTTTTGCAATTTATATAAAGTTGAATATCTTCTTTCTATCTGTTTTATCTTTTTTCAACTGTATCCTATTTTTTTTTCTCTTGATTTTATTTCTATTCTTTTTATAAATTTTATTTATTTATTTGTTATTTAATTAGCATCTCTCCAATTTTCTTAAATTAAGAAAGCTTTTTATTATTAATTTACTTTTATGGGCTCGTAGAGTTACTTATCAATTAAACGTTTATTTTCTTTTTTGTTTGAGGTTAAATTGATTTTTTCTATTTTTTTTCTTAAGAAGGAAAAAACCCTTTTTTTGCAGTATTCATTTAGGATTTTGATTTACCTTATTACCCTTAAATTACTTTATTCTTTTTCAGTGTTTATTATAGTTGTTAAGGTTTTAAATCAATAAATTAGTCAAGAGTTTATTCAGGTGAAAGCAATCTTGGGCTTTTCTTAGCTCTATTACTAGTTATCGCAACGTTTAGTTCTTAAATTTTTCTCCCTTAAATTTAAGAATCAAAAGATCTCCTATAAATAATTGATAATACTTTAATGAGCTATAAGTATTCATTCTTGAAAATAATTTAATAAGAATGCTAATTTTAATTATAAAAAATTTTTAAATTTTATCTCTATATAATTATTTTTAAGAAAGCAACATAGACTTAAATCAATAATGAAAATCGAATAACTTTTATAATTGACACTTACAAAATTTAGTTTTTTCTTAATTTTTTTATTAGCTATAATTGTTTAATTATTTTAAAAAATATCAATCACAAGATAATCAAAGATCCATAACTTTATCTTTTTAATTAATTAAAATATTTATTATTATAAAATAAAATTGCTTGACCACATCCATATAATTTTTAAATATAAATAAAATGAAAAAAGTAAATAAAATATAGAACAAATAATTTAAAGAGATCAAATATTAAGAAAATAATTGTAATCTATCAACAAATCATTTTAATTCAAAGAATTCTATAAAGCAGAATTCAAAGGATTTTTTTATCAAATATGAAATTTTACGTTAATTTTTTATTTAAAACCCCTTTATTTTTAATGTCTTTGAATCCGATTTCTACTTTGTTCTAAATTTGAAATAAATATATGTTTGATTCATTAATTTTATAAAAAAGGTCTAAGTTTAGAAGATTGATGTTTAAAAAATGAATAGAAGTTTAATTCATTAAGATTGTATATAAGTGTTTGATAAATTCTAATTTTTAGAAATATAATTAAAAATGAATAATATTAACCGTGAGCAGTGCGTATCCAAACTTTAAGGACATTTGAAAGGGGCCACAGCTACTATTCAAGGTAATAAAGGTTAAGAAATAAATTAGAGATTGAAGAACTTTTGATGAATTAAGAACATATTATATGGTAATAAGCTAGGGAAATAGAAGAACTTCGTAAAAGATTAAAGTAATTGGAAAGTTTAGACTTCCAAAATGAATAAGTACTTCACCTATAGAACATAAATGTTTAACTAAAAACATAAATTGAATTTTTAAGGAGTTAAATTCAAGAGAAAGATGCAATGATTGCTCAATTTTCATCGAAACCAATATAGACAGCATCACCAGAAATACTAGCTGCATAACAACAATTAATTCAATAAAACTTATAACTATAAAATATTATAGGAGATCTTCAAAATTAAATTTTGAATAAGGATGCTGTAATCGGTTAATTAAAAACTTAAGAAAGCACTTTAGATTAATTAATAGGATAGCTTTAATCAAATATATAATCAAAACGAAATAAAGTAGGAGTAACTCAATAAGGAAATGAAACATTGAGTGTACTGAATGAATTATAATAATATCCAGATGCCTTACAAGATATTATCGAAAGAATCATATAAGAATATAGAAGAATGCAATATTTAATTGAAGAGAAAGATATAGAAATTTAGAATTTAAAATTTCGACTTTAGCTCTAACAGCAAAAGGCAAATGACTCAATTTCAGAAATTAAAAAAAGAGATATATCTCCTCTACGTTCAGATCAAGCATTAGATTTGGCAAAATAAACAGCAACTATGGATGATATGATAAGTGATTTGGAAAGAAAGCTAGTGTCATAAGATAATAGAAAAAAAGAACTATAAGCTAGATTATTAAATGTGGGAACAGAAAATGTGGAATTGGAGAAATAATTATTGTAATGCAAAGATTAACTTCCTAAAAATATAGATGAACTAATTAATGCTAATTTAGATATAAATGCTAAAATCGATGAACTTTAAAAAACATTGCTAAAAAAACAAAATGAGTAAATTTAACTTCAAGAATAAATTGATACAATCAATAATAATTAATAATAATAGTAATAATAATAGTAATAATAATAATAGTAATAATAATAGTAATAATAATAGTAATAATCATAGTAATAATAATAGTAATAGTAATAATAATAGTAATAATAATAATAATAATAATAATAATAATAATAATAATAATAATAATAATAATAATAATAATAATAATAATAATAATAATAATAATAATAATAATAATACCAATAATAATAACAATAATAATACCAATAATAATAACAATAATAATAACAATAAATTACATCAGGCAAATAAGATGATTTAGTTGAAAAAGCTGTTTAAAATGAAAATTAGGTTAAAATCGTGGATGATCTAGTCATAGAAAATTAATAATTAGATGATCTTATTACTGAATTATAATAGAAATTAGAATCTAAACAAGCATAAAAAGATGAAATCTAGAATGAAATTAAGAAGTTGAATATTCCTGCATTATCTTAAGAGTTAAAGGATCTTTAAAAATAACATGGCTAACTAAAAACAGACAATCAAAATTAAATAAATGAAATTTAATAACTTTAAGAAGAAATTGGTTAAAATAAAAACATATAATAAACACTTTTCTAGGAGAATAAGGATTTATAAGATTAAAATAATCAAACTTAATAATAAATTAAATAGTAATAGGAGAAATTAGCACAGTTACAAGAACAAAAAAACAAAAATGCTTCGAAATTAGTTAATGAAGATTTCTAAAAGCTCTAAGATAAATTTAATTAAACAGAAGAGAATAATAAAATATTAGAACAATTGGTTCAGTAGCTTAATGAGGAACTTAGATAATAACAATAAGGTAATCAACCTTTATAGGAAGAACTTTTGAATTTAAAAAATAAATTATAAGAAACTTCATCAACAAATTCAGAATTGGAGAAATAAGTTTAATAACTTGAAGAATAGTTAAACAATATAAAAAAAGATTAATAATTAAACAAGGAATCAGCTAAACCAAGTTATATAAAATCAGTAGAATAATAGAGAACAAATCCTATTGAAAAATTTAGAGAACCTTTCTAAAGTATGGTTGATAAGGAGGAATTTNTAAATTGATACAATCAATAATAATTAATAATAATAGTAATAATAATAGTAATAATAATAATAGTAATAATAATAGTAATAATAATAGTAATAATCATAGTAATAATAATAGTAATAGTAATAATAATAGTAATAATAATAATAATAATAATAATAATAATAATAATAATAATAATAATAATAATAATAATAATAATAATAATAATAATAATAATAATAATAATAATACCAATAATAATAACAATAATAATACCAATAATAATAACAATAATAATAACAATAAATTACATCAGGCAAATAAGATGATTTAGTTGAAAAAGCTGTTTAAAATGAAAATTAGGTTAAAATCGTGGATGATCTAGTCATAGAAAATTAATAATTAGATGATCTTATTACTGAATTATAATAGAAATTAGAATCTAAACAAGCATAAAAAGATGAAATCTAGAATGAAATTAAGAAGTTGAATATTCCTGCATTATCTTAAGAGTTAAAGGATCTTTAAAAATAACATGGCTAACTAAAAACAGACAATCAAAATTAAATAAATGAAATTTAATAACTTTAAGAAGAAATTGGTTAAAATAAAAACATATAATAAACACTTTTCTAGGAGAATAAGGATTTATAAGATTAAAATAATCAAACTTAATAATAAATTAAATAGTAATAGGAGAAATTAGCACAGTTACAAGAACAAAAAAACAAAAATGCTTCGAAATTAGTTAATGAAGATTTCTAAAAGCTCTAAGATAAATTTAATTAAACAGAAGAGAATAATAAAATATTAGAACAATTGGTTCAGTAGCTTAATGAGGAACTTAGATAATAACAATAAGGTAATCAACCTTTATAGGAAGAACTTTTGAATTTAAAAAATAAATTATAAGAAACTTCATCAACAAATTCAGAATTGGAGAAATAAGTTTAATAACTTGAAGAATAGTTAAACAATATAAAAAAAGATTAATAATTAAACAAGGAATCAGCTAAACCAAGTTATATAAAATCAGTAGAATAATAGAGAACAAATCCTATTGAAAAATTTAGAGAACCTTTCTAAAGTATGGTTGATAAGGAGGAATTTTCATTTGATTTGGGTAGTTTAAATCAGTAAGAATTTTCTTCTTAAGAAGTGACAAGTTCACCTGAAAATCCTAAATAATTATAGTTTAATAAAAATAAAACTCAAGAGGGTAAGTTTATTACTATTCCTTTGGATATAATTAAAAATTATGAATATTTAATTCGAGAAAAAGAAAATGAAATAGATGAGCTTAGAAATGAACTTGTTAATTAAGGAATGCAAAGTATACCTCTGAATTTCTAAACAGGAAATATTGGATCTGATTAATAAGATTAATTAAACTTTTAATTACAAGCATAAGTTCCAAATTAAAATAATGAATAGAATCTAGAAAGTTAAGGAATCACAATAGAATAGTTATAAAAGACCATAAAGTCTAAAGATGACTATATTGAAATGCTTCTTTAGTAGATTGAAGAATTAAAATAGTTTGATACAATGCCTGAAGATAAATAAAAAGAAAAATTAGAATAAAATTAAAGAAAATCTGATGATCTTGTAAGATAATATAATGAAATTGCGAATGTAATAATTGAATTAGAAAGTAAATTAGAAAATTAAAAAAATGAGAATGAAAAATTAGAGAAATAATTGTAAGAAGCAAACAAAGAATATAATGATTTATAAAAAAGAGCTAAAATGTATGAATTGTATAAGTTGAATAAAGAATTAGATGAAGAGTCTTCATTATCTCCTAAATTCTCTAAAGAGGAGGAATCTTTGTAGTTTAATTAATAAACTCCAGAAAAAGAATAGCCAAAAAATAAATAACAATAGAAATTAACAATTAAAGATAAATATGAAAAAAAAATAAAGGAGCTTTAATAGGAAAATGAAAAATTGAAGAATAAAATAACATAATAAAATGATGAAGTACCAAAATAACAATAGAATATTATAACATAATAAGATGATGAATTTAAATTAAAATAAATACATCCAGGAGAAATTTTGGTTTAAAATAAAAATTCATAATTAAAGTAACAATAATAAAATTAATCTATTGATTAAAATAATAGTCCATAAGATCTTCAGTCATAGTATGACAAAAATTTAGAAAAATAGGCAAACTTGATATAAGAAGTTTAAGCACTTTAGGATATAATAGAGAATCTTGAACAAAAAGTTTAAGTGAAAAAAGATGAAAAGGATAAATTGGAAAGTTAATTGTATGCAGCAGATAAAAAAACAGAATCTACATAAAAAGATGCTTAATTATAGGAATCAGCAACAATGGCAAGTACAACAAAATTAGATTAAGAAGCTTTGTAAAGATAATATGATTAAGAAGTATAAATTTCTAGATTGAAAGATTAATTAGCAGAAAAAGATAACTAAATTGCATAAATGGTAAGGTTAAAGGAAGAATTATCAGAAAAAGAAAATGAACTTAGAGCTTATAAAGAATAAATACCATCAATAGAAGAATATTAAAATCAAAAGTTCTTGCATTAATAAGAAGAAATAGTAAATACAGAATTACGTAAGGATGTATAGAAATTAGAGGATCAATTAGAAATTTAAATAAAACTAAATAGAGAGTTATAGGAAAGAAAGAATAATTAAAATGATCAACCTTCATTATCTTAAAAAATAAGAGAATCATTTAATGATTCTAATTCTTCGAATTCATAAATTAGGGATAATAAATAAAGAATATTAGAAAAATAATAAAAAGTAGAGGAATTGGTTAAAGAATATTAAAGTTTAGATGATTTAATAGAAGATATATAGAAGAAACTCTTAGAGAAAAATGATTAAAAGAATTAATTATTAAGTTAATTACAAGAAGGAATGAAAACGGATGAAAAAAATAAAGAATAATAAGTTTAATAAAATTAACAATTTTAAAAATAATAGAATTAAGAATTAATAATAGAGCAAATTTAAGATTTAAATAATATTTAATAAGTAGTCAATAATAGTGAAGATTAAATTACTATACCATTATAAACAGGAAATATTTTATAAGATGTTGATGGATAAAATGATAATTAAGGATTATAAGAATAATAGCCTTCCTAATTTTAATCTAATATAAATTAACCAACAAAATCATAATTACAGTTTGTTAGATAAGCTGTAATTTAACCAACACTTTAATAAGTAGAATCTTCTCAAGGATTAGTTACATAATAGGTATTAGTAAAAGAAGGAATTGATGAATAAAAATTATAAGAGGTTTTGGATTTGTTGAAGAGTAATAATGATGTAGATAAAAGAATTTAAGAATTGAAAGATGCATTAGCAAGAAAAAATAAGAGAAAAGAATAATTGGAGGGAATTTATAATAAAGATTTAGAATTATAGAATAAAAGAGTACCAGGAAATGTAAATGAGAAAAAGGAATTACAAGATTAATTACATTAAAAAAATTTATAAATTGCTTATTTGAATGAAGAATTATCTAAATTGTAGTAAAAAGTATTTGAGAAAGAAAAAACAATTGATGAAAAAGATAAAGAATTTAGAAATAGTTAATTAATAAAATCATATTAAGATAAATGTGAAAAAGCAGATGAATTAATTATGTAGATTAATTAAATAGATGAAACATTGAATAATTTAGATGTTTAATTGTGTGAAAAATAATAAAGACTCAAAGAACTTGGATTATAATTGGGAGGAGACTCTAATATTTAAAATATTTAAGAACCTAGAGAAAGTGGGATGATTATTAAATCATATGATTAAGAACAAGATATTGAATTGTAATAATAAGAGTAGGTACTCTAAGGTTATAGTATGAATATTGATTAATTGAAAAATAAGATTGAATAATTGAATAGTGAATTATCTGATAGGGATTAAACTAATTTTGAACTTCGTAATTAAGTAGCGGATTTAAAAAAATAAATTCATGGTTATTAATTAGCTTAATAAGATGTTAAAGTAATAAAAAAATAGAATAAATAATTATAGGATGAGGTTGAAGCTTTGATTTAAGAAAATCTAAATTATGAAGATTTGATTCGTGATTAGGAATTTAAATTACAGGATAAAAAATCAAAAGTTAAAGAATTAAATATGGAAATTAAGAATGCAGAGATTCAAATATAAGAAGAAAAATAAATTAAAGAAAATTAAATACTCTAACAAAAGATATAATAGACTGATGAATTAATTAAGAAGAATTTGGAATTAGATGAAGCTATAACAAATTTGGAACTCAGACTAGCAGATAAATAATAATTATTATCTTAAAAAGATTTGAGATTTTCTAATTAGAGTTCCAGAATTTTATAATAACCAATTTATATTTTTTAGGAGGATTCAGATGAGAAAGCAAGCATTATAAAAACTGAAACATCTCCGAAAGCTTAAAATTAACATCATTTAATATAAGATCATAATGAAAATTTGAGTGGATTGACTAGTTCTATAAATTAAATGTAAGAATAGGTTAGATAATTAAGTTAAAATGATAGTGAATTAGATTTTTATTCTTAATAAAAAAAAGAAAAGTAATTTGAAATAGATTAATTAAAACAATAAATAAATTAATAGGATGAAACGATATAAGAATTGAAATTAGAATATTTTGATAAATAGTAATAAATTGAGTAACTTAGGAAAGAAAATTCTAATTTAGATGAAGGAGTGGAAGAATTATAAGAAAATTAAAAGCAAATGATTTTATAGGAAATTTAGAAGTAGGAATATGATTAACCATAAGAGATGGAAGCTTCTGAATAAAGTGAAATTACTAAATTAGAGAATTTAGAATTGAGTAAAAAAAAAGTTCATGATTTAAAATTACATCACAAATAATTAAAGAATTAAATTGCTACTTATGATTCTTTAATTGTTGATCTTGAAACTGTAGTAAATCATAAAAAAAATGAAATTTAAAGATTGAATAAAGAGAATTAATAATTTTAATAATAAAATAGAAAGGAAAAGGGAAAAAGAGATAAATTGCATAAAGAATAAAATAATTTATAATATTAATTGAAACTTTTAGAACCTTAATTATAAGAACTCTAATAAACTGAAAAATAAATTCAACAATAAGTTACTTAACTTGAGTAGAATTTGGTAGATTTGAATGAGAAATAGAAATAATTAGAAGAATAAATAATATAAAAATAGTAAATAAATTCTGCTTTGGATTTGTAATTATCAACTTTAAATTAAGAAATAAAAGAATAATAAGATAAAAAAAATTAATTAGAATAAGATTTAAATTAATTAAGAGATGAGAATTAAGGAGTTGAATAAGAAGTTAAAATATATAGAAATTTAAATTTGGAAGATATAACATTGAGTGAATAAATAGATGCTATTACAAAATAAATAAATGATGATAAATAAATTTATGAAACTTTATAGGATGAACAAAAAGCTACTTAAGAATAAATTAATTTATTATTACCTTAAAATAAAGAGATTGATTAATTAAAAGAAACAGCAAAACTGTAATATGCATAAAATGTAGAAGCTTTAAATAATTTATAACAAGAATTGTAATAGAAGATTGAATAGAAAAATAATATATATCAAGAGGTTTCAGAAACTGAAAAATATATAGAAGATAATAATTAAGCATTGTAAGGTTTGCATGAGAAAAAAATAAATCTTGAAGATGAAATTAAAAAAGAAGAAGTTTTATTAAATGCAGTTGTTGCTAAATCTAGACGTTTGGCAGAAAATTTAGAAGTGGAAAAATAAAATTATAATGTTCTCAATGCTGAATTAGAAGATCTTTAAAAGAAGAAATAATTATAAGAATAAGAATTATAAAATATTTAAAATGAAGTGAAAAAAATGTAAGGAGAATAAGAATATTTAACATAATTATAATAAAAATATTAAAATTTAAAATAATAAATAGATTAATACGAAAAGGATATAGAAATAAATTTGAAAATAATTCCTGAAAGGGAATAATAGATATAACAATTAAAATCAATGATTGATAAGAAAAATCACGTTTTGAATTCTTCACAAGAAGAAGTTGATATAGTTTCAAAAAGACTTGATGATTTATAGAAAGAAAAAGAGTAAAAAGAAAAAGAACTTGAGAATTAAAGTAATACTATTAAGAATATTGAAGAATAAATAATAGAAAAATATTAAAGAGAGAAAGATTTGAAGGATTAATTAGATTCAATACAACTAAGAGATCTTGAAGCTGAATTAAATGAAAAGATGGAATAATCAATTGCATAATAAGAAATGTTAGACTCGATTGAATAATTGAAGATATAAGTTTAAAAATTAAGAGATGAAGAAGAATAACTTAGATAACAACTTTAATAATAAGAAAATTCAAATAATGACTAGAAATAGGATTTAGAATTTAAAATATTGGAAAAGAATGATTTAGAGTAAGATCTTCATTCAACTTCAGCTTAATTAGATGAAATGAAATTTTAATTATAAGAGAAGAATGATGAATTAGAAAAATTAAATGATTAATTTAAGAAAGTAGATGAGGATTCAAAGATTATGGAAGCTGTATTATAATTGAAAGAGAAGGAATTAAAGTAATTATAAAAAAAGAAAGAAAATTTGATTGAAGAATTAGAGAAAACAAATAATGATGTTTTTGAAACATAGAGGTAATTAACAACTAAAAGAAAATAATAAAGATCTTTAGGTGCAGAACCATAATAATAAGAAGAAGATATGGAAGAAGATATATAAGGTAAGATTACATCATTAAATTCACGTAATAATAATTTGAAAGATGATTTATAAAAATTAGTAGAATAGAGTCCAGATACTACAGATAAATAGGCTTTAATGAAATAATTTGAATTAGATAAAATTTAGTAATAATTACAAGAAAAAGATAGAAAAATAGAAAATTTATAAGGGGAAATTTAAACATTATTATAATAATAACATGAAAGAAATAGTATAATTCCATCAATGTTTTAATCTAAGTTGTCAGTTCAACCAAGTTTCTTTATAGATGATGATCCTTTGCTATTAGATTTATAAGAGAAATTTACTAAAGAAAGTGAATTATTGAAAGATTTATAAAATAAAATCAAAATGACTGCTGAAAATCATTATGCCTTATCATTATAATTAAAGGATTGGGCTGAAAAAGAAAATAGATTAGCTAAAGAATTAGATTTTAGAAGATAAAATGTAGAATAAATTGAGTCTGAACTAGAAGGAATTTTTTAGAAATAATCAGACTTAGAAGCTGCGAAAAGTAATAATTTATTAATAGTATATTAATTAAATAATGATTTATAAGATGCTAATGATTAAGAAAATAATGTTAAAAATAGATTAAAAGAAAAGAAAGATTATTTATAAATTCTTTATAAAAACTTAATAGATAGTGATCAAAAATTATTACAATTAAGAAATAGAATGGCACTCTATTCTTAAGAAGGAAGATAATTAGCTGAATAAGTAGAAAGTTTAGAAAATGATAAAGAAAATAAATTATAATATTTATAAGATTTATAAGCTGATTTAGAACAAGCAGAAATGGAAAAACAAGAAAAGTAAGCTTTAGTACAATCTATAGCTAAAGAAATTAGTGAAACTCAATAAGAAAAAGATAAATTAGAAATATAGTTTGCTACTATTCATAGCAAAAATTAATAATTAAAAAGTTAAATTGGTATTGAAGAAACTCTTTATTAAAAATTACTTTAAGAATTAGAAATTGCTAAAAAAAGAGATCAAACTAAATTCTAAAACTTATTTTCAGATGGATCTACTTAAACAGAATATGATTTAGAATAATTTGAAAGTCTAACTAATAATACTTAGATGTTTAAACTTACAAAAGAAGATATATTCTAATTAAAGGAAAATTGTAAATAAAGATTAATCTAAATTTATATTAATGAAAAAGCAAACATTGAATAAACAATAAGTTAAAATAAGAATTTGAAAAAGATGATTCATTTATAATAAATGCTAATCTAAATCTAAGAAAATGAAAATTTAAATTTAATTGAATATTCATCCAGAAGATCTTCAAAATTAGGATTTAAAGTATTAGATGAATCTATTTATAATATGGTATTAGAATTAGAATAAGTATAATAAATTATTATATTTTAGATTGATTTTATGATGAATAAAACTAAATTAGTTGAAGTTTAAGTAAGTGATCATTAGATTGTAGTGGGAGATATTAAAATTGCAAGATAATGGATTATAGAAAGATAGTTTGATAATTATAATGAACTTTATCCTATGGGTGTTTTGAATATCATTTATAAAGTAGAATATTTAATTTATTTAGGTATCCCTTTATTAAGTAATTAATATTTCATTAACTGGAACAAAAGTATTAAATTTATATCAATCTATATTGTGAGATCAATAAATATATATATTTAAGTAATTGTAAATATTTTTATATTTTCTTGAATATTATTTTATTATGAGTAGCAATAGTAAAAATTCTTAAAAACCAGATGAGGATTATGATGATCCAGGATATTTTTGTGGATGTTTTAGAAAAAAGAGTAATATGGAATAAAATAGAACTATATAAACTTCTAAAGTCCGGCATTCAATGAATAAATCTGGTTAAGATTCAAGCAAACATTATGCTTCTTCTTAATTGAACTAATTAAATTCATCAAATTTAGAGTATTAAAGAAAAGTAAGTGTTGCATCTCAAATAGTTAGTAGTTTTGCAATCACAACTTTTGAAAACAATTATATTCAAAATTAATTATTCTTGCTAAAAAATAATTAAAATGGAGAATCTATTTTTGCAAAAATTACAGAAATTGATTTAAAAACAAAGAAAATATAAAATATTGATTTAAAAAAATCAAGACTCTTCGAATAAAAAAATGATTATGAAACTATATTAAATACTAAATATCCAGATTTAACTGCAAGATATATTGCTTCTAGAATAAAGGAGAAAATTACTACATTAGCTGAATATGGATGTGGAAATGGTGGAAATACAGTTCAAGTATTATAAAATTAATAAATTAAAGTTTACTAAATATTTAGACTTTGTAATTGCAATTGATAAAAATACTGACGCTTGTTTATAGACCAAATAAAATTGTGATTAAAGTGCATTTAATCTGGATTTCCCAAATCCAAAAGTAGAAATAATAAATGCTGATATTTTTAAATTAAAAAAAAATCTGCCTTTTGATAGCATATTTATAAATCCAACAATAAAAAATGATCAATAAATTTGTAAGGATATTTTAAAAGATTGCAGTCCAAATCTTAAAGAATTATTAAATTTGATATCTGATTAAATAGAAAATTTAATTATTTAACTTCCAGCTTAAATGGATTATTCATAATTACCTTTACTATTGAATATTAACTAATAATATAGAAATAATAATAAGTAATAATCCTTTATAGCTCATTGTTCATTAGAAATTGAAAAAATATATATTTAAGGTACACATGCATATAATATTGTGTATTATGGAAAAGTAGCAAATGTTTCAAGAGAGGAATTGAAATAATTACTAACAATGTAATTAACAAATTCGGAAACAAATAAAGAAAGTTTTAATAAAGTTGTAGCAAAATTAAATGAGAAAATTGGTAAAGCAAATATTAATTCTAATTTAGGAAATTTAGACCTAATTTATGAGTTATTATAAGCACAAAGTTATAAATATAGTTTTGATTAATTTTTAATAGCTGTTTGTGAAAAGTATAAGTTGGATTATAATGATTATGCATTTATCTTATACCAGAAATTATCAAAGTATATTTCTACTTTTAAATTAGAGATTATTCTTAAAATACATTTAATTGTAAAATAAGAGAATCAAACAATGTTTTATAAGAATCAGAAGAATTTGGATTTAGTCCTAAATTTTCTTATAATTTGAATGGATTATCATAAAAGGATGAGGATTGTATATTAGAGAGTTAAGACAATATCGATATAGTTGGACTTACTAACGATATAGCAAATTAATGTAAATTAAAATGATATTCATTTTAAATATTTAAAAATCAATTATCTTAATTGTTCTATTCTAACAGGTTTTATTAATATTTCTTTAATTCCACTCTCCAATGCTTAAAGTAGATTATTTTCAGAATCATAAGCAGAACACATAATTATATTTAATTTTCTATCTATTTCTATTAATTGAACAGAAGTTTAATATCCATTTAAGCCAGACATGTCAAGATCCATTAAAATCAATTTATATTACATTTATTACATTTTCTATCTTGTTTTAACTCTATTAATTGTTTCTAATCCATCTTAAACCATGTCACTCTCAAATCCTATATTCTTAATTAATAAATTTAATGACTAAAGATTAAATGGTACATCATCACATATAAGAATTTAAGGATTTTAATCATTTTAAATTTATCTTTAATTAAACAGTTTCTAGTTCCAGACTGGCATTTAATGATCTTCAATAGTAACCCTATCACCATTAATACTTACTGATTCTACTATATCATTTTATTTTATCATTGAATCTTTAAGTGATCTAGCTATTGTATTATATTAATTATTAATTCTAAAACTCATTTTTGTATATTCTCCTTCTTTACTTCTTATTTTAAAATATGATTTTTTTGAATAAGATAACTCATGACTTATTTTCATTCCTATAGAAAAACCAAGTCCAACATATTTTGTTGTAAAATTTTTCAATTGATAATATATACTTTCATCCATTTTATTATTTACAATATTATTTATTGCTAATAAATCTACTTTAGAAATTCCTTTACCAGTATCATGAACAATAAATTTAATAAAATTTATTAATCCAGAAGATTTCTCTTTTTTTTTTACAGTTATTGAGATTGTATCATCTTATTCGGTATATTTTAATGAATTATTAAGTAAATTAACAAGTAGTTAAAGAATTCTTTCAGGGTCATTATTAATTTTTTAATTTTCGAGACCATCTAAAATTATGAAATTTAATATAATTCCTTTACTTTTACAAACTTCTTAATAATATTCCTCTAATTATTTAAATATGTCTTTTATAAGAAAGTCTTACATTTTTAAATGAAATGTTCCTAAACCAAAAGATGCATAATCTAAAATGTCATTAATTTAATGCATAAGCAATTTATTTGAAACTATTGAAGGATTAATATATTATTATATAAGATTTGCTTAAACGTTTTAATTCTTCAAAGCCTATTATAAATTTAATGGACAATTCAAAGTTGTAAGTAACTAATGTAAAAATGAATTAAAAAATAAGGTTTACAATTAGTAATTTTAAACAAATTACTATTACTACTCCACTTCAGTAATATCTGAAAATAATACTAAATAGCAATTTTGGTTGAGTAAATTAATCATTTTACAAAAAGCTATTTCTATAACTTTTTTTTCATTATTATTGGTACTAATATGAACCGTTAATTTGTTTGCTTTAATAAAGCTCCTGTGTTCTAAACTACAGTAATAGATATTATTACAGAGAAGATATTTATGATTCGCTAAAAAGAGATTAAAGCAACTATTTAAAATCATTTTTGGATAAAATATTTTTTTTGGTTTTTTTAAATGAGAATTGCTACTCTAAAAGTTTCTCATTGATGGATTAATGTCTTTTAAAATGTTATTCAGCAGATTCAATTATAGATTCTATCATTGTATAATCCAATTTATATGGTAGCTATTTTTATGATCCTCGTAATTTAATTTCTTTGTTTTATTTATTTAACAATTCTTCTTATTCTAAACCTCTAAGAATTTAATAAAAATTTACTATAATATAATTTTCTACAATTAGTGCATAGCTTAATCATCAGTCTATGCCATTAATATTTTTGAAGCCTTATCATTAATGTATAGAATATCAAATGTTGTCGAAAAATATATAATACCTTATTTAATGTGATTAGCTATATAAATTAATTCATCTTTCTAAATAAGATCAATTTTTCTATTTGACATTATCTATTCTGAAGGTACTGTAGAATAAGAATACAAAATCTCATGTGATGTTGTATGTTTATGATTCAATTATTGTAAGTTCAACAGTTTTATCATGACTATTAAAATCATAGTCATAGAAGTTAAAATATACTGATATATGAGAGTATTATTCAGTTGAATTTCTACCATACAATAAAATATAGAGATATATTGTAAATATTTGTGTTATTGATTTGATTATTCTTAATAAGACATGAGCAAATATAAATAAAAGTGATAAGAATTAAAATTTGTAAATGCCTACCTAATCTATGAAACCAATTAAATTTGATTTGAAAGTTATAAGCAAAGATTAAATATTGGAAGCTTAAACTGTTTATAGATTGCAAAATAAAAAACTAGATTGATTAAAGCTATTGACAATCTTATTGCTGTTAATATAAAGGTTGTGCTTTAATCTGTCTATAAAAAGTTGATTATAGCATCTGATCCAATTAACAAATTAATCGATATGCTCAAGTAAATATTCATGATTATTTTATACCAAAATTATATCACATTAATTAATTTAGAATGGGATTCATATACTGATATTTTTAAAATATTTGTCTAGAAATTTTAGGTTGAAGTCAACCTAAATCTTTTTCTGATCAAAATTTCAGAATGTTTTCTCTTAGATATAATATTGTGATTTAAAAACAAAAAGGAAGCTTTAATTAATTTATATATAATAAAGTTTTCATGATTGTAGTATCTTTGAGTTTATGTTTGACAAAAGTAAAGCAAATAATAATTTAGGCAATATCCTTAAGTATTATTAACTCTAAAACTTAAAATATTAGCATAGTTATTTTATTATATTAAATCTATTGATTTGCGATTGTATTGGTGTGAGATATAGATTTTTAATATATTTGGTTATATTTATGTTTTATAAAAAATAGAAATTTGTAAAAACAATTATGTTAAGTTAAGAATATCAATGAGAATATATTAAAAACTCTCTTTGAAATATTGTAAATAAAATGATATATTTAATAATAAAAATAAAAAAATCAATAATGAGAATAATTTATTTACCTTGAGTGTTGTGCTGAATTGTTATTTCAATTCCTATGTTTTTCAACAATAATAATATGCTCTATAAGTAGCTTTAAAATTTGAGAAGTTCATCAAATAGACTATTATGATTACAAGAAAAGTATGGATAAATACATGAATTATTCATGAAATGATAAAATAATCAGTAGAAGCAAAGAAATAGAAAAAGTGAGAAAATTGTTATTTTTATTTTCAGCTGTGGTTAGTAGATATCTAATTCATAATATTTAAGGTATTATATTATTTTAACCAGAAAATATCAATAGCAGGCTTAATTTAATTAAATGCTACAAGAGCAAAGAATATAAGAAAAGCTAAGTATTATATATCAGGATGATTTGATGTAGTTTATATGATTTGTTAGATTTTTAATACTACATAAATATAAAATCACTAAATGAAATAATAATATAATAATTAATTTATTACAATGTAACAAAATTCACATACTAATAATTAATTTTCTTTCCACTCTACCATTAAATTCAAAAAATTACCCAAATTGGAACCTATAATTAAATAAATCAATCAAGTTGTTCCTCTAAATACTTAAAGAGGAAGAAGCTTTAAAAACTATTTATATAACGCAACTGGAGGATAATGCAAGTTTAGAAGGAAAACTTGCACATGTTCAGAATGTGGAGGAACAAATGTATTTGTAGAAAAATTGAATGCTTTACAGCCCATAACATATATTAGAGCGCATCATATAAAAAAAAGAAAAAGAAAGATGCATCGAAATAAAGGAGGTGGTAGACATCTATCAGCCATGATTGCAAGAGTCCCTCCTAAAATTGAAGATATTACTAATCTTATTCCATCTCGTAAAGAAAGAAAAGCTAAAACATTACTATAAAATTAATTTATTGAATAAACACTATTAAGATGTAAGAGATTACTAACAAAGGATGACTCCGCTATTGGCTATGAGTATTTTTTTGCAAACGAATTAAAAATTGCATATCAAACTTAAGAATTTATGACTACTAGTACATTTGAAAAAACTCCAACTTAAATTAAACAATAAAATGTTGCCTTAACTGGAAGTCAAAGAACAATTGATGAATCTCAAATGACATGTGTTAAGAATTTAAATATTAATTAAAGTCAAGTTCTAAATGCTCAACTTCCTAGAGTTAACTATAAAATTAAATAAAAACCTTCATTACATAGTCCTAGAGTATATTAAGACATACTTTAATCACACAATCTTAAACCAAATAGGACTGTTGATAAATATATATCTCAAAGTACTCACTGTTCGCCAGTTCATATAAAATTGCCTTTAATTAGTTAAAAAAAAGTAACCCAAACATCAAGAAAGAAATCAGAACATATATATTTGAAAGGATCTCCTTTGAAATTATTGCTTGAATTAAAATCTTAGATTTTATTATAAAAAAAAATGAGCAAATAATGAGTTTTGTTTTTAACGACTATTTAATACCATTAATTATTTAATGAATGCCAACTACTCTATTTACTTACAAGAAATTAAAGAGAATTGTGCTCCCTTATAGGACATTTAACTGAGTCACAAAAAATCTCTCCCTTAGATAATTGAATCCATTACCTAAAAAATCCCTTAAGTTAAAAAAAAAAGCATCCATAAAATATGTTCTCAACAAGTATGCTTATCAATTTAATTTTATAATAATAGGAATAAAGAATATATTCTAATATTCATAAACTCAAAAAATATAATCTTCTCATGGAAATTGGATAAGTTAATCCTTAATTACACTAAGAATTGTAAAACACGAGTAATCATCAACTTTCTTAGAAATTAGGTAAATTTTAACATCTATGTTTCAAGTTGAGTATCAAAAAATAAAATAGTTATAAGGAGAACTAATTCTTGAAAATTAAGATTAAACAAACAACATAAACGATTGTTTTTAATAAAATGATATTATATGTTCAGGAAGAAAGTTATTTCTGAAACCTTGCATAAGAAACATTATGGATGATTATGAAAATCGATATAATGAATATAGCGATTCGTACATCAATAAATATCTGGATCTAAATTGATAAATAAATAATAGTTATATTTCTTTATTTTATTATAAATTGTCTTAATATTATGCAATAACTTTACCCTAGAATAAGAGCATCATCAGTTTAAGAACAAGGAGAACAGAGAGCCAAATTACCAAATATACTTACACCTACCTTTGCAGATTGGAAAATTATAAGTGATACTAAAGCTCACCCTAAGGTTAGCAGAAGGAATCCTCTATTTAAATTTGGTTTGATTCCACCAAAAAAGGCTGTTACACCTTAATCGTCTGCTAATTAAAATCCTTAAGATTTTAGAGGACTTAAATCAGAGGAACAAAGTTAAAGGATGAAAGAAAAAATTGTTGAAGACAGAGTAAGCACAACAGAAACAAATAATCTTTAATAATTTGAATAAGAAAAAAAATATTTTCAATTGCGAAATAGATCTGTAAGCGGACCCAAAAATACAAATCAATTAGTATACCTTCCAATAATATTTTAAGTTGATTGAATGCAAATAATTATTTGACAATCAAAAAAAAGCCTTTGAAGAAATATTAAAATAAAATCATTTATATAATAAATATTCTAAAATTATAGATAAGGAATAATAAATGACAAATTAGAAAATAATGTAAATTTTTAACTTATATAAATGACAGATTTATGTATATATTATTAAATAAATTCTCAAAAATAACCCTTAATATATATTATTAAAATTTAATACCTGAAGTTTTTTAATAAGATTCATATTTATTGTTTTTTATTTTAAAATTCAACTAAATAGAATAAATAAACAAAATTATCATATTTAAGGAATTTATTGAGTGAGATTAAAACATGATTTCATCAATTTTAATTAAAATTAAGATTAATTGTCATTTTTTATTAAAATTAAGAAAACTTTTTTATGATTAATTTTTATTGATAAATATGACTTTCAACAATGAACTTAACATAAATATATATTCTAAGTTATAATTTGTATATATAAATCAGTATATTGTTTAGAAGAATGGTTGAGGCTTTTAATACTCCAAATCAATGGCCTTTCTTGATTTGTTATATTTACCATAATATTCCATGCATGTAAAAGTAAATCTTATATTTGAGACAAGAAGAATACCTAATGTAATTTCCGAATTTAGCAGTTCTTAAATATTCTCTTGGAATGCCGGTTTTGACTAAATCATCAGCATAGACGAATATATCTGACCCATCCTAGTCCATAACAATAAATCCATAGTTTTTGTTCTCATCAAAGAACTTAAGATAGCCAGTGTTTCTATTCTTTTTTGGTTATTCAAGTGCAAGTTCTTAAAGTAGTTGAGTGACTGAAACTTAAGGGTCCTAAACAAATCGATTGCATTCCTAAATGATTTAATCTCCTTCAATGTTGCTTTCTTCTATGAGTTATTACTTATACTAAAAAAACATTGTTTATAATCTTACATAATTTCTTGGGTATGAGGAACTCTTTTTTATTTATGGAGGCTTATAGATTTGCTCAAATTTGAATGTATCATAGTCTAAATCATTTTCGCTCATCTTAGTCGAGAAATCTTCGAATTCTGATCTAGATGGAGACAATTACAAATCAATCAACTTAACAGGGAACATTTATAGACAGATAATTAAAATATTTATGAATAATTTTATTTATTTTCTTTATATACACTCTTGATTAAGCAAAGAAATATTCATCTTATTTATTTTAATGCTTTTTAATTGTTTGCCTTCTTAATTATTATACATTAAACTATATAATCTATCCAATTTCAATCTTTGTATAAATTTAAAAAAATTTATGGCAATATTATTAGTTAAAATATTTTTTATAATATTTTAATTTTATCTTATTAAATAAGTAACTAAATACAAAAAACAACACGTTAAATTTGATTTTCAAGGTATATCTAATGCAGAGTAAAGTCACAGATTATAACAGCTTATTTATTGAAAAATGAATGTTCAGATATTATAGATAATTTGAAAGAATGGATAGATATATATAAGAATTATTAAGAACATAAAATAAGATGTTAAAAAACCTCTAATATTATAAAGTAGATATTTATAAATAATAATTAAAGTTATATAGAAAGCTTTAAAATATAACATTATAATTAAAAATAGAAATTTATTTTAAAGAGAAAAAGAGATTCTAAATAGATGAATAAGTTAAAGCTATTAACAAATTAGAAACAATCTATAGCTTAAATAATGAAATAAAAAATTAATCAAAATAATTTTTTTTTTTTTCTTGTTTAAATTTCTCTAATTTAGATAGTCGCTTATTATTAAAGATGATCTCCATTTACTATAGAATGCAATATGTTAGCTAATTTATCTGCTAATTCACGAACTTCTGATTTAGGAGGATTAAAGATATAAGCATTATTTCTAATTCTTTCTACATCATTAAGAATTTAATCTTTACTTCTATAAAAGTCATTTTCTAATCTTAAATATAGAATGTATAGAATACCTTCTTTAAATAAGTGTAATATAGCTCATCAATGGAACTAAATCTAAATATTCAGGATACTATGAGACATCAACTTCATTTGAAAAGAAAAAGGCTATCTTACTTTATTTTTTGATCATAGTATTGATATCTTTATTAATTGATTGAGCTTCATTAGTTGTTAGTGCTGATTATAAGGATGCTCCTTGAATTTCAATTGATTTATTAGATTTTGTGATCATAGATGCAATTTCCCAAAAATTTAAATGACAATAAGCAATCATAAATTTTTAATTTCTCAATTAATATGTTTCATCACTGATTCTTTTACATTTTAAGACTTGCCAATCACTAGCATTCAAATAATTGTCAGGTGTTTCTTAAGCTATAAATTAGTATTAATGACCAAATCCATTATCTTTATCTGTATCAGTTTGGAAGCTAATTTGTGATTGATTTAAAAAAGGCCGAATTTATTTAACACTCGAAGTATATGATTATTCAAGTATGAGATAGGGATCACAATCATAAGAATAAAAACATTTGAAAATCAAATCTTTAGTTTAAAGTTCAAAAACTTAGATAATATATGAATTTTAATTAACTTATCTTTTAAAGATAGTATTAAATACTGGAAAGATATAATTAATATTAAGAACTTTGCAATATACAAAATTAGCTGATTCTTAATCTTATAGTATATCTCCAGGAAAAACAATAGCTTTTTTAGATACTGAATCTATGGATAATTGTGATAAATCTAGATTGTGTAAACATTTCTAAAGATATTGTTCATATCCTTTAGTGAAGAATATTACATCATCTCCTATTTAAGGTGAATTGGTATCATCACTTAAATATTTATCTCTTAAATGATCTGCTTATCTAATTTAAGGTTATTTTTTTCGTTAAAATTAAGCTATACAATTTATACAAATTTTTTTTTGAGATCCAAAATCTAATTCACTTAAAAATAAACGTATTTCACTGCATTCTTAATGATAAGCAGATTTGCATTCAGGACAACGTACTACATTATCCATTAAGATTCTACATCGAGTACATTATTCAGTGACTTAAGATCTATTACGTCTTAATTCATTTTATTATCTATGATTATTAAGAATCTATAATCTTATTTATAGAGTTCTTTGATTTCTTCTAGATCTTGTTTATAATGGAGATTATTCAATTTAAGCTTCATCTTTTATATATTAATTACTTTGTTTACTATTTTCTTCTTCACTTTCACTTTCAATAACTTTTTTTCTTCTTTGACTTTATTTTTTGGATTCATTAATATTAATATTTATTTGTTATTGTATTTATTAAGAAATTTATGGACTACTGTCTTCATCATCTTTAATTAAAGCTCTTTTCATTAATTCTCCTGATTTTTGTTCATTTTTTTTGATTAATTTTGCATTATGGCTAGATGGTGATCTCTCTTAAATAGGTTAATTTGCTACTTCTATAATTTCACATTCTAATTTTTATATTCTCACTTAATCTTAAATTTTCATTTATTCTTTTATATCATTAATAATTTTAATTTCCATTTATTTCATTTCAGTAAAATAACCTTAAAACATCTCTTCATTTTTCATATTATCTATTGCAATCCCTTTAGACATTTATATATAAGTTAATAATTTTGGTTTTTAAAGATTGACACTTCTCTTTCCTAAACAATCCTAAGATATTAAGAAAGGAAAGAGGGATTTAAAATTATTTTAGAAATTATATTGATATGGCATTCTATAGAAATTACATATACTACCTCTATCAACATAACAAAATTCCATATCAGAATCTAAAGCCATAACTCTAAATCCATCTGATTCATCAATAATAGGATGTTCAGAATCTGAAACATAAAATTATTCAACAGGTGTTTAATCAAATATTTCCTAAATACCAAAACCATAAATAGAAAATGAACCATAATCTGTAGATACAACAAAGGTCATTCCATTAGGACTGAAACATCCATCTTTTAAAGGAACCTCTAAATTTGGTAATTTCAAATGATATCCTCTTTCATGAAATACTTTTAATGGTATACCCTTTTCGACATTCCATAAAATAATTAATCCATTTTCATCTGCTGATAATGCTACTTCTTCATAAATAGGATGTGCTTCCAAAAATACAACATGAGAATCCAATTTCAATTATGGTAAACTCTCTTAATCCATATGATGAATAACTTAATTTTCATGTGTTGAATAAACCTATATTTATGTTTTAGATTTTTCTTCATCTCCTTTTTTCTTCAATTTTTTACTAAATGATGCTAAAGCATATGTACTTTTAGCAGACCAAGCTATTGCAAAACATTAGATTTCACCTACCCTTCTACCTTCTGTTGATTTGTATTTTAATGTTACTTATGATCTATTATGTTAATTGGCTGGAATTCCTCCTTCTTACCATTTCCATAATCTAGCACTCCCATCAAAAGAGGCTGTTAATAATTAATCTCCATCTTTTGACCAACGTGCCAAATGTACAGTAGATGAATGTTCACGCCATTCTACTTTATTTATTGTCTTAAATAAATTTTCTGGTTTATCAAAAATTATTATTTCTCCTTAATCTGTTCCCATTGCCAAATAACCCTATTTATTGAACTCCATACACAATATTCCATTTATTTTACCTTTATTTACTTTATTATAATTAACATTCAATCTTATAATTTCTGTTTAATGTTTTATTGCACTTTACTTTATTTTAGTATTGAATTAAGTTCCCAAAATACTTCCATTACATTTTATTAAATCCTATACATCATATATATAAACATATCCTTTCTCACTAGCCACTGCCAAATAATTAACATTTTATGCATTCCCTTAATAAAATACTAATACTAGGATTGGATCATCTTATGCTTCCTATTTACATAAATTATTATTATACTTTTAATGCTGCAACTGGTTTACCTATCTAAATATCCCAAACTATCACTAAACCATCGTTACTACATGATGCTAAATATTTATTGCAATAACTAATATCCATTGAATTTATTGCCATTGTATGCCCTTTTAATGACTATAACAATAATCCATTTGATGCTGACCATATCTTAATTAATCCTAAATCATCTCCTGTTAACAATAATTAACCAGTTCTAAAAAGTCTACATATTTTTTATTTACCTGTCATAAATTACATTATAGACTGGTATATATGGATCTTCTTAATCTTAATTATCTGGATGTAGAGCATGTCCAAAACAAGTCTTTAATTTTCTCATGAATTCCACTGGTGATAATTAATCTTGGCGCACTACTCGACCACCATTCAATTATTAAAGTGATTATGATTTGTTTCTTATGTTCTCATATCTTTATTGTCTTTAAGGCTCAGGTATTTCTCTAGCTATATATTCTTAAAGCATCTTTTAGATAACACTTTCATGAGAAGGACTTAATTTTGTAGAGATTAAATTTTTAAGATTCAAATCTAGACCGATGCATCATTAATTTATATACCATTAGCCTATAAAATGTGTCCACGCTTATGACCATTCTTCTAATTGAAGAAATTCTCTAATCCTTCTAGAAGATGTTTTTCACATTAAAGCTCGTTCAAGTGATTCAGGATCATTTATGCACAGATCCTCTGCTGCTGACTCTCTAAAATAGTCGACTTTTGCAGCTTCTTTTTGTAGTATGATATCAATCGTGCTTCAATCAACTTTTTCCCTTGGTTCTCTTCAAAGCTGTTTTACATTCCTAAAATGCATAATTCTTACAAAAAGTAATACCTTTTTCTAGTATAAAAAATTAGAGGCTTTAAATATGATATTTTAATCAATTATTTAATCAACGATGTAGGGGGTTTAAATACAAATAGGAATGGTTCCTAACCATATTGTAAATCATTAACATAATATCATAAAAAACAAAAAAACACAAATTCGAAAAAATAGATCATTTTCTCTGCGCCTTAATTACATTATTTTTTATTATATATTTACATTATAAATTATAATTAATTTCCAAAAAACAATCTGAATTTCTACTTAAAAACAACTCCAATTCTCATCTAAAAGCCTGAATCTCTCTTAATCTACCATAAAATCTTATTATATCAAAAAATTAAAATTAATCGTTACTTTTTTATTTCCCCTCCTCTTGTCCTCAATAAAATATCTATATAATCCTAAAATGTAACCTTTTTTAATTTATAACAAAAATTTACAATTAGCTATTAACTTATCTCAATTCTAAATTAGAAAATATTATTTATTTGCAATATTCACAAAAATATAAATGAATAATGGATAAACAATATGTAATGATTTCAAATCTCTTTTACATCGTTCAGATCACTTTACTGATATTGCTCAAAGAAATCACGAGTTATTTAGTCTTTGTTTCTTATTTCTTCTGGCAAAGATGTCAATAAATGATAGATAAAATGTTCTAAAGGTTTGTTTGGTCTTGTTGTAATAAGTTCTTTGTATCCATTTGAGATGATTTGATTAAACTTTTCTTATTCTTATTAGTTCATTTATATTTATTAATAATATAGTAAGAAAATTATATGTTAATTCAAATAAAACTCCAAAGTTGTGTCTTATCTGTAATTGAATTGTTTTTCCAGTTAGAGTATTCCATAGATAGTTCTGCAATTTGTGTATAAAATTAATAAAACTTTGTACTAACTTCCTCAGTAAGAAGTTATTCTCTTATTAATTCGTCAATCTTAAAAGCTATTTTTTCCATGAGCTCTAATACTATTCCTACTGCCACTTCATCAATAGGATGGTTCATTCTTTAACTTATCAAAATTTGATTAATGGCTTTTCTAAGCTATATAATCTAAACTGTTCTTTCACAAGACTTCAATTAGTTTAACATTTTGTTCATTTTGAACCATGTATTTAATATTTTAGATTAAATTTCAATCAAAGTTAGAGGTTTAGCAATAGCATTTTCATTTTCTATTTTTATTAAACGGATTAGATTTGCTGACTTTTCTTTATTTTTTTTTGCAATACATATGCCCATTATAAAATGAAGATTTAATATTAATTAGAAAATTATCCATTTAATAAGTGATATTTATAATTGATATAAAATATCTTGAAATGTAATATTTAATTTTTAATTTAAATATTCAGAATATAAAATTAAACATAGAATTCATTGAAATCCTTAAGGGTTACTTTTAGAAGGTGAATTTTAGGAATTTTAATTTCCAAATTTGTCAATTAAAATTTTGTAATCAAATAATTTGGAGCCATCAAATTATTTATATATAAAGAATCCCAAAAACTCTTTTTATCTATCATCTAAAAGAATGTTACTACCCTAAATTGCATTTTTGAATTCCATTTCATTACATAATTCACTATATTAAGAGTTTGTTTTTTTCTAACTCATGATTTTTATTTATTCAACAATAGATTATCTGAATTTCCAAATTTATTAACTTATGATGAACATAATTTGATTTTATTATTCAATATCAAATAATTAATACTTTCCTACAATATTTTTGAACACACTTTTTATCACACAATTATCACCTGTTTATAAAGGAGTGAATTCAACATATGGTTACGTATTATCTTCTATTAAATATCTAGCTAGAAGCAAAGCCTATTTTTATTATTGAATACAAAATGGAGACGCTTGAAGTACTTCAACTAATTCTAAAATACTCATTTCTTATTTTGATTCAAAAAATCTGTTGATTGATTCAAAAGGAATTAATTAAGACATAAGCTAATATTTTAATTTTTTTCCAATCTCTTCAACATCACAATGATTTACTCTTGGTAATCTTTATCTAGATATTTCAACATCTGGTATGATTTTGAAACTTTAAATCTAAGGAGATTTTGAATCCTCTCTTACCGAATCAACACTTAATCGATTTTAAATTATGAAAGATTTATCTCTATGATCCTCTTCTAAAATAATTTTTGTTTCTGATTATTATTTAAGAGAGTTACTAAGTTCAACATCAGCAAATACAAAAAAATTTTTATTTACTTTTTCATCCAAAGCTTCTTAAAATGAAGTATCAGCTTCTCTTTTATTAGTAAGCAATGACTTTTTTATTTAATATTAATCTTCCAATTCTTTCAATTATTTTTACTTCTAAAATACTAATAATTTTTATTTTTCTATTTCCATTTACATTTATGAAATGATGGTTTATTAGTTAGCTTTTTGTTGATTTAAATTATCTATAATCTCTTTATATTTAATTTTCTTTTATATATCTTATTCATAATTTTTCCTATATATACCAAATTCATTTTAACATTATTCAAATTATTTTTTGTATCTATCTCTCATTGCTTAACAAGTTAGCAACTCTTATCTCAAACAAAGTATTTTTCTTTTTTGCTTTTAATTACTATTTGATAAAATTCTCACCTTTTCTTCCAATTCTACTGTTTGGTTGGTCAATTTATTGAATTTCTAAAAATCATTTTCTGTTTTCAAAATTTCATTAAATTGTTTGTTTAAAATCTCAAATTTAGTTTTTGTGTTGCCTAATTCCATCTTACAATAGTTATAAGCAAAATACTTCCATTTCTTGCAGTTTCATATAGCGAGTACTCTTCTTCAAATTTTCTATCTCTGTCTATCTCTCTTAAAGCAACATTCTTGCTTGCTTTAGCTTTTCTACTAATCTTGAACTTTAATTGTAATTGATTTAGTCTTCAGATACTTCTTATGTAGTTCCTTTATCTATTTGTTCTTTCTAAATGAATTTATGATAATCTATTTACCTCATCAAGTTTAATTTAGAATTAAAGTTATTTATTTAAATCTTTAAGTCTGGTATTTTCTTTTTTCAATTAGATAATCTCTTCTTTTAATTATTCAATATCTTTTTAATAAAGTATATGTTATCTTCCAGATTATATTTCATTATTTGGTGAATCATAAATTTTATTAGTATATTTTCTTCCATAAAATTGGGACGTGCATAAATTCGTATTTTCAGGAGTTAAAACTGGCAATCCATTCGTCATTGATTAATTTAAAGAATATGCAGCTCGTTAGTTTTATCTTGAAATTATGTTCATTATAAAAATAGTAATAATAAATTTTAATCAAACTCTAAAAATTTACAAATTAAGATTAATTTATTATTGTCTAAAAAAATATAAAGGAAGAAATCATATTAGAAGGGTAGTGTTAAAAAATGAAAAAGCTTGAAATAATGAATTTTATTCTTAAATTTAAAATATTGTATAATATAAAATAATTGATGGACTCAATTAGTAAAAATAAAGAATAATTATAAAAATAGTTTGAAAGATTGAGATCAATTAATCATGAAATTAATTTAAGTGTGAAATCTAAAAAAGATTAATATATTACAATTATAATTAATTAATTAATAATATATATATATAAATAAATTCTAAACAGAAGTATTGTTAAATAGATAGAAATGATATTAATTAAAAATGAGTAAGAAAAGAGTTGAATTTTCGGTTTGTACATGAAATTGAATAAGGTGTAAAATAGTTTAGAATAAATTGATATATATATCAATAATTTTTATTATGTAAAATAAAAACGGAACATATACAAAGTCAAAATATAGTTCATCAATGAGTGTATAAAGTGTGGATAATAGAGTGAGATACTCTTAAGCTCCAGAGGAATTGGGAAAGAGGGCAAGATTACCACTAGATATAACAGTGTTTGTAATGGCAGTAGAAGTAGAAAGATTGTAAAGAGAAAATAGTTAACTGAAATCAGAGCTACAATAAAATAGTGATAGTAATTTGGATAGAGTATAATATGAGAGTTAAATAAGAGATTTAATGGATAAGATAAGAGTGTAAAACAAGTAATAAATTATAGTTATTTATAGTTCTTAGAGTACTTTATTGATTGATATCGAGAAACTATAAAGATAAGTATAAGATTTAGAAGATTAACTTAGAAGATAATAGTAATCATAAAAAGAATTTGATCCAAATTGGAGAACAAAATTAAGTCAAGCTGAGCTATAATTGGCAGCATTTTAGAAGTAACTGAACTAATAAGTGAATCTATTTGGTGGTTAAAGTGCAGATTAAGTAATGAGAGAGTTGGAAGAATTAAGAAGAAAGAAATTACAATTTGATGATTTATCAAGATAAATGAATGGAAGGAATGTTAGTAATATAAGTAAATTAAAATAGATGAATTATTGAGAGAAATGGATGATTTAAGAAGAAAATAGATGTCAGTTGAAGATACTAGTGTTTTAAGATAGTAATTAATTTAATCTTAAAATCGTGTAAGATAATTAGAGTAAAAATTAACAGAGATGGATTCTTATGTATCAACAATAGAATCTGATTTAAATCGATTTGAATCAGAAAATAAAAGATTAACAATAAGTATGTCTTCAAAGATCTAAACTGAGAATAATGAAGCAGTTTTATTAAGAAACGAAATAACTAAACTTAATAATGAAATAAGTAAATTATGGTCAGACAATGAAACTCTTGTTCTTGAAATAGATTCTTTATAAATGAAAATTCGAACTTTGAGTGAAGATGAATTAAGGAGATTAAGAAATGAATTAAATAGACTTTAAGAGTAAAATAATTAATTGGAATCTTAAATTATACGTTTATAATCTTAGAATTAATCATTAATGTCAGAAATATCTTAACTTAATATGACTATTGAATAAAATTAATATGCAATTAGTGATGCAAATAAATAGAAATATATCTTCGATGAATACAAGGAGAAAATAAGACAATTCGAATTAAAATTTTAAGAACTTTAATTACAAAATGAAAGATTAAGATAATAAGATCATAAAGTTGCTGTTTTAACAACAGAAATAGAACGATTAAATAATTTAATAAAATAATTAAATACAGATACTGATGAATGGAAATAAAAGTATTAACGAATAGAATTAGCTTTAATGGATTATAGATAAATCGAAAAAACTAATAGAGATGCTGCTTCTAAGAGTGAACTACTTTTAGATGAAATAGAAAGATTAAAGAAAATCTTAGAATAAAAATAATTTGATATGGATAAATTAATAAGATAATATGATGTTATCTAATCTTAAATTAGTACTTATTAAATTAATGCCAATTCTCATGTAAGTAGAATCTAAGAATATGAATCATCTCAAAGAGAAACTAGTGTTATTGTGTAAGATAATGAAAGATTAAAGAGATAACTTTAATAGTATTAATAATCGATATCTGTTCTGTAAACATAAGTTTAGGAATAAACTTAAAAGAATTAACAACTTATAACTTAACAACAATAAATTTATTCGATGAATAATAATAATGGAGAAATAGATAAATTAAAAAGATAAATTCATGAATATGAAAATAAGATCGCAATGTTATCTCTAGAACTTTCACGAATTAGAACCTCTAAATAGAATACTAATTAATTTGATAAATCTGATAAAGTAATGGAACTCTTATCTATAATTGTTATGATGTCTGCTGAACTTGATAATCTTAGAGGAATTACATACGAAAAAAGTACTGTGTAATCATAAAGATTATAAGACAATACTTCTTAATCAGTCCGTTCTCAATCAATAAATAATTAATAGGCTAATTATTCATACAGTAGTTGGAAACAGAAATGAGTTTATATATATATATATATAAATAATTTTATTTAAGTCAGCGCTGTGGAGTATAGAATCAACTATCATTTCTCTAACTCCTTTTCATCATATATTAGGTGAAGGTAAGGATCACCTACTGATGATTAAAATTATTATTAATAAACAACCACTATATAAATTGATATTAAAAGTAGGATTTTATGGGTTTAATATATAAATTACATAAATTTATTATTTCTATTATGGAATATTCAAATGAAACTTTTAAGAATCTAGAAGTATATCAGAATAGATAACTTATTTACTATCAACATGGTAAATCTTAAAAAGAAGAGAATTAAACCATTTAAGATTTAATCACTTAATTCAATTTTAATTTACATCAAACAACTAATGATAATTAAATAATTGATCGGTTTTCTTAAATGAATCTCCAAGATAACTGATACTTTATTAAACATAATTAACCAATAATAAAATCAACCTTCATTTTCAAGCTAATAAAAAATCTCTGCAATAACTTCCAATTTTATTGGTTTTGGTATAAAAGCATCAAAGCCAAGCTTTTCACATTTCTCTTATTCAGCTATATCATCAAAACCAGATAATGCAACCAATTTAACATTATCAATTTCTCTATCATTTATCTAATTATAGCAATAATAATTAAATACCATCATTCTTATTTTTTCAGCTGCTTACCATCCATTTAAAATTGGCATATAAAGATCCATAAATACATATCTAATATTCAAGTTCTTTTAGTTTTATAATAGCTTAAAATATTATTATTTATATCTACTTTATTTATTGCCTATTATCCATTATAAGCTTCAATTATATTTATTTCAGATATCAAATCTTAAAGTAAAGTTTTAAATGCTATCAAATTAAAAATTTGATCATCTACTAATAAAATTCCAAATTTTTTATTTAAAAACACTTATTTTAATTTATATCTTGGATCTTAAACTTCTTGAGAATCTACTTTCTAATAAGTTTTTAAATTTTGTAATTTTTAACCCAAAGATTAAAATTAAATAATATTTCTTGTCTTTGTTTAATCTGAATCTTCTTAAGATGGTTCATTTATATCATTCTCAGTTTTTTCAGTCTTCTCTTATGGTTTTGTATATACTCTTAAAAGAGAAGATCTCACAATTACTTAATGATTATCCTTCATATTTGATGAATCTTCATGTTAAGAAGAATTTTCTTATTTAAAACAACTTATATAATTAGCAGACGTAATAGAATTATCCTAAAGTTTTGCATATATTTAGAATGTCATTTTAGTTCCAATATTCTATTCACTCCATAAATCTACACTTTCTGATGGCCCTAATAAACCTACTAGATTTTTACAAACCATTAATCCAATACCTGTTCCACTTTTATTCTCTATTTTTTAATTTGAAAAAGTTGCAAATAAATTAAATAATTATGGTTTAACATTATCTGGTATTCCACATCCAGTATCTTCTATTGATATTGTGTATACTAATTTATTTGTCTAATTCTAATAGTTTTTTCCTTGTAATGTTTTCCTAATTTATTAAATTGTTTTTTCTCCAACTTAATATTGTATATTTCTTGAAGTATTGCTTCTTTTAATATGTTAAGATTTATCAGTATTTAGTGATGATACACAAATTGTGATGCTGCCTTACTCTGTAAATTTTAATGAATTTGAAACAAAATTCATTATTATTTGTTTAATTCTATTTGAATCTGAATGAATTTAATAAGAGGGAATATCATAATATGTTTTAATCTCAACTCCCTTCTATTCAGCTTAAATTGAACACATTTCAATTACTTCATCAATTATTTCATTTATATAAAAATCACTTAAGCATAATCTCAATTATTTCTTTTGAATTCTTGCATAATCTTGAATATCATAAATCATATAAAGCATTAATTAAACATTTTTTTTAATAATGTTATGATAGTATTTTTATATTAAAGTAATTTCATTTTTACAATCTAAACTTTCCAAAATAGAAACAATACCATTAATTGGTGTTTTAAAATCATGAAAGACTGTTGCAAGTATCAAATCTTTATTTTCACTAATTTATTATAATTCATTTAATTATAATTACAAATTTTCCAATTATCTATCAATGTCTTTACTCTATAATATAATCATGAAAGCTTATCTTCTAAACCAAAGACAATGATTTAAATTAATTTTCAGTTTCTTTTTTCTTAATTAAACTAAGCATATAGTTCTTTAGCTTTAACTCTTAATTAATAATTCTTCTATAATTTTTGATTTTTAATTTTTGGGAGTCTCTTCACTCAATATAATTGAAGGTTTAGAATATTATTAATTTTTTGGAGTTTCAATATATATTTCATTATGATTTGAAAATTAAACTTTATGTTCTCGTTCTTCATTAAATTCATCATCATGCTCAAATTACCCTGAAAATCTCTAAAAAATGGGACTTTAAGAAAAGTATTAGCAATTATCCATAATTTCAGAGTATAAATTTTTAAAATTTGAACGAGCACTATAAATCTTAGGAAAGAAACTATTGATGATACTTTGTAATTTGATTTTGTTATCTGAATAAAAACTAAAGAGGCATTTTATAAATTCATCTGAATGTGGGTTGTCATATTTAAATTCATTTTCTAAATATTTTGTATGATATAGAGGCTTTTAAGTTTGTTTGTCAATAACAAGAATCGAAGTAGTCAAAGTATCTTTAAACAATTCCAAAAGATCATTCGCATCTTCTCTCTCTTAAATCTAAAGCTATGCTTGGAATTTACAATAATGATAGGTGCAAAAGCAATTCCGACATATGAGACTGCATACTAATACTCATTGAATCTTACGATCAAATAAGTGAGTCCTATAAAGAATAATAAAGATTAAAGTATTTATATTTACAGAATCTATATCAAAGCAAAGAGCTTCAGTATTATATATAAAAGTGATCCCTTGATATATTTAACAGTAAATACTTCATGCGCATTTTCTCTGAGCATTTCAATTTCAATTATAATCATAATCATTTAAGTTACTCCCAAATAATAATCACTTGTTTGACTTATGAACTTTTATTTCCATTCCAATATCAAAAATATTATTGAGAAGAGAATATCTAATAAAACAACTAGTCCAGAATTCGAAATTCTAATTGCTTGTGTAAGGCCCAATATTAAAATTATGAGTGATGCGATAATATTGCAAACAATAAATTTTTGTTATCCTCCTATTTTCATATATCGGAATAGGTAATAAATATAAATAATGAAGATTATTTCTATATTTTTATATTATTCCCGATTTTATGATATAATCAAAGTAAACCATTTTTTTCTATTAATTACAACTAAAATCTTTATAAATATGATATAGAATTTCAAACTTTATAATTATTATCTTCACCATACCTTTTTTAATTTTGGATTTTTTTAATATTTTTCAAATACTAACTTTTATCTATACAAAATTTATCTAAGTCTTTTTCATATAAGATAATTTAAAATTTTTGATATTCAAAATATTTCCTATTTTTTAATGAAAATTGATTAACTCATAGATTTGCTATGTTTAATAGAAAATTCCTTAAATAATAAATAGTAATCATTCAAATTACTTTTAATTCTTATTTAATTATTAATTTATGATGAGCATTTATATTTCAGCAGAATCAGGAGCAGATAAAATAACAAATACGAGAAGATACAATAACAAATCTATGTATGTTTATGAAAAATCAAAAAAGACACTAAAATTACTGAAAAAAGGAATTCATAATTATTTGTAAATTACTGAGATATAAAAATTATCAACCTACTTTTACAAAATTATTGATTAAAAATTTGATGATCTCATCATGGCCACAAAATTTCCAATAATTAAAGAATTTAAAAGGAATTACTAAAAATTTAAAACTTCAATAAATAAACCTAAATTTTTACAGGAGATAGCCTTTTTATATTCAAATTCATATATTGAATAAATTAATTATAAACACATTCAAAAATAACAAATTTACAATTTCAATCAAAAAAATATTTTAACAAAAAGCTGGAAACGAAAAGCCATTTAAAATTCTATTAAAATATTATTTAAATATTTCTACATTATCTATTAAGCATAAACATTCTTTTTATTATCTTGATATCTATTTAATCTTATTTTTGAATATAAGCAACAAGATGAATATTTTATTTCTACTATACAAATAAGGCATTTTTCTCTACTAATTTAAAAAATCTTAATACTTTTATTGAAAATTCTTAAAAAAATGGTTTCATTGATAGGGAATAATAACAATCAAATTTTGAAAAAGAATTTTCTAAGAGCAAAAAGCAATCGTTTTTATTTCTTCAATTACTTTAAAAATATAGAAATAAGGAAACATTGAATTAAATGAAAAAAAAGAAAGAAATATACAAAAATATATATTCTTCGTAGGAATTTGAGTCTTAGAAAATTGAAAAAAAAATTTTACATTATAGTATTGTTCATTCTCATCATTCATTATAATTGATTTTAATATTATATAAAATAAATACTCAAGGAAGAAGACTTTTTAAAATTATACGTGATATTTAACTTAAATTATTAATATTTCCATCTCCAAAGTTTAAAAAGTCACTTGCAAATACAACCTTATTTTCAAAATAGTTAATAGCTTCATCTATATTATATGGTTTGGTAGCAAATTAAGAATATTATTTTATTTATGTCTGAAATTAAGGCACATTTAATTCTCCTTAATCATTGAAGAATCCTTTGAGATAGAAAAGACTTTTATCGGTAAAATGAGTCAGGACTAAATTCTTTGCATTTAATTCATATGCATTAAAGAAAGCTTATAAAAATGTAGAATGATTAACTTCTATAGCTCTATTTGAAATAAAATAAAAAAAATTACTTTGCAAGCATTTCATCTGGGTATGTACATTCATGAATTAAAAGATCACAATCTTATGCAAATTAAAAAAACTTATGAGATTTTTTTAACTTTCCTAATCGATCACTAGAATATACAATAGTTTTCCCTCTGGAATTTATTTTGATTGCAGTACTATATTAACAATGTTTTGTCATTTCAAATTCCAATTTAATATTTTTGTTTTATAAAAATTCTTAAAACTCAAGTTTGTTAAAATCGTTTTCAAATTAAAATTCAAAGTTTATATCTGGAAATTATTCAGATTCTAATTGATTAACATCAAATTTATTATTATTTGATAAAGTGTTAATTTATTCTGTTTTGTTACTATTGACTAAATCATTAGTAAATACAATTTTAATTTAATGAACATAAGATTTCATTCCAAATTCTTCCTTAAAAAAATCTGTTAATAATTATGAGTACCATAAATAAATTGGTTTAGGAAGCAAAAGAAAAAATGGTTCTTTTGAAATTAAACATTTATGTTTTATAAAATCAAACAATCCTTAATGATGATCATTATGAGAATGTGATATATAGATGACATTAATACACTTTAATTAATGTTCAAATTTCTAATAATCTTTACAACTAAAATAAAATTAGTTTAAAGTATTTTATCCACAATCCATCAATATAGATACATTTGTAAGATTTACATAAATTCCACTCGCATTTCTAGATAAAGTTTCAATTGAAGATGATGTTCCCAACATAACAATTTCATAACTCTCACTTTTAGTTTTAGGAATTGAATTATATAATCTAATTAATTTTTTTTAAGCTTCTCCTTTTAATGAGTACTAAATTAATTACTTTTAATTTAAATTTTAAAAAGTTAAAACTCCTTTAGTAATCTATAAAGTATTCATTTTTATTGGAAGATATTTTACTTGGTTTGGCCATAAACTATTCAGATTTGTTAAATATAGACGATCTTTAAATTAATTATATTCCATTTATCGTTTGAATAAGGAAGGCATATTATCTTTCATAATTTTCAAATAATCTAGATAATAATATGATAAATTTTATTAATAATTTGATTCATTAAATTAAAAATAATACTCTGTAGAAGTTATAATGTGGATTAATTTATAATTTAATAACTTGAGTTAATCAATTAAATTTGTATATTGATTGGATTCAAGTAATTATTTATCAGCATAATGAATAATTAAAAGAGTTTGATCTAATTTCTGATCTTTCAAAGAATTCTAAAATTCCATATTATAAATTGATAATTCCTCTTATAACTATGGAAATATATTTTTAGTAAAATCTTAAATTTCAATTTCAGTTTTGAAATCTAATAGAAGTATTGCTTATTAAATTAATTCATAATTAGTCTTTTTAATTTCATCATATTATATAAATCTTCCATTATAATTAAATTTTCCTTCTCTAATATCAGGTATACGAGATAAAGAAATTTTTAATTTTTTAAGTAATTCTTTATCAACAAATGTGTCAACTTTAAAGGTCACTAAATATTAAGTAAGATTAGGACTACAGTAAGATAATATCAATTTTACTTATTTCCAAAGAAAGGTCTTACTTTAGAGTATTACAATGAAAGATATTTATTTTAATAAACTAATTGAATTGGATTGACATAGTTTTATGGTTTTTTATCAGAAAAAAATTAATTAATACCTTTCAAAGATTACATTTATTTTTCATTAGCAGCTTTGAGCATCTCTAAAAATGAATTTTTATCTCCTACTCCAAATTTCTATTCTTTAATTATCATATTCTTATTCAAATCCATAGCACCAAAAGCAAAATTACGTATTCCAATAATATATCTAGTTTGCATAATAAATTAAGTAATTCCTGGAGGTCCTAAAAAAATCATATTTGTAAATTGATTTTTATAAAATGCATAATACATGATAGGAAGAAGACCTTAATAAACTTCTTGAGTATTTCTGTGAACAAAATAAAATGCTTTATTAACAAACAAGTTCAAATCATGATATTATGCCAATCTATTAGATGGCTCCTCACATGTTCCAAAATATAAATGTTCCTAACCTTATTGATGATCAAGAGATATTGATATTATTGGAGAACGTTGTAATTTGTAAGTCTTTATGATTTGCAAGTTAATACGCTAAATTTACTTATGTCCAGACATTATATAAATTAAGGTGAATTTAGAACTGAAAAATGAGCAAAAATAAATCTCAAATCTTATATATCGAAAGAATCATTAAGTTTCATTAATATTTGCGCGAATGTTAATCGAGTTAGATGAAAACTCTCTCTACAATAAATTTCTTTAGAACTTTACTAAAGAAGAGAAATTGGGAGAAGGAACGTATGGTATTGTTACAAGAGCATATGATAAAAGAAGAGGAAAATAAGTAGCTTTAAAGAAACTTAAACTTGATAATTGTGATGATGAAGGAGTTCCTAGTACTACAATTAGAGAAATAGCAATACTATAAAAGTTAAAACATCCAAATATCATAAGGTAATTATAATATAATATATAAGTTTACTTGAAGTAAAATACTTTATGGAAGAAAAGAAAATATTTCTTATTTTTGATTCTATGTAATGTGATCTAAGAAAATATTTGGATAGGAATTCATAATTAAGTCTAAATAAGATAAAACCTATAATTTACTAAATTCTTTTAGGATTATCTTATTGTCACAGTAGAAGAGTATTACATAGAGATCTTAAACCACAAAATATATTACTAAATGAATTGATGACAATTAAATTAGCAGATTTTGGTCTTTCTAGAGTATTTCCATTTCCGATGCCTAAATTTACAAAAGAAATAGCAACTCTATGGTATAGAGCTCCTGAACTTATGCTTGGTGATGATAATTATGGCACTGGAGTTGATATATGGGCTGTCGGTTGTATTATGGCTGAATGTCTAACAGGAAAACCACTCTTACCAGGTGATAGTTAAGTTGATATGTTATTTAAAATGATGGAGGTACTTATTTATTTTTATTCTTTTTAAGTTACTTGGAACTCCTAATGATTCTACATATATTGGATTATCCAAACTTCCTCATTTTAAAATTACTTTTCCTAAATTTAAAGGCAAAGATCTTACATAAGTCATTCCACTATTAAAAAATGAAAACAAAGCATTAGAAGTCTTATAGTCTATGCTTTAATTCAATCCAGGTAAAAGACCACAAGCAAAAGAGTTATTAAAGAATCAATGGTTTGATGATATTAGAAATAATTATTGAGTTTTTAATATCATCTCTTTATATTAATATTCTTTAAGTATCCTTATATAATATTATTTATCAATTTTAGATATTATATTTTATTTAGTAATATCTATAATTTTCAAATTTATATTATTAAACCTTTTATAGATAATTTTATTTATTTAATTCAACTTAGATATATATTAAAAGACCAACAAAAATTCTAATACTTTTTGTTGGAGAAAACTTCTGAAATTAAAATCTAGAATAATCAAAAGTAAATAATTAAATCTTCAGATTTATTATAAATTATTGATATATTTCATAATAATTTTAACTCTCTTACTTTTCTCAACTTTATTTATCCAATAATTTTTTCATTACCAATTTAATTTTTCAAATTCATATCATTTTTTTTTAGTTAAGAGTAAATCAACTTAAATTTATAATTAAAATGGTCTTTTTTATTCGATTGAATAAGCTCAAACTATTTTTACTTTCTTTAACTGAAATTTTATCTTCAATTTATTATTTTCTTTTTTTTAGCTTTTCTTTGTAATTATCTTTGGACTTCTTTTTTTCTATTTTATCTATTGTTACTTTATTCTGATTATTATAATTAAGATTCTCTTTTTATCTAAGAAATAAATAATTCAATACTACTCTTTTATTTTATTGCTTTGTATTTTAAGTATAATAATATTGCAATTAATGTTTAAAAATTTTTACTTTCATTAATAATCTGAATATTATTTCTATTCTTTTTACACTCTATTTTCTTTTCATTTTAATACTCTTCAGGTTCTTCTCTTAATAAATCTGCTTCTAATATCTTTTTAAATTATTTGATCCGTCAAATTTTATTTTATATTTTCTATAATCATATTTCTAGTCTGTATCAATTAATGCATTTATGACTGTACTTTATTGATTATTATTTTTGATTTCATAATATTAAATTATTATATTTTACACTAAAAATCTTAGATTTTTCTAATATATAAAGCATATTTTTGATAAAATATAAAAAATCAATTTAAATTTTCAAAATTATTATAAATAGGACTTAGGATAGATTCTGAAAGTTAAAATTACTTTCCTTTAAAAATAACTCTTAAATAATTATAAATTATAAAGGGATGAATAAATAATATTAGATATTGATAATTTAAATTTGAATAATGTTGAAAAATAATTTTATAATAATTTTTAGTATAGGTTTATAAAAATGTCTAAAAGTAATGAAAATGGTATAATATAAATGAAGACCATAATTTTAGAAATTGTTTTATCTTTATAATTATTAAATAAAAAAGAAAAAAAAATAAATGGCCTTAATTCATAATCAAAATGACATTTAAAATATGTTTAGTAAGGCTGGTAAAATTACTTCAGAGAAATACATAATTTTTTAAAGAAAAGAAGAGATTATTAACAATAGACCAAGATATTTTAAAGGGAAATCTTAATCAATAGCATCTCCAGAAGAAGTGAATTAACAAACTGATAATAAAAAAATGCCAGAAATATAAAACAAAAAATAAGAATAAATAACAGAAGCAGAATAGATATAAAGGAAAAATTAAGTAAAGCTTTCATAACCATTTTCAAAACAACTGTCAAGATAAGTAGGTCATTACACAAAACTTAGTAAAGACAGTAAACCTTCTTGTGGATAATATCATGTTAAATACAATGAATTGGATAAGTATTTATTGAAATAATGATTAAAAAGAGCAATTAACTCAATTCATGATTATGATAAATCTCTTAAACAAACTATACCTCTTGAAGTACCAGGAAAACATGGAGAATCTGAGAATATGGAGTAAGTAATTAAGTTATATATTTATAGTAAGCCAATAGTAGATAGGCCTAGATTTACTAGAGCATGCTTTATTGATTTAATTAGATAAACACCAAGGTATAAATTTAAAATATATAATTAGACCTGATATATTTTTTGGCAGACCCACTCCACATCCTGATAGATTTAGATATTTAAATATAACAGATTCTTGGAGCAAGATTCCTAGAACTCCATCAGTCTAATTAGAAAAATAATTATCAAGAGATTAAATGATTATTTATAAAAAGAAATAATTCGCCCCAGATTATCAACCAAATTTTGAATTCGGTAAAAAGTATAAGAATAAATTAATAAATAGATAATTAGGTAGTTGTGGAGCTCCATTTGATAAATTAGAATAAAGAAAAGATATAATGACTAAAATTCCACCTTATAATCATGAAGCTTATTTTGAATTTGATGTTTATTCGAAAGATCCAAATAGTAAACTATTTAGAAATCCTACAGCACCAAATTTTAAAAATATGTTAGATAGAGAATGTGATGGAAAATCTCTTTTACCAAGTTTTATGTAGGTAATTATAATTTTAAAATCATAAGAAATATTCTAATACTCGTATGGGTATTACACATTTACATTAAAAAATGTTGGAAGTCAACAATTTTAGAGATGGTAGATTTCAAACAGTTACTTCTAGTTTCTTACCCAGTAAAGCATTCAAAAAAAGACAATAATTAGATGAATCAAGTGAAGAAATAGAACAGATGGAAGAATAATGATAATTTATAATCTTTAATAATTGTATTATAAAATGTATTTCTTATTAAAATAATTTAAGATTATTTATAAAAATTAATTAATAAAATTACTACCTTAATCTATTTCAATGTGTTAATATTTGTTTTATATTATAAAGTTTTTATATTAATTGATATATTTTGTTATTTGAATTTCAAAGTATTGAGCGATTTTCATTTTTGTTTTTGCAATTTAAATTCCATATTAATTTACTATTCGTTAAAGTATCTTTTTTAAGGAGAATATATATAACTTAAGTTTTGATTATACCTGCAATTATCTATTTAATTACTAGAAATTAAATGAATATGCATAAGCCCAATAGTTTAATGAACATTAGTTTCTGTCTTTCTGAGATATCCAATCATGTAACTGAATAAATAAAAAATCAAAACGAGTAGATTCAACTTATCTATACAGAAAGGTAAAAAACTTTAGAAAAATTACAAAAATAACTAGAGAAGCTTAATCATACGATTTCAAGAACTTATAATAAATAACCTCCTTAAAGAATCGACTAGATTCAAATTCTAAAGAATCAGTAATATAAATATGAACTTTAAATGGAAGATGATTTAGAGCTTCCGTGTTATAGAAACAGAATTTTTCAAATCAAACTTAGGCTTGTATAGAATGATAAAAAAATTATCAATACAAATAACCTGCTTGTTGAATTACAAATGTAAGAAAACATACAATAATATTAGTTGGACCTATGACAAAATTCCTAAAAAACTTACCCACAATAACAAAAATTAATCTATCTTCAAAGGATGTCAACAAGCTATAATTAAAAAAGGTTATGGAAGCTTAAATCGGATTTAGATTAAAGAAGTTTCGTCCCATTTTCCAAAAGGAGCATTTATGATGATTATTTAACCTATAGATGATGGCGCAGTTATTGGAGATGAGAAGTAATATACTTATTTTTATTGTAGAAAATTTATGATTAAAAAAGAATGGATAAAGCCATTAATAATAAATGATGTTGCTATCAAAGCAAAAAAGTTTTCTGATAGGCATAATCCTTATTTTGCTAAATCTGATGGAACAATTAATATTTTGGAATAGGAATGATTTCTTCTTTAAATATGACATTAACAATATAAATATTTAAACATCAAAATTATGTTGAAGACATTGAAATAAATATTTACATTCCTTTACTTTTTTCAATCTATGGTATTTTTTTTATCAATAATTCTTAGAAAATTATTTTGAAGTACTTGCAGCTTACAAAAATATCAGGAATGTAAGACTTCCATATGCTGAACCCTTCTTTTTTGCTCAATAATGCTGACCTTTGAACTTAATTAAAGTTTAAATTTATATATAACGAAAAAATATTCACAAATCTGCCTCATATTATTATTAAAAGTATTCATAATAAATACTCCAGATTAATTATTAATAAATTAATGTTTTTAAATCTAAAAATAGACTTTATAAATTATTTTATTTTCTCTTTTTTAGGATTTGTTCTTAATTTTGATGTACCTTGGTTTTATAACATTTTATATTCGATAAAAATAAATTGAGATTAAATTACTTCTCTAATTCAAGAAATGAATATTTTGATGACATCAATAATTTTAATATAATTCATATTTTAATTTATTATTTTTAATATATTAATTTAAATTTTCTCAATGAATAGAACTTTAAAAGGCACCTAAAATATTTCATTTATTTTATTAAAAAATAAATGGAAGATAAAATAAATAAACTTTTTGCATTATTCAATGATTTCAAGAATCAGTAACTCTTTAGCTTAGCTTTGGCCTAAATAGTGAATGTCTATAATGACTATCCTGCCTGTCTTTATTAAATATTAAGAAAAACAAACAAATTAATATATTCAAGAGCTTAAGACCCTCGTCTTCGTTTGGAGCATTCTTAAATTGCTGCTGCAATAATTGAAAGAACATATAAAATCTATAAGTAATTTATTTGTTAATTAAAATAGTGAACGACTTGAAGAATATCTGCTATCATCATCAAATGACTCAATTCCTGAAAATTTATTTCATTTTGAACCAATATTAGATCAATAAATTGATGATGTTATGCAATAAGAATAAATTAGAGATTATGAAGAAATAAAATCAAATATTAAGTTAAAAAGTGAATAAATTGATTTTATTCATCTAATCAATGATGGAAGTGCAATTCTTGGAAAAGACTAAAAATATTTAAAAAGATCATAAGAAAATAAAAACTAAAAATTAGATGATGAGACACTTGACATAAAATAAGAAGAAATTATGAGATTAATGGGTTTGTCTGGAAATTTCAATCTTTCAAATATTACCAGGTTATTAGAATTCATGCAAGGAGATGCTGAGATACCTATTGATATGCATTCATCATCAGATGAAATTGTAGAAAGTTCTAGTGATGATGATGCAGTAGGCCAATATAGAAAAAGAAATAAAACAAAAAGCAAATAACCAGAAACTAATCTTAAAAAAAAACCATCTACTTAAAAGAAGAATCAAATTACAAAGTATTGTGTAATAAATCCATTTAATGTGATTTATAATAGAGCAGTCTATGAATTAATGAATCATAAATGGTAAGAAAGACATTCTAGCGCTTTAGTTTTGAAATCTATAGTTAGGCAAAAAGGGTTTTTAAATTTAGGATTTAGTTATATGATAAAAGGCGATGAAAAGGAAATCAATGGTATTTTAAGAGCCAGTTTAATAGAATATATTAGTGATAAAAATGGATAATTAAATAAATTAGAATATCTATTAACAAGATGTTGTGTTTTAATTGTAATGGATAGATTTGCAGATTATTTTGGAAATCAAACTATTATGATTGTAAGAGAAGCAGCATGTTAAACTGCTATTACACTTTTAACAGATAGAAATTATAATACAAATATTTGGATACATTATCCTGATAGTTTTATGAAATTTGTTCTTTTATTGAAAAATTTTATTGAAGAAGGCTAGAGAGTATAAATTTATGAAGTTTCTTAAAGTGCTTTATTCTTAGTAAAAGGCTTGTTAAAAGATCATTTATAAGTCATTTTTGATAATTTTTCAGAAATGTTATTATATGTAGGTTAGAGAGATAATGAGGATGAAATTCTTGAATTATTAGCAGATATTTGGAAAGAATTTCTATCTTTAGGTATAAATTAGAAATATTATAATACTGTTTATCCAATTACTATGGAATAATTAAAAAAATAAGATGATATTAGTTTTGCTGGAAAAGCTATTTTCTAATTTTTAAGCGCTCTTTTTGAAGCAGGTTTTAAAATTACTAAATAATTTTAAGGAGAAATAGAAATTTTGAAAAAGTTCTTCTTTCATAGAATTGTTGAAGTTAAAGAATCATTTTATAAATATTTATTAGCTTTTTCAAAATAATAAACTTAAAGATAAAATGATCCGAGAACCATAAATTATATGAAAATTATATTTTAAACTGGAGTATTTGAAGAGAAACTTGAGACATTTTAAAATTTAATGAATATTCTTGAATAATTATCTAAACATTTAGATGAAGATTAGCTTTAAGAATTTATTTAATTTGTCCACAATTTTTCTACTGATCATTAATTTAAGAAATATTTCTTTCTTTTTGATGGTATTAAACGAGAATCTTTAGAAATACATTATCCAAATTTAGCTCAATAAAGTTTAAATCCCATTGATAATCAGACATATAGAATGATTAAATCTGCATATTTAATAAAAGATATTAATTATGAATACTAAATAACAGCAGATTTAGATCCAATAAATTTTATTTATACTTTTAGAAATTATATAAATAATAGAAAAGATTTAAATTAAGAAGTTGATATCACACGTTAAAATGGATCTTGTTTTGATGAATTAGATCTTAAAATTTAAGTATCAATGCAATAATTAAATATTTTATTGAAAAATTACATGCAAATAGAAAAAGAATAAGAATATTTAGCAATTATATAAGGATTTGTTAAAATATATGGAGATTTTGCAATAGCTCCAGCTCATTCACAAAAGCTTAGATAACTTTATCCAATAATTCTAAATTAATTAAAGTAATTGAGTCAGATTGATTATGAAATGGATTAAGAATCAATTTAGAAATTATAAGATACTACATCAGATTTAGTTTAGAGTCTTTAATCATTTACAAAATTGAGTAATGAGTTAAGTTTGAATTTTAAAGTATTAACTTCGGATCATACTGAATCATTGATTCAAAGAATAAGGTAAAATTGTTATTTATTTAAGAATAGACAAATTTCACTTAATCTAAGATATTGCATCAGAAAGATTGTCCAGATAAATGTCTTAAAATCCAAATTGCTGTGATTTAACATCCCTTTATGTTAAATAGAGTGCTTAATAAACAGTTTAATATATTCTGTCATAAAAGAATGAATTAAAAAGTATAAATATTGTAATATAATTTAGGGAAGGATTATGGTAGAAAAAGACTTATATGGCATTTGCTCAAAAATTAAGTTGATTTCTAATCTTGGCATCTCTTTTTTGAAAGGCTTTTCTTATAATAATTAAATTATATTCCTAATGATTTAAGACTTAATTAAAATTTAATGACTTAAACATCAAAATTAACAATAAGAGTTGAAGATTTGAAATATAATTTATGGGGAATTGGTCTAATATAAAATGCTTATTCATATTTTTAGTAAAATGCTGAACATCCTGATTTTGATAAATGGGTACAATATTTGTTATCAAAATTATTAAATTATTTACCAGTCTTAAGTAATATTAGTGATGATGATAATAATAAAATTATTTTAGATGATTAGAAAGGAGGTATATTATTAGAATTTGATTAAACATTTAAAAAAGTATTTACATTAAAAAATACATTGTTTAAACTCTGTGCAAAATTTATTAATTATTTAGCTGTTTCTAAAAATATTAGTGTGTTTGATTAAGTTATAATTTAAATAAATTAACTCTTAAAAAAGAATGAAAATGGAATATATGATATTTTGAATATAATTTTGAAAGAATATCCCATATCTTTAGCCCCTATAAGTGGTTTTTTAACATTGAAAGCTATTAAAAAGTTAACTGCAAAAGATCCTAATATAGCATAAGCAGCAAGTAAATTGTTTGGATTTTTAATTCCAATATTAACAATAATGGAAGTACCATATTGTCCGATATCATAATCTTTGATTAGTAAGTTTTAAAAAGCAAAGGAATTTTAATTAGGTTTTGGTAAGATGACTAAAGTAGAATATAAAATTGAAGGAGGTATAAAGGATCGTTCAATTCTAAGAGATTATTAATGGGATGGTATAAGATGGTTAGGATTTCTAATTAAATATAATTTACATGCTGCATTATGTGATGATATGGGATTAGGAAAAACAATATAAACATTAGTTGTTTTAGCAAATGAAGTATTTAAAAGAAAGAATGAAAATTTGATTTCCCTTGTTGTTGCTCCAAGTACAGTTGTAGATCATTGGTATGCGGAGACAAAAAAGTATATAAGTAATTCTGTTTTAAAACCACATATATATGATGGTGTCTTTTAAGGAAATCTCATTATGGTATCTTATAATTAACTACTTAAACTAAATCAAAATTTTCTTAATCAAGAGTTTTATTTTCTCATTTTAGATGAAGCTCATATATTAAAAAACAGTAAAAATAAGACAAGTAAAGTCATACGAAGCTTAAAAGCAAAACATAAAATTGTTTTGTCTGGAACTCCTGTTTAGAATCATCTTTTAGAATTGTGGTCACTTTTTGATATTTTATTACCAAATTATTTAGGAGATGAAGAATATTTTAAAAAGAATTTCTCTAAAGCATTTCACACTAATATCTTTTCATTAACTGAAGATGAAATCTTATTTGATGAATAATAAATTAAAACATTAAGATTACTCCATAAGAAAGTATTACCTTTTATAATGAGAAGAACTAAATAAGATGTATTACCTTAATTACCTGCTAAAATTATAGGAGATTATTATTGCTCTCTATCAGAACCATTGCAATCTTAAATTTATCAAATTTTAGAATCAAATTCATTTTCAAATGATATTGAATAATAAATTACTAAAACTTAAGGAGAGTAAAAAAATAAAGTTTGTGAATCTGTTCTAAAATTATTACATAAATTGAGATAAGCTTTAGATCATCCTATATTAGTCAAAAGTGTAGTTTTATAAAATAAAAGACCTAAGAAAAAGGTTAAGACTGAGAATATTGAAATGCTTGCTGAATAAGAAATAAATTAATTGTTGGATAAATAAGAAAAACCAGAAAGTTATTCTCATTCAGGAAAGATGATTGCTTTGAAAGATATTTTATAATAATTAGGATTTCAATCAACAGATGATACACCTTAATAGTAACCTTAAGGTGATTAAATTACAATATATACAAATTTTAATAAAGTCTTAGTATTCTCTAGATTTAGAGCTGCCTTATAATTAATAGCTGAATAATTATTAAAAACCCAGTTTCCAGGATTATAATATTTAATTTTAGATGGAAGTGTTCCATAAAATTAAAGATTTCCTTTAGTAACTAAATTTAATGAAGATCCAGATATAAGAGTATTACTACTAACAACATAAGTCGGAGGTTTAGGATTGAATTTAAGTTCAGCAAATATTGTAATAATGTTTGATCATGATTATAACCCTGTTAATGATCAATAGGCTATGGATAGAGCTCATAGAATTGGATAAAAAAATGTTGTTTAAGTTTTTAGATTGATTGTTAAAGATACCTTGGAAGAAAAGATTATGGGAATTCAAAGATTTAAATCTGCAATATCTAAAGCTATTGTGAATTAAGATAATGCTTCATTAAAACAAATGGAAAAAACAGACTTATTATCTATGTTGGAATCTAATGCTTAAGGAAATAATAAAGGTATTATAATATTTTTTATATTTTTTAGAAAAAAATTCTGAAGAAGAACAAATTGAAAAGTTAAGTGGTCCATATTCAAAGATTTTAGGATAACTTAAATTAGATTTATTAGAATAACTTAATTTTGACAAAGAATATTGATATTTTACATTAATTGTATATTTTCATATCCTTAATCAATATTGTCTATTAAAAAAAAAATAAAGCAATAATACATTCAAATGCTTCTATTGCAAATAATTATTGTAATTCAATTTGAATTTTGTTATAAATAATTCAAGTATTATATTTTAAACATAAAAAGAATTTTTATTAATGTAAACAAACAATTTATTTGATTTTTGTATTCCAAAGAAATTTTTTTATAACTCCTAAAGGAAATATATGAACTATTTTACTTAATAATATATTTGTTTGATGTTTCAATATCATAAACATTTTGGAATATACAGTTTGAGATTATATATTTAATATTTAATTGATCTCAAATAGAGGATGCTAGAATAATCAGGACACACAAAAGCCCATTCAGAAGGTTTTTAGACTGTTTTTGAGTCTGATTTGGAAAGTTTACAAAAGTTTAAGTTAAATCTAAACATATAGAAGACCAAAATCAAGTTCTTAAGAAAACTATAGAAGATTATTTGAGATAACAAAAGATTGTTCTCATTAACAATTACCTCAAGCTAATTCAGATGAAATTCCCGAATTCGATTCTTTGGAGGATTCTTTTTAAATTACACCTTCAATGTGTACAAATAAATCAAACAAACAAAGTTAAGAACGTGAAGAGAAATTATTTGAAAAAGAACTATTATAACCTTTGAATGAAGATGACTATTAGTTAATAATAAAGAGTGAAAAAGTGTAGTGCTAATTGCCTCCAATTATGATGAAAAATGGGGGATGCTACATTGGATATTGGTACAAAAAAAAACCTTCGGGTTAAGGAGAATATAAATTTGCAGATTCAAGTAGATATAATGGTGAGGTAATAGAACTTGCAATAAATTTAGTGGAATAATGGATATGCAAGTGGAAAAGGCAAATTTATTGATGCAGAAGGTGGATATTATTGTGGAGATTTCCATCTGAATTATATGCATGGCAAAGGTGTATATAATTATGTTGATGGTTCGATTTATGATGGTAGAAATATGTTTAAATTTTATGAAGGATAGTGGTTGAATGACAAATATAGCGGATATGGTATTGAAGTGAAAAGCGATTCTCATTACAAAGGTATTTTACTATAGCGATATAAGGTTAATTTCGAAATGGTTTGAAACATGGTTAGGGGATCTTAATTTTTAGTAACAAAGAAAAATATGAAGGTTCATTTATCAATGGTCAATTTGAAGGAAAAGGAACATTTGTAGTTTTCATAATAATATTATAAGATATGGCCAGATGGAAGAAGATATTAAGGAGATTGGAAAAATGGAATGATGCATGGTTAAGGAATTTTATAATGGCAAGATGGTATTTTCGGTTATAAATACTTTAGGTAGAGTTTATGTTGGATAATATGTAAATGATAAGAGATAAGGTTTCGGAACATTTCAATTTGCTGATGGTCGAAAATACTCAGGTTAATGGATGAATGGTTTATAACATGGAAGTGGAGAATTTATAGAATCACATGGATAAGTTACTAAAGGAGTATGGAGAGAAGGTAAATTATTTTCGCTTATTTGATTAAATAATACTTATTATATTTCTCATAATTTTGCTTGAGAATATTTGGCAAAGTTTTCTGGGGTTGGAGGAGGAAATAAACTTGGTGTAAAAAGTGTTCTAAAAAGATATTAAACTTATATTTTTACGCTTTTTTCATATTTCCTTTGATTTTCATTAATCCTTTCAAGAATGCTTCATTAGCTTACAACTTACCCTAACAAACTCTTTCAAAATCATCATCAACCATATTGAATGTAGCATCAGCTGATTCTTTTCCTTCTTTAATTGAACCTTAACCATTTTTTAAATCAATAACCCAAGATTTAATAACTGGACCTCCTTTTTAGGTAATAATTTCAAAATTAAAAACTCCTTAAACTTTTGGAATTAATTCTTTTCCTTCTCCTCTATCCAAAAATGCTTTCATCAAATTGAATATTTTTTCAGCTTTTAAAGTTACATTAGTTGGTTAAGTATTCTATGATGGATTTATTTATTTAGTTTTATCATCTTTTTATTATTTAAGAAATTCTTCTTTGTTAAAGAATATTTCAAATATTTCAGTTGAAGTCAAAGGATAATAAACATTATTACCAAATCCCGAGACTTCATCCCATTTACTTTTAACATCTTCAGGAGTAAATGGAGTATCAAAAAAATATCCTTAGTTTCTTTACCATCTTAATTTTGAAATATATCCAGCTCCTAATTCAAAAATAGATCCTGTTTCTTTGCAATCTTCATGAGATAACCATGCTACAAGTGGTACTATATACTCAGGTTTAAGACTTTAAAGAATTTCCTTACTCATTATAGTTTCTGTAAGTCGACTGGCAGCAACAGGACAAATAGAATTTACAAAGATATTTCTTTTTTATCCTTCTTTTGAAAGTGCTAAAGTAAAGCCATGTGTTGCTAATTTAGCTGAACTATAATTTGTCTATCCAAATACACCATATACACCTGATGCTGAAGATGTATTTATTATTCTTCCATATTTCTATTCTCTCATATATGGCCATGCTGCTTTAGTACATGCATATGTACCTTTAAGATGAACCTATAAATTTCTACATAAAAAATAATACTTTATATATTAAATCCCAATCTTCATCTTTCATTTTTTCAAAAGAAACATCTCTTAAGATTCCTGCATTATTTATTAAAATATCAATTTTTCCAAATGTTTTTATTGCAGTTTCAATTATTTTTTCACCAAACTCAACACTGTCATAATTTGCAACTGCAATTCCTCCTGCAGCCTTTATTTCATCAACAACTTTATCTGCTGCTGAAGATGAAGCACCTGTTCCTTTCATTGAACCACCTAAATCATTTACAACTACTTTTGCTCCCTTTTTTCCATAATAAAGAGCATATTCTTTGCCTAAACCATTACCAGCTCCAGTTATAACTACTACTTTTCCATCAAATCTTAATCCACTCATACTTATTTTATGTAATTCAAATTCTAGGAGATATTGAACATTATATAGATAGTCATTACAAATCGTGCGTCATTTCTTTTGTTATGATTCAATTATTTTATAGTATATTATGTAAAAAAATATAATAATTTTTTAATGTATTACGTTTATTGGTTCTCTAAAATATAAATATGATATAAAGCTAACCTTAACAATCTTAATTCTAGAAGAGAATGTAAAAAATTAAAGGCTTTTTGAATTCTGAATCCAATTTTTCTCCTCTCGAAGAAATCACAGAAAGGAAAACTAAAACTCCCCTTTTAACACAATATCAATAGTAAAGTTCTGACTTAAGCGATCATGACACACAATATAATAATGTTGAAAATAATCAGATTGGATTGAAGAATAACAGCTTCTTGGATGAATACACTCTAGGGGAGAAATTAGGAGAAGGTACAAATGGAGTAGTGTGGTTGTGTTGGCCTAAAAAAGATGATAAAGTGAAATATGCAGTTAAAGTGATTCCGACTGACGATGAAGAAATAATTAATATTGTAAAATAAGCATTCATCAATTCACAATTACTAAAAAGCCCGTTTATAGCAAAATGTTATAAATTGTTCATTGAATAAACAAAGTTATATATGTTAATGGAATGGGTGCCATGTTCTAGTTTAGAGACTCTTTTAAAACAGAATTAAAAACTAAAAGAAAAACAAGTGTAATAGATTGCCTTGACTTTACTGAAAGCAGTAAAATGCTTACATAAAGCAGGTGTCTGCCATCGAGACATCAAGCCAGATAATATTTAAGTTTTTAAGTAATGATAATCTTTTTATACTTAGAGATTACTAGATCAAGTTGATTGATTTTGGTGTTTCTAGAAGATTTGTTACCATTAATTAAAATACATTAAGGTACAATCGTAATAAAATGATGACAATTACTGGGAATATCCATTACCGAGCACCAGAAGTTTATAGAGATTATGGATATGATTCCCAAATTGATTTATGGTCAATAGGCGTAGTGATATATTAATGTCTTACTGGTATATTACCATATTCTTCTGAATACACTGGAGATTTAATTGAAATTCTTTCTTAAAAGTAATTCATAAAAACTATTGTAGAGAACCACAATTAAAACCCTTCCATCATTAAGCTTTTTTAGATTTACCCACAAGTTGTAGAGATTTCATTAAAAGATTAATGATGTGGAATCCTTTAAAAAGATTGAATGCTTCAGGTACTTACCTGTTCTAACTTAGAGGCATTAAGGCATATTTGGGTGCCTACCCATACATTACCAAACAAGATTAAAATTGTAAAGGATGATATTGATGTAAGTAAGAGTAGTCAAAATAGTGATCTATACAATAAAACTCTTATTAATTCAGCAATGATGTTGAATCAAGAATTAACAAATACACTTACAAAGAGTAGAAAATTTGATGCAATTTAAGAGGAAGAGACTCCAAAAGAGTTAAATAAAAGTTTAGAAGTTTCAATAAATGCTTTACACAATACTTAAGATAGTTTGAAATAGAAATTAGAATAATTCAAATTATAAGCTTCAACTTAAATTCATTAAAGAGTTGGTGAAAAGAAGGAAACTATTAAATACATTAATACTATTACAATCTTTGAGAGTGAAAAAAACATGAGTATTGATGATTTGAATCCAAATATGGAAACTTCAATAAATGTTAGAAGTTAACATATAAAACCTTGCAAGAATATCAAAGAGTTATTTGGATTAAATTTATGCGTAAGTTAAGTATCATTAACATAAATTGAAGACTTACCTGAAAATGATATTTAATTATTTCAAAGTAAACAAATTGATCCTGATCTCTTAGATTAGCTCTCATAATTTGAATAATGAAATGATTATATTTTTATAAGTCACTAAATTAATAATATATATTGTTAAGATTAATATGAAAAGCTCAAGAAAAGAGACTTAAAAGATGAAAGCCTTTAATATTCTTCATCTTGAACATGTAGCCAATCGAATAGATTAATTACTCAATCCTACTTCTAGAGAATAATTCACTTAAGTGAGATAAATCAAACCAGGAATCAAATTTGTTATTAACAATAAATTGACGCCTTATAAGTAAAGATAATCAGTTTTTGAATAAATTTAATCTTCCAGATCTAGCATTATTCAAACTTAAGACAGATAAAGAAGGTAGCATAATAACTCTTCAAAAAGTTCATCTTTTTTGGAAAAAAAAATAAATTAATTAAAAAAAGAGCTTGGCAATTTATAAAAAGCTAGACTATTTGAAAAAAATAAACCTATTCATTCTGTTCATAAAATGGCTCTCTATAATAATTTATAAGAGATTCAGGATCAAAAATTGCTAATAATAGACAAGAAACCATAATCAGCTAGGAAAGTTATTGATAAATCTATAGAGGAGTTGAATGGTCCTTTGAAAAAGAAGCCACAATAACATATGTTTTTATAAAATATTGTTATCGAAAATTCATCAAATCAATTAGAACCATCTGTTATTTGTATACCAACACCAGAAATAAAAGCAAAGGTGAAATTGATTCCTACTCATTAAAGAAGTGTTAGTTAAGGTTTGATAACCCAATAAAAGAGACCTGTAAAGATATGGAACAATGATCTTATTGAATTTAAAGGTTGGGATGTAGAAGAAGAAGATGATTACTTAAGATTAGGATGAATTTTAATATTATTTTTTTTAAATAATGTCATACGACACAGCACTTACAGTATTTTCTCCAGATGGTTAATTATTTTAAGTAGAATATGCAATGGAAGCTGTAAAAAGGGGTCTCTGTTGTGTTGGTGTAAGAGGAAAAGATGTTATAATATTGGGAGTGGAAAAGAAAGCTACATCAAAATTGTAAGATGTTAAAACAATAAAGNTAAATGTTAGAAGTTAACATATAAAACCTTGCAAGAATATCAAAGAGTTATTTGGATTAAATTTATGCGTAAGTTAAGTATCATTAACATAAATTGAAGACTTACCTGAAAATGATATTTAATTATTTCAAAGTAAACAAATTGATCCTGATCTCTTAGATTAGCTCTCATAATTTGAATAATGAAATGATTATATTTTTATAAGTCACTAAATTAATAATATATATTGTTAAGATTAATATGAAAAGCTCAAGAAAAGAGACTTAAAAGATGAAAGCCTTTAATATTCTTCATCTTGAACATGTAGCCAATCGAATAGATTAATTACTCAATCCTACTTCTAGAGAATAATTCACTTAAGTGAGATAAATCAAACCAGGAATCAAATTTGTTATTAACAATAAATTGACGCCTTATAAGTAAAGATAATCAGTTTTTGAATAAATTTAATCTTCCAGATCTAGCATTATTCAAACTTAAGACAGATAAAGAAGGTAGCATAATAACTCTTCAAAAAGTTCATCTTTTTTGGAAAAAAAAATAAATTAATTAAAAAAAGAGCTTGGCAATTTATAAAAAGCTAGACTATTTGAAAAAAATAAACCTATTCATTCTGTTCATAAAATGGCTCTCTATAATAATTTATAAGAGATTCAGGATCAAAAATTGCTAATAATAGACAAGAAACCATAATCAGCTAGGAAAGTTATTGATAAATCTATAGAGGAGTTGAATGGTCCTTTGAAAAAGAAGCCACAATAACATATGTTTTTATAAAATATTGTTATCGAAAATTCATCAAATCAATTAGAACCATCTGTTATTTGTATACCAACACCAGAAATAAAAGCAAAGGTGAAATTGATTCCTACTCATTAAAGAAGTGTTAGTTAAGGTTTGATAACCCAATAAAAGAGACCTGTAAAGATATGGAACAATGATCTTATTGAATTTAAAGGTTGGGATGTAGAAGAAGAAGATGATTACTTAAGATTAGGATGAATTTTAATATTATTTTTTTTAAATAATGTCATACGACACAGCACTTACAGTATTTTCTCCAGATGGTTAATTATTTTAAGTAGAATATGCAATGGAAGCTGTAAAAAGGGGTCTCTGTTGTGTTGGTGTAAGAGGAAAAGATGTTATAATATTGGGAGTGGAAAAGAAAGCTACATCAAAATTGTAAGATGTTAAAACAATAAAGAAAGTATATTAATTGGGTAAATTATTCATTTAAATATTTATAGATAACAATCTCTGCATGACCTTTTCTGGATTAAATGCAGATGCAAGAATTTTAGCAAATCAAACTAGATTATAATGTTAACAATACAAGATTTATTATGAAGATGATCCTTCAGTTGATTATATTGCTAAATTTACTAGTTAGCAATAACAAAAATTTACATAAAGAGGAGGTGCTAGACCTTATGGAATTTCAACTCTTATTGCAGGATTCACTAATGGTAAACCTAAACTATTTTAAACTGATCCTTCAGGAGCTTGCTCGGAATGGAAAGCTACTTCTTTAGGAAAGAGTGCCAAATAAGTTAAAGATTTCTTAGAAAAACATTGGAGAGAAGGATTACAAGAGAAAGATGCTCTTTTACTTACTACCAAAGTATTTTTTTATTTTATTTTAGGCTTTAATGGATGTAGTTGAGAGTGGCAATAAAAATATAGAATTATGTGTTATTAGAAAGAATGAGTGTTGGTTTTTGAATGAAAATGAAGTTGAAGAGTTAACAAAAATTACAGCTCAATTATAATGAATTGATATCATCAAGTTATTTTGAGAACAAAATTCATTTTTTTACTTTTTTATCGTTTCTTCAAACTTTTTTTAAATTACGATTAAAAATAAAATTTTCACTAAAAATTCTTTTATACAGAATCAAACAATTGAGTTTCATTTAAATTGTATATGAATGAATAACAAATTTCTTTCAAAATTTACATTGAAATGTTCCAATATATTTTTATAATGTGTACTGAATCTATGAATATATTTATATAATAAGAAGATAATTTTCATTAATTGTTTAATAAGTAATATTATAATTAATGAAATAAGAATCTTGGGATGATTTGCATCTTGCTAATGAAAAATCAATAACAAAGATTTTAGAGCCAGGTGAGTAAGTTTTATTTTCAAGTTTGCTGTATAAATTTAATGAGGTGAATAAAAGATAAGAAAGAACGATTCTTATAACAACTCATAATCTATATAATTTATCGAAATTGACTGTAAAGAGAAAAATCCCAATCAAAAGAGTTTATGGGATAACAATAGGTTTGATTGGAACAGAATTTGTAGTGCATGTTCCTGAAGAATATGATTATCGATATTCAAGTTCAGAAAGGAGAGATTTTGCAGTTCTGTGCATAATAAAGGCTTATTGTCAATAACACAAAGGAGCAGCACTTCCGGTATTTTATAAAGATGAACTTACTCTTACTGCCTATACAACAACAAAAGTAGATAAAAAAAAGGGAATCAATAGGTTACCAACAACAGGATCAGAATTAATGAATGAAGATTAATTTAGAAAAAGATTAGATTCTTAAACAGAGGAACGATTATAAACAAGAGCAAAGACATCAACTCTTTATGCAAAATAGAAAGGTGAAGTAGTCACAATAGATGATTTTGATTTAATTAAAGTATTAGGTAGAGGAGCATATGGTAAAGTTATGTTAGTTGAAAAAAAGAGTGATAAATAATATTATGCACTAAAATCTATTCGAAAAGAAGATGTTGCAGATCCTGAATAATTAGAACATACTAAAACTGAAAGATTAGTTTTAGCACATGTAAATCATCCATTTTTAGTCTCTTTGCATTGGGCATTTTAAACACCTGAAAAATTATTCTTTGTTACTTAATTTATGAAAGGTGGAGAATTGTTCTAACATCTTAAACATGTTAAAAGATTTGAAGAGAATAGAACTAAATTTTATGTTTCGGAAATTGTATATTATAATTTATTATTTTTTATAGATTTTGGCATTAGAACATTTACATACAAAGAATATAATATATAGAGATTTAAAACCAGAAAATGTATTATTAGATGATTAGGGTCATATCTGTTTAACTGATTTTGGTATGGCTAAGATGTTAAAATAAAATGAATTAGCTAAATCATTTTGTGGTACACCTGAGTATTTAGCACCAGAAATTCTTCTTGAAATTGGTCATTCTATGGCAGCTGATTGGTGGGCTTTAGGTATACTCACTTATGAAATGCTATATGCACTTCCTCCATTTTATAATAAGAATTAAGATCTTATGTTTAAATAAATTTAAACTAAAGATATAAATTTTCCTACTACTCCTTAAATTTCTAATGATGCAAAAGATTTCATCTAAAAAGTAAGGTTATATATAAATTTTTTTAGTTAACTATTAAAGATCCAAAACTTAGATTAGGATACAATAAAACTGATGATGTCAAAAATCATCCATGGTTAAAGGGTGTTAATTGGGATAAACTATTAAAGAAAGAAATTGAAACTCCTTTTAAACCATAAATTTAAGGAGAGGCATGGCTCGAAAATTTTGATAAATAGTTTACAGCAGAAGAAGCTATTAATTCATATGCACCTGAAAATAATTTAGTCAATTAGGATGAATTCAGAGAGTTCGACTATTATTAAAAATGAAATATATATCAAGTAGAATTGAATCATTAATTAATTATAAATTAGTGTTATAACAAATGCATAGCAGTTGGTCTTTATTTATGATCCCTTTATAAACAAATCTTTATAAACTATTAAAGATCTTGATCCAAATCTTCAGGTATATGAGGTAGTGCATTATCTGTGATTATATATAATAGAGCACTCAAAGCATTATCGAAATTGTGTTCATGCCATGGTTTTTTCCCTGTAGCCATTTCTAAAACAGTACATCCAAATGACCAAATATCACTAGCTCTACAATTCTCATCTTAACTAGCAACCTGAAAATCATATATAATATTACTTCTGGAGCCATGTACGGAATACTTCCTTTGAGAGAATGTAAGATGTCTCCACTTTATTTTGAACGTTAAATAGTTTTTTCTTTAATCTTACTGCATCCGAAATCTCCTAATTTAATTTCTCCATCAACACCTAATAATAAGTTGGCTCCTTTGATATCTCTATGAATGATATTATTCTCATGTAAATAAGCAATAGCTTGCAATATTTATTTAGAATATTAACGAATTGTATTAATTTAAAGTGGTCCAAACTTTTCAGTTAATTAAGTTAAGGTACCTATAATAATATAGTAGAATACCTTATGACAAATACTCTAAATATAATAACCAATAATCTTCATTTTCTGAATTCCAAACATAACGGATGATATTTTAATGTTTGATACTTTTGAGTAAATTTATTTCACTTTTTAATCCTTCTAAATCCTCTTAATCAAAGTCTCCTTTAAGATTAATTTTTTTGACAGCATAAATTTTTCCAGTTCTATTCTCTTGTGCTATGTATACTTATCCAAAAGAGCCAGCACCAATCATTTCACCTTCAGTAAATGTTGGAATTTAAGAGTTGAAATCAAACTATGAATTTGAGGAGGAATCTTAAACTTATTTATTAGAATTAGAAGATTCTAATACAAATTTTTAAGAGCTAGAAGATGAGTGATTCTTCATGGTTGTGAATCTATTCTCTATAACTTATTCATTTTAATAGAGCACTTCTTCCTTTATTAATGTATCATCATGAAAGTCTATGTCAAAGAGAATTGATACCATTAATAGGGAACTCAATCATTCTTATTGCAGGACTTTAAAATTTATTTATTATCTATTCTTATGGTTCCTAATTTGTTATTTATAATTTTGATTGGCGATTCTAGAGTTTACGAATGATAAGACCCTACCCTTTTTATTTTTTAGCTGATGGATAAGATTTCTACTTTTATGTATTATCTGTAACTGGTCGAGTATCTTCCTTTTTCTCAATAGATTTCTTTTTCACAGTTGAAATAGATCTAAAAGCCGGGGGAATTTAAGCTGTTTTAGTTGGATCAATTTTAACTCTTGGGGAAAGAAGTGGTGGTAAGCCTGTATTACTTGAAATCTTAGGTTTGCTTTTGGCTAGAACTCATAGTTTGTAAATTACTTTACATATCCCCTAACTTAGGGATGGAATTCATTATGTAATATTTAATATATTTTTATATTTTCCAATGATTGCTTCAATAATTTATAGTGGTTTCTGGGCTTATGTAGGTAAATTAATAGAATCCTCCTGCTTCATTGAAATATTTCTTAAACATGTCATCCTTTGCCAAAAGTGCTTCTTACTAAGGTTGATAAATGATGTTGTAAATACCTCACTCTATTCAATAACAAACCATAATAATAATGGATAGAATAACATCAAAGAATTCCAGAAAACAGATCCAATATGCCACCATTAACCATAATATCTAGATAAAATAAATAATGTACTTGTATTCCCAATTATCATAATTAGTGATTCCCTCCATTTAATAGGGACTATAATGAGGATGTCCCATACCTTAGGCAGTTTTAGCAACATTATCAGGTAAATAATATAATTTAAAGTGTATAGGAGGAGCAATCTCTTAAGGTGATCCTATATTTTATAATAATTGTATCATTACCTACTAAAGCTCTACTTGCTGGATCATGATGATAATATCGTGATTATTTTTGTAAAATTTGAGCATTCCTCAATAATCTCTTCATATTGTTTTATTAAAAGAAAATATTAATAATTTTATATCATTTCATTTATAAGTAACTCTAAGTTCCAAATCTTCTGAGTTCTAATCTCTGAATACTTAATGGACTGTTACTATAGTGAATTGTTTTACTCTTTGGTAAAACTTCATGGAATTTCAATTTTGATAATATTTATTACGTTCTTTACTTTGTTGAAAAATGAGCACTCTTTTCTTGTTCTTCTTTAGTTTATGTAGTCAATCTATATTGAGTTCTTGCTGTGCTTGGTTGTTATTGACTTAAACTTTAAGATATCTCACTGTTTTTCAATTATGAAGGAAATCTGAAAAACAATTTAAAATAAGAATCGCGATCTATATAGTTTTAAGATCCAATAGTTTTTTAATCAAAAAAAGTCTTGACTTAAGCATATGAACAATTTCTATCCTTAAATAATTTCTTAAATTATTCAAATGCCTTTTTCTCTTACTTCTTATAAAATTAATATTCCTTTATAATAAAATCTATAATACTACCATATCAGATTTCTCCTATTGAGGTTCTCTTCTCATCAAAGTACAATTATTTCTAACTTTAACTTTGAGCATAGGCTTAACAAATTAATCTATTCCTTCTTAACCATTAATTTATTTAAGTTTATCATCTGCCATCTCTTCATAGTATCTCATCTTATTCAATCTGAATTAATGTATTGACTATAACAATGATAGAAAAACTGATTATGTTTTTTCATCCCAAAACCTCCTATAACATTTAATTAATGAATTACTTTATTATGTCTTCTCTACTGATTCTTAATATTTAACCACACTAACTTCTACAAATTATTGAGCATTTCACTTTCTACCATCTTATTGTAAATATATTGAATAATTTTAAAATAAATGTCTTTCCATCATCCATTAAGAATGCTTCTTCACCAAAAAACTCTCCAGGTCCTAATACACATCTATTATTTAATTATTAATATTACATGCTATGAGTAGATGATATTCCTTTTAATCTATGAGAATCATTTAATGTATATGTTACTTCGAAATTACTTTCTAAATAACATAATAGATATCGTACCCTTCTCTCACTATATAAAAATTAGAGCAGTAATCATTCTATTTGATCACTGCTTAATTTAATGTTACTTAAATTGGTTCAAAATGATAACTGATTGTCTTTATTTCTCTAAATGACCATGATTATAAAAATGGGAACTAGAATTATGATAATATCTCTCATTATTACAGAACATAAAAACGATATTCGATCTTAGACTTTTTGTTATTCTTAAGCTCCCAATATTGCTTTAAAATGATGTTTCTCCATCACTGCTAACATACAATCTTCTTTTGCTATTATTGTTGCTGTTCGTTTAGCATTATCATTCAATAAAGCTAACTCTCCAAAACTATTTCCAGCTTTTAATACGTTCACTTCTTTCAATTCAAATCTATTGAAATCATCAGGACTTGGCAATAAAATGAAAACTCCCACAGATCCTTTAAGAATTATATAGAATAGTGATCCTGAATCTCCAACATGAAACAATATCTTAAAATTATAAATTTATATTTACTTCTTCTTTTTTTACAGTCTTGTAACTTAAAACTGACATACATCTCATAACTATATCAGGATTCTGAGATTGAAGATTCTTAAAAAATGTAATAGCCTCTACTAATTATAAGAGATGGGTTAAATCACTTTATGTTCTTCTAGATGGAGCTATCTATATAAGTGAAAATTAATATTTTCTACTTGTAAAGTCTTAACACATAAATTTATTAACGAAGCTTTCTCATCAAAATTAGAGAAAGAAGTCATAAGAATAAAGAGTAAATTTAAAATAATTTATAAAAATAAATAACATTTTATTTAGAATCATTTTCGGATAAAACTTTTTATTGTTTAGAATGCTCTAGCATTATTTCTATATTAAGGTAACAATTATTGACAAAGAGTACTATTGAGATCAGCTCCTAAAGGTGGTTTCCTTGTTGTTCTTCTTTCTGGACTTTAATTGTAAACATAATTTTAATGTATCTAAATAGGTTTGATGAGAGAATCTAAAATTAATTTTATATATATATCTATATACCATTTTAATCTAAACAAAATGGAGACTTTATTTCTGGAAGCATCCAATTTTAATTTTTGCATCCTTTCTAAGGACTAAAGTTTTCTTATTATAATTTAGACTTTTCTTTCTATTTAAATTAAGAAGAGCCAATAACATTCTTGTCATTGTGTAATGATAAGTTTTTAGCTCGCGTTATTCTATAATTTGCATCAAACAAATTGAAATTTTCTGTATCAAACATACTTCTTATGTCTTATTCTTAAGGATCTCTGCTCTAAGTTCTTTAAGGACTTATCGAAATTGATTGCTTAACATTAATTTATGTCTTTTTAGTTGGACTCTAATTGCCAAACATTGTAATATTTTTATTTGCATAAGGAGTTTCCATTGTTTAAGTAAGCTATAAAAATTTCAATTTTCTAGCTTTATCCACAAGAGTTGTTATTTCCATAATTGGCAAAGACTTAGACTAAATAAATCTTTAATTTCTTTCTAAACTGGATAAAAAAAGTCTCTCTACATTTTCAAGCTTTGATTAATGATAAACAATTAGATTTGAACAGTATTATCTAAATTAATAGTTAAAGAATTACTTGTTCAAAAGCATGATATCATAAAGTTTCCAAAAATCAATATCATAAAATTAAAACAATGATCGATTTTATTAACTATTCAATTACCATGGGGGAATTGATCTTTTCATCTATATTTATGGACTGTCTTCATTTTATTAAAATGATTGCATTTCACATCTTTTCTGAACTTTACTTAGTATAACAGCAAAATTCTATGCTTTTTAATTTAGAATATCTCTTATGCTCAAAACATAATTTATAGCATTTTAATTCTTGCATTTCTCAAGTAATTCTGATACTCTAATTTAAAAACGGAGGAACAATCTGCTTGTTTAAAATAATAACTAAAACTTTTTATCATGATCTTGTAGTTAATAGTATTTGTATTTATCAACTAGTTGAAGTATTGTTGTTTCTAAATCATTCTCTTTTTGATCAATAAATAATTAGATTCCTCTAAAGATAACATCCAAATCATCTGGATTAACTTCATTCAATTTATTTATTTCCATTTTATATGAAATAAAAACTTTATAAATGGTTCACTCTTGACGACATACAACAAGGTCATATTACTATTTATCTCTAATTGTATTAACAATAACCAAAAGAATTTGGAGAGTGGTAATAAATTACAGGTATCGATCTCTTAACAAAAAATAAGAAACAAATCGAATTATCATATCATTAACCAATTGTTAATAATTCAATATATTCAATCATGGGAGTTGCATATTATGATGAAAAAGATAATTGTTTTAAAATCACCATCGAACATTTAAATGAATTATATGACTTTAACTCAGAATTGCATCAATATACATATGAATAAATTTAAAAATTAACTAAATAACAATGAATAAATATTATCTTGTAAATTACTTAAATATGATTAAATAAGAAAAATCATCCTTAATTCATTCAAACATCCTTCTTTAAATTGTTTAAATTCTTATATATTTATTTTTATAAAACTAAGTTAATTTTTAATCAAATAAATAAATAACATTTCAAAATATCTATTTTTCATACATAATATATAATCCTAACTTATTTTAGTTTTTTTAAAAACAACATATCTAAGTTCAATAAAATTCCATCAATTTTAAAATGAATCAGCAGATCTAATTTATTATATGAAAAAAATTAAGGTGTATATTTATTTTTTCATAAATACGAGATCGATATTATTGAATAATAAAATTATTAATTATTATAATTTATTTATTAAAAAAAATTAGAGTCTCATTTAGAAGATATAGAAATGATAAAATAAATAATAATATATTTTTAATTTTGACATTCTCAGACTGAGCCAAAAAATTAAATTTCACAGTGTAGATAAGAAATGATTGAAATTAAATTAAATATCGAAAGCTATAATCCACAAAATGAAATAAGAGATAGAAGAAGTATAAAAAATACATAAAAGTCTAAAGAGAAGTAAGATATAGTTTCAAGTGTATAGAAAAAGGTTATTTATAAAGATTCAAATAGATCGAATACTTAAAGACTATTTCATTTGAAAGATCTAATTTCGTGATTTAAATTAAGATTTAAAAATATGTTAGAAATAGATTATTTAATCAATCGATAGTAAAAATAGATAAAAAAGTATAAAAATAAGAAATAATGGAAGTAAATTGATACATTTTTCTAGCATCATATATTAAATTCAATAATAATTTAAATTTTGAATATAACCTTTATTCATTTCTTACCTTTTGTAGCAGTTTTCATCCTCTGGTTTTACACCAACACCTAGTAGAGCATCTTTAAATTTTTAGTATTCATTCTCAAAGTTTGCTGTTTCATCTAACACTTTGGTCTATGAAAGAATAATATAAATATTGATACATCTCCAGATTATTTGTTTTCTTTAACATGTTATGCTTGAATTTCTCTTTCAATTTATTATTTAGCTTATGATTCTCTGACTTTGAATCTATCAGAATAGTAATTTACTCTTTTAACTTCTCTTTCCCAGAATAACCTCATAGCTTTGACTTCAATTCCTAAATCTTTACACAAAATTCAAGTCGATGTAAGGTACCATCAGAATCTCCAACAGCAACAATATGAGCCATATTATCATTGAATTTTAATGATGTAATAGCACATGCAACTACTTAAAATTATAAAGTCCATTTATGCGATTAATCAAGCATATCCCAAACATCTAAATTACCATCAGTTTTTCCAATAATAATAACACCAGCACGATAAGGAGAGAATCCACCACATGTAATTTGGGCTTATTTCATGATTAGACTTTCAAAGATAGGAAAAATGACATTATGTTTCCAAACACAGAAATTGAAATCAAATAATGTTAGTATAACATCTTCAAAAATGGACTTACATCCAAAGCAATAGGTGGTCTCATACTTCTTTATTATTACCAAATTGAGGAAACTAATTAATTTTTTTACCCTTCTTCTCCTTATTTTTCTCCCCAATCTAGAATAAATACTTCACCTTCATCTGATGTTCCTGATAAAGTAGGTTTTTTTTTAATCTATTAGAATAAAATTAGAAATATTACTTTTTCTAAATTAAATTTATCCTCCACCCATCATTCCTTCTGTTCGATACAATTATATTACATAAGTAGCTTTCCAAAATAATTGTTTAAATCTCTGAGAAGTTCAATAATTATGATTCATACATCTTATTATGTTTTCTTACTATCTTTATCAATCAATCTACTATCCCAAAATCAAATTTATCCATCTGAACTAATACTAGCAAATTAATATGTTTCTTAAGAAGATGTAAGTATAAGATGATTAAAATGTTTCTTATCAAAATCCACTCCAATAGGAAACCATTTCACAGCTAAAACAGAATTCTTATGAGATGCAACTTGTTTTCTTAAAACTTCATTTGAAGAACCTGCTTAATAAGAAGCAGGATCTTATAAAGCTGAAACCATTTTAGGTTGAAGTTCTTATATTTCATCTGAAAAATAGTGAGAATTGTATAAAGACTTCTTTCTTATTTAGTTTTTTAAGTTTTATAGAAGCAAAGACAGAAAGAGCTGTACATAACATTACTTAACCATTAATAGTACCACCTACTATAATATTAGGATCTTTTGGATTAAATTCAAAAGAAAGTATCTCAAGTGGAGATTATAATAGAAGAACTGGTTCTATAGAATGGATATCTTCAAAATCCCAAAATACTTTATGAGATTTAAGTTAATAGATAGCTCTCTCTTCAAAGAGGAGATTTTCTACAAAAGATTCTGCAACAATATATTTAGATTTAATAGCTTAACTAGTTGGTTAGAATTGAATGCATTATATCTTTTTAGCTTTACAATTTAAGTAACTGAAACTTTTCATTTCTATAATTACATTAGTAATTTCAGTATTTTAATCTATAATAAAATATTTGACTATAATACCTCCATTTTATTCTGATAGTGATAACACATTGAAATCATCTTAATATATATCAATAGTTTCATTTGATTATATTGCTTCTTCCATAATTGGATAAACTGTTACTAAAAATTTACGCAATTAAAAATCTTCATCTGATAATTATTGTTATCTCTCGTCTCCTTCATCAACTTGTAAAGCCTTATTAATTTTTCTATTCCAGACTGTCTAAGAACTTGCGTCTTAAAATGGATTGCATCCTTAAATGCCCATTTCAATAACCTTATTTTTAAGAAGTTAAAGAGGATCCTTATCTAAGGCTTTGATCTCACCTGTTCTTTCTGAAGTCTCTTAATCACTAAATTTGAATGTCAAACTAAATTTTTATTTAACAAACTTACCCAAATTCTTTTCTCTTTTTAATAAATTACATCTTAATGAATAGTCTATCTTTTAATGTAAAAGACTAGATTTCCTTGTTTAGTCAATAAATTTTTCAATTTAGCTAAATTGTTTCATCTTCATGATCTGTCTTAAATGGTCTAGGTTCAAGGGGCTTCTATTCTACAAAATCTTCATCTTCTGAAAAATCTTATTTTGAATATAGAATTTATATTCATATCTTCCTACTCATCAGATTCATGTTTGCTCATTTAATAATATGAATATTAAAAAAATTAGTGGGATTGCATAATCATTAATTTTGATTGCATACTTAAGTATAAACCCCACTCATTATTAACTTGTATTGACATCTACAGGAGTCCTGATGTAAATACTTGTTTTGAAATGGAAGAAACATGAAGACATTATTACTGAAATATCTTAAATATTGCTAACAGTACCAATGGGGATCATTTTAAAAGATGTTTGTAGCACATTAATTGTATCTTTACAACTTATACATATGAAACCATCTAAATTTCTATTACTTAAATTTTCTTATGTAATCATTTTCGGAATCATTATACATGGTCAAGTCTCAGATATTATTTTGATATGCTTGTCTTTCCTTACATTTACACTTGATGTTAAATTAGATTAACCTTAATTTTCATATTCACCATGCTAACTCTCATCCAAAAAATTAAGAGAAGAGAATGAACTTGATAAAACAGATAAATCTGATAAAATACATTTACAATCTATAGCTTATAGTGATAATTAAGCTGGACATAGAACTAGTGCTAAGTGTATATTGATTTTCATTTTATTTTAGATTAATTTCTCTAAATTCTTGATGAATTTCCTGATGGTGTGGCTCTAATCATTTTTGATGAAAATCGATTACCATAAGTTGATTTCTGCAATTAAACCATGATGAATCTATTAAATACAACATAATAAGATTTATTGAGTTCTTTGATGTCTCTCAAAAATCTACATATTATGAAAAGAAATCAATAAACTTAAGATCTAGCAACCTCAATCTCAACATATAAAAGTATGTATTCACCAGAAAAGAATAAAATTGGAATTGTTAGATCTATGTATAGAGCTTCAACTACTGTTCAGAATCATAAAAATGAATAGTTCATTAATACAAAATTAAAATTCTCAAAAAATGTAAACTTTTCACTTACGATAGCCTTTTAAAATGGCCCTAGAATAAGCTATTCTCTAAATCCATTCACAAGAGGTACAGTCACTTTTAACAAAAACATAAATTGGTTTTGATCTGCATACTATTTTGAATGGATACACAACATCATAATCAAAAAAAGATATTTGCATTGAAATCAAATTGTTTATCTCCTACCTCAATGATTAACCATAATTATTAATCCTAACAAGAGATGTTTCATATAAAGATTACATTAAGTCCATTAATCAACATAGTAAAGCTAAATCAAATACTTTAAATTTTGTTTCTCATGAAATTAGAACTCCAATTAGATGTATCATTTAGTTGTTGGAAGAAATAGAATAAAAAAATGATACCATCAAAAATGTACTTTGGAATTGTTATTATTTATTAAATTTTAGTCATGATTTGCTAGATCTAGCTTAAATCAAAGTGGGTAAATTTAAATTATAAAAAATTAACTTCAATTTAGAATAATTGATTTTACAATTATTTGATTTATTTAGGGTAGAAGCAAAAAAAAAACAAATTGCTTTAAAATTAGAATATGATGAAGAAGCTCCAAAATAAATATGTAATGATGATGTTAGAATAAAATAAGTGTTAATAAATTTAATTGGAAATGCATTTAAATTCACTTTTGAAGGCAGTATTACAGTAAGTGTTGTAAATCAAAAAGATGGTACTTTAGCAATTAAAATAAGTGACACTGGTTTAGGAATAAGAGAAGAAGATAGAAAGAAATTAATAAAAGCATTTGGTAGATTAGAAGACGATGAAACTAAATAATTTAATAGATCTGGTGTTGGATTAGGGTTACTGATTAGTAATATGATCTGCAAATCTCTATCTAAAAAAGATTCTGGTATCAAAATTGAATCAGAATTATATAAAGGCAGTTCTTTTTCATTTGAAATAGATTATGAAACTGAATTTGATACTGTGATTATTTGTGGTAATGAGAGCAATAATGATGAAGAAAATTAAATGGAAAATGAAGCATAACCAAGAATCCAACGTATTTATTCAAATCAACCTTTTCGATAGAGAGAATTACTCATTATAGATGATAATCAATTTAATATTGATATTTTGATTAAATTATTTAATCAAAAGGGAATCACTCGTATTGATTATGCTATAAATTGTTAACATGCATTAAAAATTTTAGATGAAAAAATAAGAAATCATATATATTATAGAGTTATTCTCTTAGATATTGAAATGCCAATTATTGATGGTTTTGGCACTGCTAAAATGATAAAACAATAAGTTAATGACACTATGGCAACTATGCCTATTCTTATTGCTGTAAGTGGACATGGAATGCATATGAAACAAAAAGCTTTAAATAATGGATTTGTGGATTATTACGAAAAACCATTAAAAATTTATGACATTGAAGAGATCATCACTCGTTATCTACAATGATTTAATTTTTTATAAAAATACTAATTTAAATTAAAATTATCGTTAAGATGTTTGCTTGTTGTGGAAAAAAGAAGAAAGATCGGAAGCATGTTTCTTTAGGGAATCTTCATTAGTTAAATTTAATTTGTTAAGATGGACTATACTTTGATAAGAATCTTAAAATACTTACAGAATTCAATAAAACCAATGTATTCCAAATTTATTTAATTGTGTATAGTTTAGTGATACCTAAAGAGGAAATTGCAAATATTATTGTCCAATATGTTTTAAATATTATGACTGTATGATCCAAACATATTTTCAATAGGTATGTTAAATACAACATGCTGTTCCAATTATGTCTGTCATATTTGTGCAGTTTAATCTCTAGCAAACAAAATGTACAATTGTCATTATTGTCGAAAAGAGCAATGTAAATATGTAGATGTTGATCCTACACATTAGTTAAAAATATACATAGATTCACATACTAAAATATGAAATTTATATTAATTAATATATACAAATGTAAAAAGTTGATTACATCTTTAAGATTGTACTCATTGGATCATAGAATGTAGGCAAATCTTCAATTATGGCCAGATTTATTGATCAAGTTTTTAATGATAGTTACCTTTCCACAGTTGGAGTTGATTTCAGAATTAAAACACTTTCCATATAAGATAAAACGTAAATAAAAACCTACGCTTATTAGAATTAAAATGCAGATTTGGGACACTGCTGGATAGGAACGATTTTAGGCTTTAACATAATCTCATTACAAAGGAGCTCATGGTTGCATTGCTGTATATGATGTTACAAGTGAAAGGTAATACTCCAAAATCATATTACTTAATAGATCATTTGAAGATGCTAAAAAATTCTTAAAGTTAGTAATTGAAGAACATGGTTTGATTCCTGAAGCATGCTATTTAATTGCCAATAAAGTTGATTTAATCAATAAAAGAGTGGTATTTAAATTCTAATTATTCTAGATTCTTGTCAAGAGTGGAAGTGATTTTGCATAAGATTTAGGAGTTAATTATTTAGAAACTTCTGCCAAAACAGGAGATAATGTAAATTAATTATTTTTGGAATTGGGCAAAATTATCTTAAATTTAGTGGATCAGAAACGCACAAATGCCTAACCGCCGGAAAATGATACGAAATTAAGAACATTGGATACATAAAAAATAGAATAGGAACAAAGTTGTAAGTGCTGAAATCTATATGTTTAAAATCAATAGAATTTATTAGTTATTTTCTTATATAAAAAAATTGATCCAATCTATATACTTTATTATATTTTTAGCATTATCCAAGTAATATTTTATTGATATACTACATAATTTATATACTGCCAATTTTTATATAAAAGATAATTGCTTAGCTTAAATAAATTTAATATACCATAATTAAGTTTTAATTATGATATCAAAAAGCAGAGTGTTATTAACTTTAAGTAAGCCATAAATAACTTACTCGTTCTCCTTAAGTATAAAATTGATCGTATAAAGTTAATAAGCTTAGAAATTAAGTTTTTAAAGGATCGATATATAGAGCCATTGGTATTTTAGCAGGAATTTAAGTAAGTGCAACATTTATTTCACATTATTTTGTTGATAAATAAGTGATTTTCCCTGTTGAAGATTATTTATAAAACGATAGGATTAAGGAAAATCAACATTACTCAATAGCTGGAATAATAAAACCTGGATCTATAGAAATAAAAAGAGGTACTTTGGATGTGAAGTTCATTCTTACAAATTTTGAAGATGATATTTCTGTTATCTATAGGGGGGAAACTAAATATGAATTTAAAGAAGGAGAAACAATAGTTATTACTGCATATACTCCTGATTTAAAAAATAAAAAAAGAATAATAGGTCTTGATTATTAGACTAAACATTCAATGGATGGATATATGTGGGAAGATAAAGTGGGAGTCAATCGTAATAATTATGGACTCAATTCTAAATTATAATCTTAATTATGAAACAATATTCATTTATTTAAGTATTTGTTACTATTATCTTCTAATCCTCTTTTTTTTGATTTATTTTTGATATTATTATTAGGTTGATTATTATTTGATTTTAATTCTTCGATCTCTTATTTTAAAGTTTGTATTAATTACTTTTATTATTATCTAATAAATTCACTTTTTTCAAAATTTTCTTATAATCTTTATTATTCTTATTCTATTTGGCTTTATTTTTCATTTTATTATAAAGCTTTCTTTAATTTTTTATTTAACTAATCTATTTATGATTACATTTATTAATTTTTTTATTTTTCCTTGATTAATTAAGCTCTATCATCTTCCCATTATTTTCTTAATTGAGAGACCTTGATTTGTAATGATTAAACATCTTATTATTAACTGCTGATGCCTCTTTATAAAGAAGTTTGAGATTTTTCTTTACTTTTTGATTTGGCTTGACTTAAAGATTTCCTTTAAGCTTTAGAATGTGATAATTTATTTTCTGCACTTTCAATATTCTTTTCTAATTATTAGAATTTATTCTTTCTTTCCTCATGAAAAGAAGATTTATTAAGTGTTTTGGTTGAATGTTCTTACTCTGTAAATTTAATCTGTTTTTTATGTGATGATTAAATATGATTATATTTATTCTTTAAAGGTGTTTCTTCATCTGAATCTTTAGCATCTTATTGCTATACTAATAGATTTGGTTAGATTTGTTTTTCAATATTTTTTTGAATTCTTGCTTCAATATTAACAATTTTATCTTATATTTCATTAAGGTCACCATTAGTAGTTCGTTTAGTTAAAGTTGTAGGATTATTACTTAATGCTCTGATACTAGATTATTAAATTGATTCCTATTCAAAATAAGTTGATGGCTATGTTTTTTGAAGATAACTTGGAACATTATTAAATTTAAGCATATCAAGTTCCTTGTCTAAGAGAGTATTGAGAAAACTTAGTTTCTCTTATGGAATAGGACTTTGATTTTATTGCATTTGAAAATTTAAAATATATTACAGTTGTCATTTCATTATAGGTTCAATTAGAATTCCTAATAATCAATTTTTGGAACCATATCAATGACAGCTTCTAATAATCCATTTGGCAATATTCCTCCAGGTCTCCAATATTAATTAGCACCAACTTCATTTCCAGTAGGCATTCTAACACCGAATTTCTCAGGAAATGGTACATCTATTCTACTCAACCTTCTAAATTACCATCCTCCTGGTGTAACTCCAAGATTTCTCTCCACAATAGATAAATTTCCATTTGCTGTTTTTAATAATTAATCCATTTATGATTTTGGTATTACAAATATTCCATTTTTATTTCCTATGAATTCTCTACCATTATTATCTAACCATGCTGTTGTTATTATAAATGATGCTCCATATCTAAAATACTTCAAATGTTAATCAATATATTCCTAATTCATATACTCTTAAGGTTATGGTCTATTTCCTTTAGGATTTGCTACAACCAATTCTTCTGTCCAACCTGAATGATAAATTAAACGAATCTTTTCTTTATTTCTGGGAGGATCCTTTTCATCAACTTCATAACAAGAGTCCTTTTTAGATTTATCCCAAAAATACTTGTTGTGCATTTGCCACTATAAGCATTGCAATCAATAACCATATTGTTTTCATATATAAAACGAATAATTATAAATTATATAATTTTCTATTTAATTACATTGTGGTTTCCTATGATAAAATACTTTTGTTATTTTCATATACTCACCTATTCAAAAGATAAATATCATTAATCAAATTAAACTAAGATTAAAATTATTTCTAGATTTTAAGATATTTAAAATATCACTTAGTTTTTATTATTTAAATTATAAAAAATTTCTTTTAACTTCATCACTTGCAATCTTTTACTTTTAGGGTTCCATTTAATTTATGGTTATTCTTATTCTAATTATGCAGTATAAAAATTATCTGGCTGAGTTCCATTTTCTCTCATATTATTTACTGTGATAATATTTCATAAATGTATCATTTTCATTTTAGCTATAGAATTAATGACTATAACTTATATTTGTCCTTAGTAAAGGAAATTTTTTTTAGCTATACTAATCTATTGAAATAGCAATTTGTATTAATCTGTATTGTGAATCAAATAATATAAGGTTAAGGCTCGATGAGGGTAGGATTTTGGATTGCATTATATTCCTATTCTTTTCAGCAGAAATAATATCTTTTATCAATAATTACACGATCTGCTTTACTTTGACAAAACAAATTAGCAGAAGAAACAGGATACTTTTTAATAATATCTGATTTTTAGAAGTCTTTTTGAATACAAAAATATTTTTAAATGGTTTACTAGTATGAATTAAACATATTAAATTTTTGAAAATGTCCTAAATATATGCATAAAGTATTTCAATCAAAAAGTTACTTCTAATAGAATAGATTGAAATTTTCGAAAGAAGCTTTAATTGTCATCAAAAAGTATTAATATTTAATTTTGCAGGATTTCTATATTCATTAGGTTATGGCATATCAGATTGAATCAACAATATTTGTTAGGAAAAAAATGGGAAGAAAAAAAGTAGAAATACCTAAAATATAAAGTTTGGATGGAATATGAGCATTAACTAAATATATTATATTAATTTTGAATTTTAAATTGAAAATTTTTGAATGATTTGACTGAAATTATACTTGATAAATTATTCATTTTAAATTAATAATAGAATATAGTATTATAGGAAGAGAGTGATAAATAAATTTAATATTTTATATTTTATAAAATCTCCTTTATATGTTCACAATTTATATGATACTACAGATCTTTGCAGCATCCAAAGAGATTTCTATTATCCCTAATGAATTCAATATTATTGATACCTTTCAAAATTTTGGAATTATTTTAGGAGCAAACATTACATATTTATCAGAAAATTCTCATTAATGTGACATAATCAAATAGAAATTAATTAATTCATAAATTAATGAAATACTTTTGGTTCCTAATGCTAAAGAACATTTTTTCGAGTCTTAATTTATTAATGGCTCTTTGAAGGAATAGATTAACTATAATTATATACTTTCTATGGTTCCAATTTAAATTGAAACAGTTGTTGCTGTTATCCTATTTAGTAATGGAAATCTAGCTTATATAAAGGAAGATAATAATAATTTTATTTTTGTAGATTCAAATTATTCAATATCAATTGATTAGACTTAATTAAAAATTCCTGTTTATATGTTTTATTTATCAAAAACTAAATAGATTCTAATAATACTACATAAAGAATTAATAAAAATATCTATAAACTTCAACAAATCAAATATTTTTGAAAGCAGTTTAAAATAGGATGATAGCAGATTCTTGACAACTTAAAATATATTATTTGTTGAAAATCTTCTTTTTATTGCTGGAGGCTAAGAATTGGCTATTTATTCTATTGATTTAGAAACTTTTGAAAAAGTGGATAATTCTAATTTAACTATGAATTTTATTGATATAAAAGTTTTCTTTGAAAATGGGATTTACAAAGTATTCTCTTTACATAGAAAATAAGGAGTAAAAATATTTACTTATGATCCAAATCTATAAGTATTTAATTAAACTTCACCTCTTCATAGAATTCCTTAATAAGGATATATACTTGGTGTTTATTATAATATTTTAATTATTGTTGATGATGAACAAAATCAATCTATTGTATATGAATTCCATTATTCATAAAAAGATGATCTATGGAATTTTTTTAATTTATATAAATCATAAAAAAAGATTAAAGATATTGAATTTACTGAGCATTACGCAATTTTAATTGGTTCAAATGGACATGAAATTATTTATCACTCCTTACCTACTGAAGATTATGAGATGAAGAATTAGGTTATTATTCCTGGATTAGAATCAATTTATTTCTTAAATAAAACAGGAAATTATAATCAATCATTGATAGGAATAACAAAATATACATTTTTTGCTTCTTAATTTTATCTTTCTCCTCAAAAAATTAGATGCCATAATATAAATACTTCTACTCCAATGCGATTCATCTATTATTAGAATTCTACTTAATGCTCAAAATTACTTCAAAAAGAAGAAAGAAAAATTTGCCTTTTTATTTAAAATTACACAGTTAATTACATTCATACAATTATCTCTTCAAAATACAAAATATAATTTGAAATCATTTTAGGAGTCTCCCTTATTATATTTATTATTCTTCTTATAATTAAAAAAAGCAGGAAGAATATTAAAAATACTTTTCATATTGAAGCAGCTTAATAGCCTGATATTCAAAGACATTAAAGTTCCATAGGAACTCCAATGATAAATGAAAAACAAAGTTTGTTCTCAAATTAAAATTAAGAAAGTAACATAAATGAAAAATCAGATAGTAACATAAATGAAAAATCAGATAGTAACATAAATGAAAAATCAGATAGTAACATAAATGAAAAATCAGAGAGTAACATAAATGAAAAATCAAATTTAAATAATGAAAGTAATTAATAATTAATTTCAAATGGATCTTCCTTGTTTCAATAAGAAATTGAAGAAAAACAAAATATATTACATCAATCAATAAAAATAGATCAAAATCCTAGTTGAAAATAATTTTATAATTTACAGAAAAATAATATTAAAAACAATAAGTTATACCCAATGTTCTTTATTTTTCTTTAACTTTTCATTTTAATCAATTGTGAATTGATTCAAATTTTAACTAGATAAGAAGCAATTTTAGATGTATTTAGTTAATCAGGCATCATTCTTGAATAATAACTAACAGAATAGCAATTTTGCAAAATCATTCAACAATAATTAGTAGCTAATAATATTGATGATAATTCTATAACTCTGATAGATAGTTATAGTGATGACAATTTTAGTTAGGATTTTGAATATGGTTCATACAAAGGAAAAATAGGAAAAATTATAAAATTTGTTTAAGTAAAACAAGGTATACTTGTATTAAGGGATGATGGTTTATTATATTATTTAAAAATTCAAGACGCAAAATTCAAATAGTAAGCAACTTTTAAATTAGATATTAATGTAGAATCTCTTTAAAATAATGTTTTTATTGAATATTTTAATGATTAAAATTCGATTTTAATAATAGGAAATGGAGAAACAATTTCATTGGATTTAGAAGTTAGTGATAAAGATGTAACTATTAAATAATACAAAATTTATGAATAATGGCAAATCTAACATATCAATAGTATTGCAACAGCTGGTAATCTCATCATTGCAGCAATGAATATTGGTATTAAAATGTTTGAATTTGCAAACCATTAATTAAGTGAAATATTTTTAGATACTTAAATGATGGGTAGAATTTAGGATATTAAGGTTTTCAAAGAAATAAACAATGATAACTACTTTATATATTTATTAGATGAATAATATGGAGTTAGTTAATATAATTATAATGTGGGAAGAACTGCTATATTATAATTTAATTCTCATATGGGTTAAATTCCTTATCCAGGAGAGATCTTAGATGTATATGGAGAAATATTGATGATAGTGAAAAATTAGACTTTATTTGAATTTCGTATCGATTACACTAAAAATAGTTATGAATTAATTAAACAACATGATTTAGAAACTGATATAATTGATATCTAATTAACTGATACTTTCGCAATTATCATAGGAAGAAATGGACATCAAATATTGTTTCATTCGATTCCGTCTATTTATTCTTAATTTGAATGGATGAATCAATTAGTGATACCAAATCTTAAACAACTAGATATTTTATCATTAAATTTAGATCTTCAAATAAATAAAAATCAAAATAAAACCACTCATAATACTATTGTTGGAATCACCTAACATAAGTTTTTCTTTTCAAAAGTTGAATTGGTATTAAATAGCCATATATATTGTAGTAATAATCATACATTGAATGCTATTCAGATACTATTACCTCTGAAATAGAACTCAAATATTAGCAATAATCTACATAGTGTAAGTCAAATCTAAAAAATAAAATATGCTAATTAAATAAGATTTATACAATTCAATTTGTAGATCCAAAAGCCTTTGGAGGTGGTAAAGAAACTTATCTTCTTATTTTAATTCTCTATCTCATTTCTATAGCATTCTTTTTAATCTTTTTAGGAACCCTTATAATTTTATATAAAAGATATCATCGAATTCCTCAAAGAATAGAGTTAGAAGATAAAGAAGAATAACCATATTCAAATACTGTTAGACATATTAAAATGGCTTCATCAAAAAAAATAATTTATTCATCAAAAGCTGATTAAAGTCCTGTGACTGGTCTTTAAGAATAAATTAATTAACAATTGAATAATAATAACAAACCGATTGCTTAAGAAAATTAAGACTTATCTCCTATGGTATCTGAAATGAGATGATTATGTAATTTAATTCTTAATTTATTGTATTAATTCTTTTTATTAACATTCCAATCACATTATAAGTATATATCAAAGTGATTAATAAGTCTGCATTATATATTGTACTTATATAATATATATCAATCTGTATGTTAGGATCCCTTGGTAGCACCAACACCTGGCTTTCCATGTCTTGTTGGCTTATATGTTAAAGAAAATTCACCCAAATATCTATATTACAGTTTTGCATTTATTATACCTGCCAATCATATCAAACTTAATTTCAACATTACTAAATTATCTGCCATTATATACTCCAACAATTGATCCAACCATTTCTGGGACTACAATTGTATTTCTTTAGTGTGTCTTAACAGGTTTTGGTTTTTCTCCAGGTAAGGTTTCTTTCTTTGATTTACGAATCTAAATATACTCAAATAAATTATTTTACTTTCTTCATTAAATTTTAGAAGGCATGAACTTTTTCACCTTAATTAGAAATTCTTCTTCTTTATCTTGCTCTGAATTATTCAACCAATTTATCCATTGGCAATTTAACAAGCTCTTCAAGTTATAATCCTCTATAGGTAAACTTCTTAACACCTTTGAATTATTTGTCTTATGTTTATTCAGCCATTATTTGAAAAATAAAAATAAAGATTTTAATATAATCGAAAAATAAATAAATATATATAAAACACAAACATCCATTATTATATTTCAATATTTATCAAGAATAATATTATCTTATTACTATAGATTCAATTTAAGATTTCATAAAGATTAGATAGTATGATCTTATAAAGGAATAAGATTTATACAATAATGCTATTTTCTAATCAATTTTGAGTATACATGATAACTTTATGAAATAAATAATAATCTAAATTCTATTTTTATTGATTAGAAACACCATTAAGTCTGATAATACCTTAATATTAAATAAAATACTGAACTTTATATTTTCATTATTTAATGATTTAGATTATGACAAATCATTATTATTATAATAATAATATCTATGTTAGTATCTCCATCAAGAAGATTAGTCAAGAGAGACACCAAATCTATGCGGCCTTCCGTGTTTTTGAATGATTTTGACATATCTTCATTGACTTAAATAATAACAGTAAAAAAAGATGGCAATCAGGCTTCAATTAAAACTATTGACACTCTAGGATCACAAACTTAAGTGAATGAAATATCAGAAAATGGAAGCTAAACCTTTTTACCTATAATAGAAGAGAAATCAAAAATTAGATTCATCAAATAAACTTCTAATCCAAAACAATCTATCACTTCAAGAAAAGTGATGATAACATAATCCGATTCTATATCCCCTATAACGAAATCAGATATACATCTACCATCAATCAATTCAATACCAACTTCTCCAACTAAGTTTTAAATTCCAAACCATCAAAGACATTTGACTAATGTTGAAGAATAACATAAAAAAGTGGAATTCAGAAAGTCTATTTAAGTAATTGATTTTATCAATAATATAATCACCAAAGATGTAATTGATGGTAGTGTGAAACCATTAAAAAAAAAATTTTAGAGGTAACAAACAAAAATGATAAGAAAGAATGAGGACAACAATCTACAATGTTGATTTTTTTAATCTAATCTATATTATACAAATCTAATAATATTTATTTTTTTCTTTATTTTGTGATATCAGTGAAACAATTTATTACCACATCTCAACTTATATTTAAAATAATCATTTATTTTTTAATTGAAAATAATTTTTTAATATTATTTCCTTATGATAAGTATAAGGCGATCGAATTATAACATTCATCTTTATATATTCAATTATTCGAAATAAAACTTACAATGGTTGCATTACAATATTGATTTTTAGAAAAGTTAATTTGAATTTAATATTAAATTCTAATTTTCTTTAATTGTAATGTATTTTTCTTAAAATTTATTTTATTAATTAAGATGTCTTCATAAATATAAGTTTGTTTAGACACGTTGGCTTTTGATTAAATTGAAGATATAGCCTTGATTAACGGATAAACTTCAATTTAGCTGAATGTATATACACCCTTTAGCTAATATTGTTTTGAAAGTATTACAATTGATAAAATCAGGCACTAAGCCAATTAAGGAATTTTATGATTATGTGTAACATATTCAAAAACATGGATTTATATTATTAAGCTTAGATAAAGCTTAAATTGATTTACTACAGTCTGTAAAGGATAAAAAGAAAACAATTATTGCAATTAATAAATTGATAAATGAGCTATTATATAGAAGAGATCTAATAACAAAATAAAGAGTAAAAAATTATATTATTTAGAGACCATTAATTTGCTGGGCTTGAATTAATAAATTGAAGTATATTCATAAAAGAAAACTTTGGTAATTTTTCATATATATAAAAGAATAGATTCCTAATATTATAATGGGTTTTAAAATTTCTGATTCTAATCTCACTGCATCGTAAATGATAATTGTTAATTAATATTTGATTGTAACTTTAGAAAATTAGAGTTAATTACAAAAATTTGGCAAAATCTGGAATTTGATTGAACCTGAAATAATGGGTTAATTGATGATATTTTTAATTGGAGAAACTACTCCTTTCCAAAGAATTTTTGAAAAATATTATAGTTTTAAACTATTTTGTGTGGAAAATAGTAAATTTTAAAATTATAATTAGTTAATGATAAGCTTATAGTAGGTACATGTTAAGGAACATTAATTATATACTCTATGACAGAACATTCCATCCAAGAAAAGGGAATTATTTAAGTTTTAACGTCTCCAATATACAGAATCAATAATTTTAATTAAGAAATTTATCTTGTTACAGATAGTTAAATTAAGATATTGGAATAGTAGAATTTTGAATTGATTGGAGGAGGAAGTCTCAAAAATAGATTATAAACATCTTGGATTACATGTTTGAATTTTGATAACAAAGAGAAGCTATTGTTTTTAGGTAAAAAAATAAAATAAATAAATAGGAACTTCTTAAGGATTTATTTTGGTTTATAAACGAACCGAAAAACTAGAATTTTTAAATTAAATTAATTTTAATGTTAATACTGCAATTAAATCTCTATAAATTATTGAAAATTACCTTTATCCATGCACTGAAAATGGAGTAGCTATTATACAAATGAAATATAAAGATAATTAATTTTAATACTAGGAAAAAACAGCATTTGCAAGTTAATTGAAATTGGTTGGGTTTCAAAAATCCTTAACTTCAGTTTTTGGATTTACATAATGTGGATTAATAGTTTAATGGAATCCAGAAAATGGTTAAATGGATTAAGCTTATAGAATAGATAAAAATTGTTTATATGGATTACACTATTAAAATTAAATATATATCGTTACAAGTGAATAAATGATTCATATAATTAATTTTTAATGATTTCATAATAATAAAAAACTAATATAATTTCAGCTATTATTTATTATTTATTGTCTTCAAACTATTCGATTTCATAATTCAGTAAGCCTGCCTTCATTAAGCAATTTATTAAATTTACTATGCTAATATTTAACTTATTAAAATACATGGCGTATTTTTTAGCAATAAAAATTGCTAAGATTAATTCAAATATTATAAAAAGTTAGAGGATTGTTTCATTCATGCTTTTTTGGATACATAAGAATGAAGCAATTTAGGATGTTTCTTTCACTAAATTGCAATCTAATTTTCAGTTTCTAGTAATTTAAAAATAACCTTAATAATAAAATATATTGAATTAATAATAATTTGATTTTTAAACTATTTAACTTATTTTATTTTCACATTTAAAAAAAAATTATTATTTATATAAATAAATCAATTTATGATTCTGTTTTTGGTTTGATAGATTGTTTTTGTAATCAAAAAAAGCTTTATTTGCATTTTTTTACCTTCAATTCTTCAATTTTATTTTCCTATAATTTACTAAAAAACTCCCATTCGCTTATTTGTTCATCTTTCTCATGAATAATCTTATTTAATTTCTACTTCTCTAACTTTAAATCATTTATAGTATTTTATAATCCATTTATCTAATATTTTAATTACTCAATTTTTGCTTAGGCATCCTTAATTTCTTTTTGCTAATTATATATAAAATTTTGTTTTTCATTTTATTAGTAGTGTAATTAATTCTTTAGTTATTATTATTAATCAAGAAAATAAGACTCTAATACCTTTCTTTCTTCCTATTAATTACTTAATTAATTTTTTAATTATTGTTATTCACTCTATTAATTAAGATATTTCTATTCCCATTACTGTTAATTTTTCTAAAACATTCTTTCGTTTTAACGCAACTTTTCCTACAATTAATCATTACTTTATTTTAATGAATTATTCTTATCCTTTTCCTCTTTTATTTGTTTATTAAAAATTTCTTATTCTTTTAAAATTTATATTCTCTATAATATTAATTAGCTTTAAGGACGACTAACATGAAGCCACATAGAAAAATTTTGCAAAAAATTTTAAAAACCTTTAATTTAATTCTTAAAACAAGAAAAAAAAGTCAAAATTTCTAGAAAATTTTCTTCCTCAAATTAAAGAGAACTTAATTTTTAATCCATTTTAGTTAGAATTTTCTTCACGAACTCAATTGTTTATTGATATTATTTTGCCTCATTATTTTCTGAAGCATCATTTTAATATATCTTCTCATAAAACTTATTGAACTCATTTAGAATTTAAGACAATTAAACTTAATCGATATCTTTAATTTTATCATATAAATTAGTTTTGAGTTGTTAAGTAATTTTGGAAAGGATTTCTCGGCTTTTATCATATAAGTAATTGCTGATTTTATCACTATGTTCTAATTCTTTTGGTTAAACTTTTCTTGGAGGAGTAGCTTTAATACTAGTCCAGGTTTAAATTAATTGCTCTTTATTAAATATTGTTTTCAGATCATCCTAATTTTTAATTTCTTATAAAACAATTATATTTTGCTACAATGCCTTATATATTTTTTTCTCTTAGGGTACTTGTGTGTTTCTTTCCATATCATTTAAATTTTGTTTTACAGAAAAAATTACTTAATCTAATTTCTTTTTTTCAGAAAACTAATTCAAAAATAAACAGATTGAAGTGAAATCTTCTGAATCATCTTTAAATGTATTTTTTACCAAATCTTGTAAAGAAGTGGCTCTACTTTAAAATTTAACTTTTGGATGTTCTATCACAATTACTAGTTTCGTTTCTATAGTTGTTAAGATATCATACAACATTAATTTAATAATTAATTATTCTTCCCAACCTCTTGTATCTTAGAAACCAGGAAAATCAATGGTAAGATGTTTGTGTTCTTGATTATATTTGTATTAAGGGTACAATGTTATTGATTTAGTGCCACTGCCTATTTTAGAAAAGCCATCTTCGTTTTTCAGTCTCAATTCTCCTCCACAATCATCGATATTTATATATTCATAATCAGCTCCATTCAACCAATTAAAAATTGTACTTTTCCCTGATCCTGTGCATCCAATAAAAATTATGGCTGATTAGCTTTTTTTGATGTATTCTTTATTGATTTTAGTTTATTCTTTAAACAAATGAATTAATTCTATAAACTTTTTTTCTAATTTTTTTAAATAAGTTTCCTTATTATCCTACATAAATTACTTAATTAATTATCTTTCTATTATNCCTACAATTAATCATTACTTTATTTTAATGAATTATTCTTATCCTTTTCCTCTTTTATTTGTTTATTAAAAATTTCTTATTCTTTTAAAATTTATATTCTCTATAATATTAATTAGCTTTAAGGACGACTAACATGAAGCCACATAGAAAAATTTTGCAAAAAATTTTAAAAACCTTTAATTTAATTCTTAAAACAAGAAAAAAAAGTCAAAATTTCTAGAAAATTTTCTTCCTCAAATTAAAGAGAACTTAATTTTTAATCCATTTTAGTTAGAATTTTCTTCACGAACTCAATTGTTTATTGATATTATTTTGCCTCATTATTTTCTGAAGCATCATTTTAATATATCTTCTCATAAAACTTATTGAACTCATTTAGAATTTAAGACAATTAAACTTAATCGATATCTTTAATTTTATCATATAAATTAGTTTTGAGTTGTTAAGTAATTTTGGAAAGGATTTCTCGGCTTTTATCATATAAGTAATTGCTGATTTTATCACTATGTTCTAATTCTTTTGGTTAAACTTTTCTTGGAGGAGTAGCTTTAATACTAGTCCAGGTTTAAATTAATTGCTCTTTATTAAATATTGTTTTCAGATCATCCTAATTTTTAATTTCTTATAAAACAATTATATTTTGCTACAATGCCTTATATATTTTTTTCTCTTAGGGTACTTGTGTGTTTCTTTCCATATCATTTAAATTTTGTTTTACAGAAAAAATTACTTAATCTAATTTCTTTTTTTCAGAAAACTAATTCAAAAATAAACAGATTGAAGTGAAATCTTCTGAATCATCTTTAAATGTATTTTTTACCAAATCTTGTAAAGAAGTGGCTCTACTTTAAAATTTAACTTTTGGATGTTCTATCACAATTACTAGTTTCGTTTCTATAGTTGTTAAGATATCATACAACATTAATTTAATAATTAATTATTCTTCCCAACCTCTTGTATCTTAGAAACCAGGAAAATCAATGGTAAGATGTTTGTGTTCTTGATTATATTTGTATTAAGGGTACAATGTTATTGATTTAGTGCCACTGCCTATTTTAGAAAAGCCATCTTCGTTTTTCAGTCTCAATTCTCCTCCACAATCATCGATATTTATATATTCATAATCAGCTCCATTCAACCAATTAAAAATTGTACTTTTCCCTGATCCTGTGCATCCAATAAAAATTATGGCTGATTAGCTTTTTTTGATGTATTCTTTATTGATTTTAGTTTATTCTTTAAACAAATGAATTAATTCTATAAACTTTTTTTCTAATTTTTTTAAATAAGTTTCCTTATTATCCTACATAAATTACTTAATTAATTATCTTTCTATTATTATTA